GAGTGCGTAAGCACACACACACACACAAGCATAGAAAACAAAAGAAAAAACAATTGTGAATTTGTTTACAATTTGATACCTGAGGATAAAAGAGAACAGAGACGAAGGGGAGGGAATAAAGAGACTAGACAATTTAACGAAAAACAAAGATTGAATTATAATTATAAAGATAGTTCAGATTGTGATAGCGGTAATAGAGAGGTAAGATAGCAATGTAAATATAAGAAGTCAAATAAAACCGACTACTTACTTGTAACCAACAAATTATAAATAAATATGAATAAAGGACGATCATAAATTGACAATAATAATAATAATAATAATAATAGTAATAATAATAATAACACCCATAATTAATATCCAAGGTGAAACACAAAAATTAATTTTTCGAGAACAAAAAAATCCCCCATAAAATTACCCAATGTGTACAGTAAATATATAGAAGTGTATTCAATTAAGATGTTGGTACTGGATAAATAAAAAAAAGAAGGGAACATATATAGTATAACTAGAATTTAGTGTACCCATCTGACTATTGTATATTGAAATTTTAAAAAAAAGGAAAGATAAAGAATGGGATCAAAAAGGGAACAGAGAGAAAAACAATTGATGTCACATTTTCTTCCACAAAAATTTATATCGAATCTACTGTGTTTTTTCCCTAATTTTAACATGTGTTCATTGGTCAGTTTTGTCTGTATGAAACACATACTACTCACATGTATAAATAAGTATATTTAACTATAATCTCCATTAAAATTAACTATCAAAGATTATGTTCTGTCTGTTTTTTTGTGTGAATCCCCTCTATGAATAAGTTTTTCTTTGGATTAAACTTTTTAAATCAATTAAAACTCCTCAACAAAGAGGTAGAAAGAAAGAGGGCGGGAGGAAGGGAAGTGAAGTCAATTACAAAACAAACAATAAATAAATACAAAATGAATATTTAAAAGAAACCCCCCAAAAGGCTTTAGTTAGATAAAAGAAACACCGACGAAAACAAAAGGAATGTGGAAACCAGAAATAACCAAACTTATTTAGAATGAATTATAAACATAGAGAACCATATATATGCAACTAAATGTTTTGTAATTTGATTGTGTACAATATTTATTATTATTATTATCATAATTAATAATTGATACATTGAATCTTAAGAGTATTGCGGGGGAAGGGTGGTGAATAAAACCCGAAAATAGAAGGACATCCACCACCACAATCAAAACACATGATTACATAAGCATTTACAACAGAATTAAATGAAATGGTAACTACTGTATCTACTCCAACTATTTGGGTCAATTTAATACAGATTGTTGACTAGGTAAATCCGGTTGACTTCCAGCTCCATTACGCCTTAATGTTAAAGAGGATACAGGAGGTGGTAAATGATGGTGATGATGACTAGTTGATCCTATAGTAGCAGAACTAGAAGAACCGGTACAATCGACACTAATACTTCGTGTACCACGTCGTTCAGCTAAACGATGTGTTACACGTTCCAACATACGAATCCATTCATCTCTTTCAATAAGTGTAGGTGCAGCCATTCTGTAAACGGTATGCTGATGACCTGTAAATTTACAATAACAACAAAAAAAATCATCAGCATATAATTATTGGAGATGTATTTTCACTTCAAGTTAAAGAGATACACAAATAATGCACCATTTTGATAAAGATGCCTTTATGAGAAAATCAGTTTGGAGTATGTTAAAAGCACTTGCTATACGAACTAAGTATTGTTCTCGGCTAGTCCCTAAAATCAGAACACAGTTGAACAGGAACAAAATTCTATTCCAAATAAACAAGGTTGAACGGGAGTAACAATCAAAGTGCGAAAAACCGTTAGTAAATTAATAATTTACATGCAAGCATATTCTATATTATTCTTAGCCATCTTCCAGCTTTGATTGGCTAAAACTGGGCCAATCAGTGTGTCCTAATATCACTCTGCACAGAGAATGCATTAATCTAATCTATGGCCTACTGACAGAATCAGATAAAAAATAAACGTGTATCTATTTGAACAAACTATTGCTTTCAGGAGACTAAACTTTGTTGTCATTATCAATTTTTCTAATATGATTTTCTCCCCACCTAAATAACATTCAAGACGTAACATGGAATTTCAGTCTATTATTGCTAGTTTTCTACTACATAAGGTGTTTTCATTTATATCTAAGCCAAATAGTATTCAATTTACAAATGATTGACAGGATCATTCACTAAGAGAATGAAGCAGACATTATATAGTGAAATGTTATTTAACAAACAGACATTTATCTTTTATTACACATAATAAAGACCAACCCTTATTATGAGTTTATACTTTATTATGCAATCGATATTAACTTAATATTATTATTCGATACTACCGAAGTGAACGATTAACAGTTAGTCAACCACAACGTGGAATTTCGTACGTACGTACGCACATTAGTTCGAGTTAACATACCACATTAACACAGGGATGCAGTTGTCGATTCAAAACTCATAGTGGTAGAAGTAGTAAAAGTTTAAGCAGTAATCCGAAAGATTACGGTTCGAAGATGTTATTCAAGGAGTATAATCCAATGAAATAAATTTGGAAAGAGAAAAAAGGTAAGGACATGGAGAATTCAGATTGGAATTTGGGAGAACACAAAAAGTAGATTCGACTACGCCATTGCAAACGATTTTGAGCCATCTCATTCAAGGTCTCTGACCATCGGTTACCATCATCTCGCGCATCCCAACCAGGTAGTCTACACCTACCAACACGGCTCAGTCCACTTGTCAGTGAATTCATGGATTTGTGCTTTCTTCCAACCTACTCCTACACCATAAAACATTGCACGTCGGGGCAGTCGGTGGTTGGGCATACGTAACACAGGTCTCAGTCATCTCAACCGATGAAGTTTCACTACTTCATCAATCGATTTTCACCCTTACCTAGTGCCCGTTTCCTAACAACTGCATTACTTACTCCGTGGTCCCAGGATATACGAGAAATGCTTCGAAGTCATCTATGATCGAATACTAGTAGCCTACGAATATCCTCTACTCTTATCAGCCATGTTTCACTGCCATAAAGTAGAACGAAACGAACTGCTGCGCAGTGAACCCGTTCTTTGGTTGCTAAACGGATAACTCGCCTACGCCATAAATGACGCAAGCCAGCGAAATTTGGTTGAACCTTCTGTATCCGTGCTGAGATTTTGTCACACACCAGACCACAAGGGCTGACGAGACTCCCAAGATAAGTGAAGCGGTCAACACGCTCAACTACTTCACTCCCTATCATTAGTTCAGGTGTCGATGCAACCCAATCTTGAAGTAACATTTTGCATTTCGAGGGGGAGAATCACATCCCGAACATGCCTGCATTGTTGCTTATAGTGGACGATTAACAGTAATAAATTAATGATTCACAAGGATAGAACCTAGCAGTGGAATTCAGAACATGCATCTCATTGTATTTAAGATTCGTGAGCTAAATGTATCTGGATCGAAGTATCGATATTTTTTACAGTGGGACTAGAACTCGATAACATCTTTTACTTCTTCAGATCATATAATCACTAACTTGTACAACACAGTATATTGTCGATAATGTAAGACTGAATTTCAATCAGTCTTTGTTGACATATATACACATTGACTCAATAATCATACACAGTTGATTAATAATTGACTACCAAGTAAACACAATAGTGAATCCATATAGATATTCAATAAAAATTTAATTAAACTTTTGACGACAGTATCTGATTAACTTGTTCAGATTAATTGATTGATTGAATTTACCACCTAAATTAATTGTTATTCATTAAAAATATGTTATTTATGATTGAATCATTGAATGACAAGGAAAGATCTATTGCGTATTGACTAACTACTGTTAATGTCGATCATTGAAATGAGGTTTCCTTTTTTTCAAAAAAGAAAATTCTAATTGAATTATTACTGGAATAATTTTGTTCTTTCTTGTTGTTATGAATTAACCGGTCATGTTCAGTGTGTGTAGAGAGTCTCATATAAGTGTGAGTTAATTCAAGTTGCCATACTATATTACCAAGATGAGATGACTAGTAAAGGAGATGAAAGAATAGTAATAGTTGTAATCATAATAAGAAAAACTAAACATTATGAATATGATTCACTTAGTATTGTTTGTTTGAATCTTAACATTGATATTTAGGACTGCAACTGGTCAGTCTCTAATTGGCATATGTGCCAAATAGGACGAAACGAGCGTCCTGGATTACACTGCTAGTCACTATCCATATTTGCTTATTATGAATATAGTTCGAAAAGACAGAATGAAAAGATATATGTAAAGGAATAATGGGACTAAAGCTCTAAACCAAAAGGTAAGATAAACATTGAGTGGATTTATAACTGGTTCTGAGTAATATTAACTAATAATCAGCAACGGGTGATCACTGCTATCTTTATGGATACACGTAGGAAATTTATGGTCATACGTATTTGGATAGATTGAAAACTATATTAAGTATGTGATAGTATATATGACTAAATAATAGATATTTTGTACAGTAGCCCCCAAGTGCCCTGGTACGGTCGAGAGTGGGGAGAGTTTGCTCTCCCTCTCAAAATGCTCTCATATAGCCACGCGAATATAAAGCCTCTGCCAGGGAAGTCCTACACACTGCATTCTCGTGACACTAGTGTTGTTTACGAAATTGAGAGGACGAAAAGCGAATGTCCGACGCTTTAACCGGGTTGATGGACACGGCGATTCTTACCTAGGGGAGTTGGAAAATCCTGATTCCAAACCAATGGTGCACATGGGCTCCAGTATCCTGAAGGAACAAATGGCGTACGAATCAATCATTGATCACCGGCTACCATGGGACTGCATCTCCTCACGATGCTCCACTGCCTTGTGGACTAGACCTTTAGGTCAATGGCTCCGGGTGTGGCCCCCTAAGAAAACCACCTACTTCAGTTCGGGCACCTGGGCAGTATCACAGCCCTCACGCAAATCAAATGAGATTTGTGAGGCGCATATTTATCTGGTGCTTCCTTGTACCAATATTTATGTGTTTAAATAAATAAACAGTGTCCACGTTATGTAGAAGGACAATTCATGTATAGTGGTTGGGATTTTCTTTACCAAAAAGTCAGTCCTGGAAAAAGATTTCAGACAATACTTGAATTTTAGTATAGAAAGTTTGAATAAACATGTGTTTTACATTTTTGATGCATCATAGTTTTTTCTTGTTAAAAAAACCCATGTGTTTTCATCAACCCAATCAACTCGAATGAACTGTATTGGTTAGTCAAATATTTTATTTAAAATTATTCAAAAACCTAGTCTGAACAAGCTTATTCGTTCAACGTTGAACTATACTTCTTTTGCAATAGCTGATGATACTACACTCTGGTTAACCCCCAGGTTGTCAGCGAATTCGCCCGATACACACATGTGCTATGTAGGTCTTATGTTGCTTATATCTGAGTTTAGTAAACTAAGAGGTGGAATTATTCTATGAAGTGAATGACTGTTAGACTGAGTAGTGTTGATAGGTGTGAACTAATTAATAAGGGTTCGTGAGCTTATCGTAACTAGTAGTTGGAGACACTGAGTAATATGGATAGGAATAGGTTGGAATGACTCAGATGCATTCATTTTTTGTTTGCACCTAGATCTTGAGTTTTTCAAAAATACTTTCCTACTTTTTATGCCACAAACTAATTTTCTTTTCTTAAATCATACTGTATACGCCTTTTTTCGACCAGTATTGATACTCCTATTACTACAACTCTGACATTTGTGTGGATAGTTTCCCCCTTCTGTCCTGACGCGACGTGGTAACTTGGATCGAAATAGATAATGCCAGGTCTTATGTTGATTATATCTGACTGGCTGGCAGTTTGGAATAAGTGGACTAGAATCTTAACCAAGAAGCTAATTATATTTGTAAATTGAATGTTTTCACCAAGCTGAATTATCGAACCTATTAATTAATTGACTGACGGCATTACAAGGTTGCAATCAACAATCAGTTGGGATAAACTACAAAATCTTAGATTTAAGTTCCATATATGATTACGAAAACCTTATAGAATTGGTAGAATTACGTCATTTATTTAGTCTAGTGTTAATTATACGAAGTGACAATACTAACTGGTATTCTCGTTCCCGATTGTTCCTTCCAGCTTGATCCAATTTGAGTCAGTAAAATGTTTCAAAATATGTATTGTTATTATTTAAGAAAACTAGAAATAATTAAGAGCATTTAGAGAAATAAGAGAACATAACCAATAGTCAAAGACATCGGGTGATATGGCTAGAAATAAAGGCCCTGTTTAAATATCACATAAGCTAATGGGACTTAAAATCTTTAAAAATTCAGTGGAACACATATATCGGAAAATATATTACTACCATTAATACTACATGGTTACCTGTGGTTAATTCTCTTTCAACTTTACAAGATTTAACTAATTGATTTCGTGGACAATATAATTCGAAACAAAACTCTCTTGTTTTATCATGTATTAGTCGAATATTGATTCCTTCCAGTGGGATAACACCTTTGGTTTGACGAGAACGCTAAACCACAAACAAAAAAATATGAGATTGAAAGAGAAATAGAATATTATAAAAAATTGGGGGAAATAGCAATTAGAATGTTTACAATGTTTATATGATGGATAGTACATAAGGTTAAAAATTCAAATTGATTAATTCATTGAATAGTGGTTAATGTCGAGGTTGTTTAGTACTTTAGTGGTGATCGGATTCTCTCCATCAATTCGGAATGTCATCACTAGTCTTAGTGATTTGACATCGTGCACATTATGTTGAGATGTTAAGTGGTTACAGAAAGTCAGCAGGAAACATTGGACCAAAATTTCGTGCTGGTTGGCACACATTAGTAAGACGTACCTGAGATCCCAAGGGAACTACAAATACATAACACCTCAACAGAGTGCATGTGATGTCAGATCACTAAGACTAATGACACACTACAACTTGATTAACGGAAAACGACCAACACTCAAAGGACTAGATAAATACAACATAGGTCACAACTCAGAAATTAATTAATGTAACTATCTCAATCCAATCGACCAGTCTCGACCCGAATAGCTCAGTGATGTCTCAAAATGTGAAACTAAGCGCCCCAAGTTTGAATCCACCAGGGAATATCAGTTCCTTTAAGATTGCTGATGAGTGCTAATCTACACGAAACCTCGGTTAGGCGGGAATTTTTACTGAATTTCTTAAACCACCTATGCGGATGAAAAGATTTTAAATAAGATATTTTCAGAAAAAGTTTAAGATGAATATCAATAGCTTGAAAAATAAAAAAGAGGTTCAACAAAGAGATCTACGTTTACTACTGACGGTATTTCTTAACGGTTTGTGTTCGAAGTGGCGATTAGGAGGTTTAATACTTTAAAATGGGTTACAAACAAGTTTAATGGATCCATTCCAGCTTCGATGAGGGTACACACATAGAATATTTCCCCGTAAATGTGTTACATGAAAATCGAGCGTTATATGTAACAAAGGAACAAAAATAGGCAACAATAATACTAAAATATGTTACTCTTATTTTAGGAAGTGAATCATTTAAAAGCAAAAGGGTTCCAGAAACTAGGTCAAGATAGATAACTATGAAAATAGGTTGCACAAAATGATAAATTTGAAGCTTAAAATACAATAAAAAAAGCATAGGAACTCGGCGTTTTGTCACTAGTCTTCAACAGACAGTACGATGACGTTTACATATTCGAATTCGACAAGTAAACCTGTTGGTAGATAAGTTTCTTGCAAAGTCAGACGACAAGTATTATTTCCAAAATGATGTGTGTAACAAAGTTAAATGAAATGAAGGAAGTTGATAACCCTTATGAACATCGCTTGATTTTGATGAAAGTTTGCCAGAGATTTTGGAGTTCACTAGTATTGTTCAAGTAGAGAGACTTTACAAAGCTGATGCAATCTTTTAATATGCTTCTCAATGACAGATAATGTCATAAAACATTTTGGTCAAAAAAGTTGAATAGTACCTTAAAGTTAAGAAATACCATTACAGTTGGTATGTATTTGTACGTTCCCGAACCCAATGAAGGGTAGATATTTGGTCAGTACAACCATGTCTACGTTTGAAATTAGCCTACTTTATCGGTGTTCTCTCTTCATGAGCCTTAGGTAAACGTCTTGTGATAACGTGAGTTCAATGTGCCTATAAGCATAAAACACAAATATGCACTTATTAGCTGGATTATAAGATTACTACTATTATAGTATGCTCAGATTTTCCCAAAACACCTACATCAATTGACGTGGGGTTAGGTCATTTCAAACTGCCATAAAAACAACAAAAAGGGGTAGTTATCACATACAGTTTCTCATGAAACAATGAATAAATGTATTGTAAAACATGTTTTCATTAACAGTTGTTAATTGTTAACCAAACTATTGAACTATATATACTAATTGATAAATGGTTATGGGATGAACGCGCAAAAGTACAATATCATGTATTACTCACGTTATATTTGGACCATAGGTGAGGGATTAATGATAAGATTAGGCTTAAGGTACTGGTAAATGTGGCAAATCGATCGACAAGATAGCGATAATAGCCAAAAAACAAAGAAGGATTATAAGTTATTACAAAAAAATATTATAAACAACTCATATTACTTACATCGGGAGTAAGATAATATAAGAGGCTGTCTTCTGTTAGTACAAACCATCGTCTTTTCCAACTTTTAACCCGACCACCTACAACACAATAGAAAATATATACATCTGAGGTACAGGATATTTATTCAAACCAACTTAATACGTGACATTAGCCCGTGAAGTTAATAATGTGTTTAACTGTTATGTTTGAAGCGATTACGAGTTCCCTAATCGAAGAACGGAACAAGAGATTTTTGCCCCCAAATGCTTTGGTACGGTCGAGAGTGGGGAGAGTTTGCTCTCCCTCTCAAAATGCTCTCATATAGCCACGCGAATATAAAGCCTCTGCCAGGGAAGTCCTACACACTGCATTCTCGTGACACTAGTGTTGTTTACGAAATTGAGAGGACGAAAAGCGAATGTCCGACGCTTTAACCGGGTTGATGGACACGGCGATTCTTACCTAGGGGAGTTGGAAAATCCTGATTCCAAACCAATGGTGCACATGGGCTCCAGTATCCTGAAGGAACAAATGGCGTACGAATCAATCATTGATCACCGGCTACCATGGGACTGCATCTCCTCACGATGCTCCACTGCCTTGTGGACTAGACCTTTAGGTCAATGGCTCCGGGTGTGGCCCCCTAAGAAAACCACCTACTTCAGTTCGGGCACCTGGGCAGTATCACAGCCCTCACGCAAATCAAATGAGATTTGTGAGGTGCATATTTATCTGGTGCTTCCTTGTACTAATATTTATGTGTTTAAATAAATAAATAAAAACAAGAGAGTTTAAAGTATTGGTTTAATCGACTAAGCAACCATGTTCTGATGTCACTGAACTTTTGCGTTCGGAGACTGCAGATGAGAATGAGGGCTTTGAAGTGATTTTCAGTCAGCAACTTCAACCGGAAGTGTTCGCATTCGCGGTTGACGATACCCACAAGTGTCAGAAAATCGGCATCTTTGTTCATAGTCAGCTTTAAACATCCATAGCATGTGTTGAACAGTGAGGAGTTACCTCCAAACTGTTGGCTCAATGACTGGATGGTGTTCGAGAATGAGAGGTCACGCATATTTAGAGGCAAAATTAAGTTACAATATCTATACTGTTCACTAGTATCCAGCCTCCGAAGAAGCAATCGAACCTTCCAAACATCATCTTGAATAGCAAAATCAAATTTGAATAAGTCTTCATAACGCCGAAACCACATATCATATGTGACATTGGATTCAGGATCGTAATGAAACTCAAAGATACAGCTCGCGATACCATCAACTGAAGGTGCAGTACTAGTAGGATTAGAAGTTCTTGGTTGAGTGTTAGGCGTAATGTTTGCATCTGCTAACATCTGGATAAGTTTTAGCCGCTGCTCGAGCAATAATTCCACTTTTAAGGGATCCATATTTGCACTAGCCTCGTCGCCAATTTTGTTATGTTTGAAGTGATTACGAGTTCCCCAATATGAGAACGAAACAATATTTTGTGACCAAAGACTAATAAGCTAGCTATTCTGATGTGTTCCAGACCCGCTAGCTAGAGTGAGAAGCCCAAGTCCGAAGTGGGGAAATATATTCTGCAAGCAGCCAGAAGCACAAGAGACCCAATAGGCATAAATTAAATGTATATATACAACATAAAACTGTTCTTAGGAAGTGTTACAAAATAGCATACTAAAAGATAAAAAGAACAAATAGCGTTTAAGATCCTCCCAAGTGGGAAATACGACATGAAGGTGAAAAGAGAGCGAAAACAAGAAATTCAGGTTTTTAAAATAAAATTACAAAAATAAGGCTTTTACGAAGTGAGTTCTGGGGATCTATCATCCCCAACACCGACCACGTTCTTGGTGCTAGATAAATCAATGAAGGTTAACTAAATAATTCTTATCATGATTATCATCAGTGACTACAACCCCTATCAGTGTTGTTGTTATCGTTACTCACTTTCAAAAAAGTGTTTTCAAGACCTACCAAGTTTCCATAACCATCCTTTATGAATTCCACTATTTTGATTAGATCCACATACAGATGAATCGTCAGAAACTGGACGAAGTGGTTCAGTTTTAATAGCACGATAAATTTTCTGTAAAGAAAAGAAACATAGTGGACATAGAGAAAATTATTAAGAAATAAATCCTAAAACTAGTTAACATAATACATGTAAAATACAGTTTATTCATTAATCAAATACATATTTGTGTCAATAACTCTGAAGAATACTAAAAAAAGTGAAGGCTAGCTCTGGTTTGACAAATAGATTCCAAATCAGTGGTATGATGACCATAGGGTCCTGAGGAAAGTAATGGTGTATGAACTGATTTCGGTCACCAGACACCATTGAAAGCACTCTTCTCTTGTTGCTTTATTGCCTTCTAGATTAGAATTTTTCATCAAACTTTCGGGAATTAACCCCCGATGAAAACCACCCGCTTTGGTTTGGGCACTACGGCAGTACCACAACCCACACAAATATTATGAAACGCTTGTCCGTGAGAGCGTTTCGAGGTAGAAAGAGCGTTCTCTGTTCACCCTCAGATATACTAGGGCATTTGAAGCAATTGCTTTAAACAATAGACTACCGATACACAGATTCTTAAGAGTAAAAATCCAAGTCACAACCGAATGTTGTGGTTTTCGGTGAATAAAATGTATGGCGTGAACTAAATACTGTTGAGCAAAATAAATATTAATTCGACACCACCCATACTGATTCATTGGCATCAGTAAATAGATAGGAGTAGAATGTAAACACAATTCATTGAATAAAACAACAAACATGATGATGATCGGGTCAAATTGCTTACACGAACAAGATCTTCAGACAAGTTAGTTTCCTCATCAAATTCCATCATGGCACGCACAAATGTTTTTTCTTCTGCTAAACCTAGATTCTGGCTTTTTGCATTTATATTATGTAGTGTAGTATTTAATAAAATAACGGCGTAAGAAAGTACATAAGCCTCGTCTGGAAGACAAAAACAGATAGGTGGATACAAAAAGTTAATACATCATTCAATTATAATAATGTAGAAAACTATGGAAAGAATAAAAAGTGAGAACCAACTGATTTTTGATACAAACTATAATTAAATTAGTGTGACCAAGTTAGTAAACCAACCTGAGCCACACTTTGTGTCATGGTAAGTGATTAGTAATCAAACTAGTTGCAAACTACATCATTCTTATTTATTAATTTACAAGAAAAATAAACTAGTACAATGGGCACACTGAAAAAATGGAGTGACAATATTATGAAGAAATAGAGGTTATTACAACCAATTATTCAAATGAACAGGAGTATTTTATAGCAGATAGATGGTTCCACTAATAATAAAATCAAGGACTTCTTTCACTTGAGAAAATTCATGACACTTTTATGAAGGGTGTAATATAAGTCTATAGTAGTATGATTGCTACTGTCTACTATTCTGACTGTCTGATAAGTCTTAAGTCACTAAGTCGCATAATTTGTAGGATCCTTACCTAGGAGTCGTGGTGAATCGATAGACGCAAGACCTTTAGAATATTTTTTTTAACCCGCGACCTTTTTTATAAATTGGTTACCTCTGTTTTCTCCACAACCAATGCCGGCATTAGCAAATAATGTAAAGTATGAAAGCCGTTGAGAAGACATTCTTAAAATATGTTCAAGATGGTGATACGAACTGAATTATCACCAATTCACCGAAACAAATTGCCGAACCACAATATTACGGATATAGTGTTGCCGCTGAATGCGAGTAACCTTTTAGAGACTATGGTCGAATACAAAGAACATTCTTGATTTTAAGTGGCCAGGTTTCACAACCACAGGGTAGATCTACTTTTATCCATGTATTGTAAACCTAATCTTTTACAATAAACCATTATCACAACCGGGTCAAAGATGATTCAGATTGGCATAAACCGTTGAGATTTTCATTATACATGGATTGAATTCATTTTCCACGTTGGTACCATTACAAAACTATCTAGATACACGAGTTTCTTGGTCAGTACAACGACCAGGATTGTGTTGGATATTGGTGCTGACCTAAAATATGACATCATCTATGTGAAGTCTGAACGTAAATAAACTGTACTGAGGTTGACTACCAAGGGAATGGATGTATTCACAACTGGATTTTCTTTTGGATTACCAATATGGACTCTGATCGACGAATTTATCATCCTTGGAGTTATTTACTTAGATTGGTTGTAATTTTAACTGCAGCTGAATATCAAACCAAGCTAAGTTGAAAGCTGGTGATAAGTCAACCGGAAAGCGTAGATGAGCAATGGGTGCACTTGTATTACTTCATCAAAACAGTGAGCGAATCCGCTTGTGGTCCTTCGAAATTATCCACAAATAAGTGCTGGGTTTCAGTAGAGTTCCTACAAGCCCTTGAGGCTTCCTGGTTTGATAACACAAGCAGATCCTTATCCCAGAGTATTCGGTTCTTAAAATATATTGATGGACAAGGAAGGTCTATCTAACGCAGTCGAATAACCCTGATTCCAAACAAATGATGAACAGAGCTATATTAGCAACAAGCTATCAATGGAACTGCTTAGCATAACGTTGCCCTACTGCCATGTGGGTTGTACGCTCATAATGTAGTCCCATAAGGAAATCACCTGCTTCATTTTGGGCGTTTGTGGAGTGTTCTATCACGGGGTCTTAGTGTGTTCGTTCACCTGACCTCACCTCGCCAAAACGGAAGACCGACGCGATACACCCTATGTTTATCTGGCGACCTGATGGCTAGTTCTCGTGGACTGGTGGTTGTAGGCATAGCACTAAGTACGAAGGTCGAACAAGCACTATTAGGATGGATCCTTGTTAACAGTCGCCTGTGTTCTTCGACTAAACAGCTTTGCAAGAACTTGGGAGGATAGGGACACGTCGTTGCCTTTTCGTCGTTTCTGCCTACGCTCTCACTGACTGCAGCCCGGATGAAGTGAAAGATAATTTTTTCAGAAATCTTTCTGAACTTCTTCAAAAATAAATACTCAGACGTAGTACTCGTAGCAGGTGACTTTAATGTCCAAGTAGGTAGATTAAACCAAACAGAAAGACATTTAGACGGGTATTTTAGTATTTTGGCTTAACGAACAGATAATGGTGATTGTCTGCTGCAATCGTGCTCGGACGATCGTTTATTTTTAGCGAACACCAATTTTGAGCATAAGGAGGGACATCGTCTTACATGGCGACCCCCTGCACCAAACCAATGGACTCAAATAGGCCATATTGCCACCAGTTATCGTTGGAGAGGCTCGACAGATGACTGTCGATAGTTCTGAAATACGTGTTTAGACTCTGGTCACGCTTTAATACGAGAACACATTTGCTTGCACCTCATTGGACGCAAAAAAATCACACTGAGAAGACCCATTAGAAGTGGGCTGAGGGACGACAAAGCCAAAAGTAAGTTCCAGGAACAACTGAGTTCACATTTAAGCAGTTTTGACGTAGATGCTGCTTGGAAACCAATACGAACAGCTTTGGAAACAGCATTAACATCTATTAGTGATTTGAACCGCAAGGTCATGAAAAACCAGTGGATTTCTGTTAAGTCTATTGCACTGACAGATTTTCGTAAATTCATCCCGTCAGGCTCTGAACACGATAAAGAAGGTAAACAAATCAGATCTAGGCTAAACAAAAGTCTAAGGAACGGCCGTGAGCAGTGGTGGGCAACGAAAGTAAAAGAGATGGAAAAGGCAGCGACTGTGTAACACCAGACAACTTTTCAAAACAATAAAAAAGTGAGATAAAGACAAGTGTAAGCGAGACGATCTCGGAGAAAGATGAAACTCTTATCTGCTTAAAACGATGGACAGAACAGTTTATAAAAGTTTAGCCAACCTTCAACGACTCTACAGTTACTTACCATTCCCAGACAGTTAGGATGGAAGATTGAAATAGGCCCCCGACTCTAGCTGAAGTTTAAAAGGCTATAGCTAATATGAAACGACGATGAGCAGTTGGTCCAGAGAGATTGGCTCCAGATGTCTTTAAAAATGGTGATCCAACTTTAACGATCAGGTTGACTAATATTTTAGCTAAAATATAGGAGTTGGACGCAATTCCATCCGACTAGTCTCAGTCACTCATTGTCCCAATATATAAGAAGGGGTCCAAATCATCCTGTGATAACCATAGAGGGATTAGTTTGACTAATATAGCATCTAAAATACTAGCCTCAATAATTATCGTGCGCCTAACTTACTAATGAACTTCTAACACGACAAGATCAGGCTGGCTTTTGACCTGTTCGTGGCTGTATCGGCCACATATTCACTATTCGTCAGGTTTAGAACATAAGCATGCTTATTGGTGTACGACAATGATAGTTTTTATTAACTTAAAAGAAGCATTTGGTTCTGTAGACCGAGAGGTTCTGTCATTTAAAGGTGTACCTCAGAAGTACATAAACCTTGAAATGAGATTAAATTGCTTCATATCTTTCTTCCTTTCTGTAGTATATCCTTATATACAATTATATATATATATATATATATATATATATATATATATATAACTACTGTGGATTTGGTGTTCATGTTGGTGTGCTAATGAGGTGTGGCGATTTGGACCGATGCGTATGTGCCTGTTCCTACATTGTAGCTGACTGACATGTGCAAAAAAATAATAAAACGTGTTAAATCAAATCAACATACGTGGCGAGTTAAATACTGAAGGATTTTGCTCTACATAGCGTTCAGAGAAACTCGTTAAAATGCGATCGATTTTCTGACTCTCCCCAGGCAGTTGGAAGCTAAGCAGAAATTGTCTGAAAAGAAGAAGCTTTAGTAAAAAAATTGGAACATACCAATAAAAAATGTAGATGGTGAGCAAAATTACAGGTATGATTACATAACAAGATTTTAACAATCATTAATATAGTATTTTTAATGAAACTTGTAAAAATGAAAGCAGCAAATTAATTGTGTTCTATTAACGTTGAACAATTAGTAAGTTTTTAATAAGACTGTCCTTCGGGCAAATGGGTACCATTTACAACTGTTAATTTCACCAAACATTACACAAAATTGTTATCAAGTCATTTATACAGTCAATGTAATGGTATTAAGAACAGGAAATTTAAAAGATTAATAAGGAATGCAACTGTGAGCGACTTTATGCGTGGATTACAACACAGTAGTATACTTGATGAGTGTTCATGCACAGTAAAATCACATACTAACAAAAACCCCAAATAAGTTGCGTTTATGATTCACAAGTATGGCGAAACATGGGAAAAGATTAAGACCAGTAGTGAACATAACGAGGATGAGCAGAACCTCACGCATGATGAAACAAAACTTGAATAAGTGCCTATGGACAGGTCAAAAACAAAAACACAAAGTTGACTCACCTGAGAGCCGGTAAAAACTCTTCGTCCTTGAAGTCATGCAACTTGGAGAATGCATCCAAAACTTGCATGTTAAATTCCTTAGAACTACAAAAAGTACACAGAAAAGTTAAATATTGGGTACCAAAAACAAAAATTATGATGGACACACTGTGAGCTAAATACATGGATGTTCCTAAGTCACAGGTGATTTCCTTCGTCTAGACCATAAATATTTGACGCGTAACTGTCTGACGTGAAGTCACGATACACTTAACTTGAATGTTAGTAAACACCAAACACATGGAATAACAATACCACTTGCTGCATGAGCACTAAAATCTTACTATTTGTGATTCGCGAGAAGCTTAGCTGTGTGTCAGCAAAAAAGCCTTTTAAGAATAATATAGTGGAAAGCAGTTTCATACAGAAATTCATGAACGGAGCTTACACTTCGCCAATATAGGTGCCAACGGCATGTTTAGATAAATTGTGATTTTGTTCAATAAAAAATTTCGCGACGTCTTCCGGGGACCTTCCAATTATATTATTGTCGAAGAGATATTCCAGACCCTGCAAATACAATTGTGAAAGTAGCAGATCAAACCTGTTTTTGATTTCTATTGAATTCCTTGCAGCCAAACGCAAGCCGTCTGACAGATGGGTCCTCCCTAACAAACCATTATGAAGAATAATTGAAAATACCCATCGACAGAGAACCCAAGGTTTTCAATCTGGCTTGTTATGTCATTCAGCTCAAGCTTTAGAGACTGCCAAAAGTAAGATTATAACACAGTTACCTCAATATTTTTCATAACCTGAGTCTTTTGCTGTCTAATGAAGAGTAGCCTTTCTTTTTCTTCGACGGTAAGCTCTAAATAAAAGTAATTATCATATTATAATCAGGTGAAAGGAAATTCCACAATGGCACATAGAAATAACCACAAATACTTACCATCATAGTCCATTCCATACGAGCTTTAAATAAACGCCGTATATTTATGTGGGCTAAAACAAAAATGACTTTCTTTTATTAACACTTAGCAACTTTAGGAAGGTTGGAACTTCTTCAGATTTTGGCTGGTAATATTTATTATCATACTGATTCATCTCAAGTAATTGCTAAACTTTTGATAACTAAGGAAGACACCTAGTTTCAGTTTCAGTTTCAGTTTGGAAAGGACAGGAGGCTTGGTGGCCTGTGTTAGTCCTGGCAATGATGGTCTCTCAGCTGATCCAACTTTGTTTTGAAGGAGTCGACGGATGGAGCCTCAACCACGTGCTGAGGTAATGAATTCCACTCGTTGATTATTCGATGGGAAAGTCGGTAGTCAGCTGACAAGTAATTCGTTCTGGGCTTGTAAACTTTTTTGGAGTGTCCTCGTAGATTTTCTGTTTTGGAAGACAAGAAAAATGAGGGCATATCAGGTGCAAATTTGTCACCTAGTTGTCTAATTGAAGTATATTTTCCGTGGAGAAAGATGTTTTTCGCACTAATCTATGAATTTAGTAGCATTGATTTATTTTTTGACAGAGCTCTAACGGCTTTCGTCACCACCCTTTCAAAAGCCACCATCTCAAATACCATCATCGAGTTAATTAGACCATGAGCTGACAAGACCTGCCTAGACCTTGGTTTCTTAGTATGGGTGACCATTAAATACTTCCAGTTTTATGATAATCCACATTTATTCGGTAACAGGCTGAACATTATCGCTGAGGTTGCAGTCAAACACCCTGAACTTTTTGTAACGAATTCTGACTTTCTTATCTATAGTGTCTTTAGTACACACTACTGTCTCCCTATCTAGCTGAAGCATCTGGTTATTGTATACATTGGGAGAGCAATCGCTGAAATAAAGCTTCCTGCCAGTCACTTCTGTTACTTGCCGAATTTGCAAGAGATAACATAGAATGATACAACATATGATAACTGTGATAAAACATTTATTTAGAAACAGTGCGTGGTTGTGTAAAGAGTAGTCAGATATTGGGTGAATGATGAACAGGAATCTCGAATCCACAGCATAGGAAGGAATATGGTTCTATTTGTGGGAGGCTAGGTATTAGCTAGTATTATTTCTCATGAATCGTATGTGATAGTACAAAAGAGGCGTACATTGTGTGAATTTCACTTTTATGTGGGAATGTTTTGACAGTTAATAACTGGGTATTTCCTTGTTCTGATATATAGGTTGTTGGAGTTCTGCTAATTATGCGAAAAGTCTTTTGTTAAATAAGTAGTTCACTAGTGCAGGTGATCTTTGGCGATGATTGGGGGCTCTTCGAGTTGCTTACAGCATTCAAGTTTGAATAATTTAAGATCCCTAATTCATAGTCTGGTTGTTTCTTGAAGGATTCTTGATTGACTAATAACTACCAATTAACTACAATAACTACAATATCCGCAACATATGTATTTGGAAGTTTTGTGAAATAAGTGTGATTACATCTTGCTCAACAAGCCTACAACTTTTAGGGTTTTAGGGATTAAATGCAAAATACGGAACTAAAAGAAACCAAAAATAGAAATTTTAAACAATTCAAGTTCATACCCTAAGTGTAATAAATATATTTAGATCAGTAGAAAGAATGATATTCACGAAAATGTTCCGTTGTGAGTTAAACACTACAAATTTCTATCATAAAGGATGTTATCGTTGGTTGCGAGAGACATGCGAGCATCTTACATTACACAGGAGAACTCAATGATTTGACTAACTGAAAAATATCTGGCCCCGTAATATTATTTTCTACTTTCGCGCCAAATGTCTTTATCATGGTGATATACAGTATGACAGTACCTTCACCTACGTGCTGTTTACATGAATCATTGAAATAAACTTGTTAAAACACCAAGCACTAACAAAAATAGCCTCTAGTTGACGTTATATGGCAATGTAAGCAAGGACTATATGGTCATCGAGATCTAATTCTTAACTTTTCCATTTCACTTAACACTGTACGCTATTTTAAATTGTGTACTATCCTCTGGACACGCTCGATGTTTAAAGTGAATAGTGGTATCTTTCCTCGCAAAGTTAATTTTCTTGTTTTGGTCGTTTATTACTAATCAAGATTACTGCGTTCACTCTCAATGAAATTATTTTAGTCAAACTGCTCTCTAAGAGTATCGTTATTTCGAAAGTAATTTATCATCGCTACTTTGAGTACATAGGTTCTTTTTGTATTTTGTGCACTCTTGATCCTAACAATTTACAATTTTTTTAACTTTTTCTGACCATCTGTTGCTCTTGTCTCCGTGTATTGTTTGTGTCTAGTTCTTTTTCTAAAATCTCTGATTGATTACTGGACAGTGCAAAATCAGTAATTGCCAACGTCCAGGTTCTTGATAAGCTGTGAAAAGTGGCATGCGATGCGATGAGTGGAAAGGATGGTACCACGAAGTGCGCACGAATTTACCTCATGAATCCTTCGAAAGGTTTAATAAAATAAGTTGCTTGTGGTTGTGTCATTAGTGCTGTTCAGACGCTAGCAGCTTGCTATCGGAAACTGTTATGTTTTTGACCTAGACTGTAGCCAATTGTTATGACTTGATCAAGGTCGTCGCTGATTCGTTATGACCTTACGAATTTAACAAGGACGTAATTCTCGTAAATGATCCACCAATAGAATACGCCTTCTACGACCTTCACACTGTGACAATGACGTTCGATTAATATGAGTAATCTAGCGTCCTTATTGGTCCTTATCCGCCTACCCGTCCACTTGAGTCCAGAACACCAATAGCAGCTGCTGTAATGCGAATCGTTTATTTCAAACATACTTTATCTATATACCAGACAGGCAGACCACACCACACCATAAAATAGAAAATTATATTTGTACAAAACCAGGACAAATGAGGCTGTAAGCGTGGGAGACAATAATCAATAAACTGAGCATAACTTAGGAACAGTAAATCATACAATAATAATCAATATGTCAAAATGAAGCTTACAATAAGATGAATATAGATATAGATAATCTAGTTACCCGTACTTCGTTACTACATAACAGAAACCATTTCAATAGTGAATGCTTGTTAGAAGAATATAAACAAGCGTAATCGAGGCACATAATAATAATAATGATAATTTATTCTTAAATAACAGTTTGTTACACGAGGCATGCCGGTTTACAGGCATGATCAAATTGTTACGAAATTATAATTTTCATGGTAGCAAATTACTCATCTGGGTTGATATATTATGAGATATGAATGTAGATGGTTTTAGTCAGAAACGTGTTGTCAATATCACAGTTGGCTCATTTTATGGAATATAAATCTTCACAGTAATTCCATACACTTAGTTCCATTTATTCATTAGTTGAATAAATGGGACTAAGTGTATGGAATTGCTGTTAAAATTTATATTCAAAAAGTAACACTTGGAAGAGGCCGATATACCATAGCTCTGCCTTACAGGCGTGGTAACAAATCAGTATTCACATTTAAATGTATTATTCTATCCCTTGATGAAATGCTTTCTTCAGAAGTGCTGATTGTCATGACACAAGTCAGAATACAGGAGGACTTGACTTTCGCCCAAGAGTTAATGAATTAAGTAGTCAGATCATGACAAATCTACCATTTCGTGATTAGGTCTATCACAACACAATTTGTGTTGTAAGGCGCGGGTTGATTCTGACATGAACTCTTCTTTTTAACAAACCCGAATACTCAAGAGAAAAGGTAGAGAGTGAGGGAGGATGTTTATTCGGCAAATGGAATAAAAATATCTTTGGAAAACTTTTACAACATGGGCATTTCAGTTGTTTTACTGAATCTGTTTAAAACCGACGCCGTTCCTTGGCAAGTAAGTTACATTCATAATTTTGGAGACTTCCTATTGGCACAATTCATCAATGTTTTTATTTCTTCACCCTGGTACTGATTGACTAACTGTATGTGATAAAATCGCAGCATTTGTCGTAAGGTTTGGATATTTAGCATCGTTGTATGACTGTTTTCATGTTACTGAATTCCGGTATTTCCATGACGAGGATGTTGAGATTATTCTGAAAACTAAGCAAGTTAACATTTTTAAACTTGTCATCAGATGTCACTACTAATTGACGGTGATAGAATTTAGTAATACTACTAATACGTACGAATGCTTATCAAAAATCTTTTACCCGAAGATAGTGTTAGCTGTTTGCACTTTGGACAGATATCTATCAGGAATTTGTTGAATACATGAGTGTATTTGTGAGAGACATGCTCTAGACTCAATGTTATTCATATTCACATCTACCGTCTGATAGTTCACACACGTTAGTTGGAAGTATCGAGTTTTACATAACCTAGAAAATGACTTATTACAGATATAGCGATAAACAATTGCTGAAATCAACCAATCATATATGCCGTAAACGTAGGTGTTGTGGTGTTGCACGATGCTTCTGGCTAAATAAATCTTGTAAAAAAGAACGGTGAGTGATGCTCATGTGATTATCAGGGGGAACATAAGTTGTAACCAAGTAGCGTACAACTCCCAACTCACATCTGATATTGGCTTGAACGTTAGTCATAGTGTTGATTGAGGATTAACCAATGGGTTATAGGTATTGTTGCTCCATGTGATTTTGAAATAGCAGAAGTTTGTAACGTTAACGAATCCAAGCTGCCTGACTATACTATAAATTGCGATCCCAAAACATTCTTATACATAGTGTTCATTAAAATATTAGACTCCAGAGTTCTGACTTTAAATGTTTGTTTGACCAACAACTGCCTGATGGTTTAGTTATTATACTGGTTCAGTATGATAGTATCTAAATTTGGTGACTTTATTATCTAAACTGTGTTCGTCTTTTTATGCAACCAATATGATAGACCAATTCATAAACCGAAATACATGTAGCATTGACGACTAAGATGGGTTTAGTGAAAATGTTAAAGGCGGTTCAAACGACTGTTAAATATAAAAGGCAGGCCAGGTTAACATGCTGGTTGGTGAAGAATGTAACAATTTAAAAACAATAAACGTCACGAAAACATTTTTAGGTTGAGATTACTTGTGGGACAACAGATAGGAATACGAGGAGTTACAACATCTGCTTTTCATAAGAGCTAACCGTAATAAGCTTAGTGACATCTCTAAACATGTGGCGAAGGTAACTGGAACTAAGAATGTTGAATGATTTTTCATAGTGCCATGTTATAGTAGTATAGTATAACGCTATTAAATATGTCTTATACCATAAAAGTTTTGGTGGTGGTTCATATAAATATATATGACTAGTCTAGGTGAAAATACGTACGTGTAAAGTAAAAGAACAGTAAATCCTCCAAGAGAAAAAGTTAACTCAAAATTCAGATCACACAATAGATTTGACGCATATAAAGCAATTTGTGACGATTTGTTGTGATCCGAAAGCATCCAGATTAAACACATGTTATTACAACCAGTTTCTGGGAGTGCATGATGCTATTGACTTTGTCATTTGGATGATCAAGTAAAGATTCAACAGTCTGGATAAATACTTTGCTTTCGACGTATAAAAATGTGAAATGAGATTAAGATTGCAGAAACTTTATGGCTTAAACTCACAGTCAGTTTCTTGAGTATTATCTTCGTTGTTTGGAGGTTGAACTCGAAAATTGGAAATTAGGCATGCAGAGGTTGGAAGAAAAGACATTGCAGGATAGTTCACAGTTTAAAACAGAGTGAGACATTAAGTGAATAATCAATATAGAGAACTAGGTCCAGACAACCATACAGTGCTTGCTCACGTTGCTAGTCAATGTCCTTTTGCGTCATTTAAAGGCCACATTTGTCTTGGCAAGTTTATTTCACTGAAGCATATATATGCTACCAAAGTTTGTTAAGGAACGATCATAGCTAATAATTAATATAGATGACCTGTTATTAATATCGATTGAGCTAGTAAGTTTTGAGTACTAATCAGGATTAAATTATGACAATACGCGGGAGGATTAATCCAAGTACCAACAGAATGATTGGTTAACATAAGTAAAAATCAATCTAGAATGTTCGGGTCGTGCTCACTAATGTTGAATTCTGATGTACTTTGTTGACAGTACTGCTCTAATAGTAAACCCAATCCTAAGATTGTAGATTTGTTATGATGTGAATGTCTAATTGTTCGTGCGTCCTAAACTTGAGTACTGCATACAAGCAGCTAGCATCTGCATAAAAAAGACAGCGAACTCTTGAAAAGGGTACAGAGTACAGCAACTAAGCTGATTCCCGTAATAGTGAAGCTTCCGTATAGTACTAGACTAACCAAGCTAAACCTATTCCCTCTGTCATATAGAAGAATCAAAGGCGACTTGTTTACAGTTTTCAAATTGATTAGTGATAAATTTGCACCTGATATGCCCTCATTTTTCTTGTCTTCCAAAACAGGAAATCTACGAAGACACTCTAAATAAGTTCACAAGCTCAGAACGAATTACTTGTCAGCTGACTACCGACTTTCCCATCGAATAATCAACGAGTGGAATTAATTACCTCGGCACATTGTTGAGGCTCCATCCGTCGACTTTTTCGAAAGAAATCTGAATCAGATGAGAGACCATAATTGCCAGGACAAACACAGGCCATCTTATGTCCTTTCCAAACTGATACTGAAACTAAAGACGTCTAAAAATCGCAATTGGTCAAACTCAAAGTAAGATTCTGTTTTCTCATCGTGAGGTCAAGGAATGGGACGTGCTTCAAGGAACACTTTTGAGTGCGAGTTGGATCTCTAGTGGAAATTGAGCTGCAAAGGTTTACTAGCTCATCATCCATGTGAAGTAAGATTGATCAGACAATTTTCCAATGACATAAAACACTTTTACCATTCTTCTACATTCTGTGAGGGACCTTTCAAACTTTGATTGCAACTTGAACCTTAGAGACATCGAGGCATGCCAAACGGAGGCTACTTTTATTCTGTTCACAGTTATCGATAGATTCGTCTCCAATCCGAAAAGCTTGTTCAGTTATGCAGCTTCTCTTCGACAAGGCAAAACTGGAGTTTCCCAACTGCTTGGTCCTAATGGCCCGACCAACAACGACAGTGATGCCGCTAACCTTTTGGCTGAACATTACTCCCGGACATTCCAACTGACCCACATTAACCATACTGACGAAAGCTTCACCTGCACCTGTACAGGACTTTCCGAAGTGAACCTGAGTGCTGACTTGGTGCTCCGTAAACTGCAGAACCTAAAAAAAGACACTTCTCCTGGTCCGGACATGGTTCATTCCGCCGTACTGAGGGAAGCAGCTTCAATCCTGGCGACACCACTTAGCGTGATGTTTGCACACTCACTAAGCAGAGGAAAACTACCGGAAATATGGAAGCTGGCCCACATCACACCAATTTTCAAAGGAGGTCGACGCAGTGAACCCTCAAGCTACCGACCAGTGGCCCTTCTCTCCATACCTTCAAAAATTATGGAATCCCTAGTATTCGACGGCATACTTGATCACTTATTATCCTTAAAGTTCTTCTCGCCTCAACAGCATGGTTTCAGAAAAGGTCATTCTTGTACGACCAACCTGCTGATTGCGGTGGTTAAATGGACAACCATCCTTGATCGCAAGGGGAAGGTTGACGTCATTTACCTGGACTTCTCAAAAGCTTTTGATAGGGTCAACCATGCATGTCTTATCAAGAAGCTTGGACGATTGGGTATAAAAATCCCCTTTAATTGACTGGATCACTTCATACCTAGAAAACCGACATTTTAAGGTCAGGGTTAACTTCACTCTCTCTCAGGCTATGGAATGTCCTAGTGGGGTCCCCCAGGGTTCAATGCTAGGACCTCTTCTCTTCTTGATTTATATTAACGATCTTCCTCAACAAGTTTCATCTGATTTATTGCTTTTTGCTGATGATGTGAAACTTTGGAGGGAGATACGTACGCACAATGATATACTTGTTCTGCAGGAGGATCTGACTCGACTTCAAAGTTGGGCAGACGACAACGGACTTACCTTCAACACTTCAAAGTGCAAGGTAGTCCATCTGAGACATGTTGCAGACTATAGTTATAATTTAGGTAACTCACCTCTAGAAGTTTCCCAAGTTGAAAAAGATTTAGGAGTGTTGGTACCCTACGACCTGAAATCGTATGCGAACTGTGACAAAAACGCCTCTCAAGCAAACCTTGCACTGGTAACATTGAAGCGCATTTTTGGCCAGTTTGACGGTAGAACCTTCCATATAATCTTCAACAGTTTTATTCGTCCCCACTTAGAGTACGGAAACATAGTATTTCCTCCCTCCCTCCAAAAGGATAAGGTCACTCTGGAACGTATACAACGTCGAGCCACGAAATCAGTTCGGGGTCTCAAATTCAAACCTTATGAAGAGCGCCTCAAATCACTTAACCTTTACCCGTTAGAGTATAGGCGTCTTAGAGGTGATCTTCTTATGACTTATAGTATCCTTAATACTTCTGGTCATCCCCTTAAACAACTTCTTAAGCTTAGTCATAACACTAACCTCAGAGGTAACACCCAGAAATTGGAGACCCTACATAGCAGAACAGACTGCAGACACAACTTCTACTCCGTTAGAGTTGTCAAGTGCTGGAATTCGCTGCCGACTGAGCTAGTCCAAGCGACCTCCCAGGAGTCCTTTAAGAGAAAACTTGACTTATTCTTAAGGACTAAGGATAACATATTATTATGATTTACCAAATTCTTTTTTTTCCCTCTATTATCGTTCATATACCTAGGTTTTTGCCTGGAGGTATTGGTGATCCACTGCTACCAGACACGGAAGCCCGTTAAGCGAAAGCTTCTTCTATTCCGTCCTCAACCATTTGAACCATTTGAATCCGGTCGCTGAAATTGGACATTCCTTGCGACAATACAAAATTTAACGTTACGTGCCAATGTTCAAGGCCACTCATAATAATGCCAATATCTTGTGATGAATGCTGATATTGTGAAAGAAAACGACTCTGAAATACTTACAAAAGTGTTGAGTGGTTCATTATCAAACTCCGAAATTTATCAGTTGTTGTACAGTGCAGTTGTTGATAAACACTATAGTTTTTTGCAGTGTCTTTTGAAGCATTCACGATGTATGTCGCAATAATGTTTTGCCGTTAACATTGTGTTTTAGTAGACTTCTATGAACCTTTTGAAGCAGATGGGTTTCGTCTGGTAAGTTACTTGAATGTCTAGCTGAGTATAATAAAGTGATCACTTTAGTAGTCCTTGTGTCTTCAGACTACCTTAGGAACCAATAATGGGAAAATAAAGGTAAAACAAAAAATAAAGCGGAAGAAAGCGTATATAATGGGGAAATATCGATTTTTCCGCTTCACGTGGTTTAGTTGGGGAAAATATAGATTTTTCCTCCTTAAGTCGGGGATATGGGGAAAATTTGTAGACAGATTTACGTAATCCACCGTGTTTGAATATGCGACATTATAAACTTTCACAAAATAACGTACTGTTTAATAGAAAATGATAACTATTATAGTTAGCACGAGATTGATTATACTTAATCTCCTGATTTATGAGAAATTTCGGTGTTTTCCCCAAAGTCGTGCATATAATTGACATAATTGCATAATATCGGTGATTTAATATTTCACTTAAATGGTTACAAGTAAAGTAGAGTCAGTATAAAGACCTGTAGTCTCAGTAATAGTCTAAACGTCTGTTGTGAATAAGTTTTCAAAATGTGATGAACCTGCTAAACGTCTTGCCTTGTTACAATAAGCACAATGCCAATCTATTATTGGAATAGTCATACTTTCCGACTAGCTTATGAGTTCACATCAAAATTAAGCAGCCTACTGGTGAAATTAAGGCTTGACCAACAGGCTGAATTCTTGTTCGTCATATCAGTTTTATTAACTAATAAACGTAAATATTAACTGGTTCTAATGCGTTGTCCACTAAAATGTAGGAATTCAGTAATTCAAAACTTCTGATCAAGCTTATTAAAATTGCATTTTTTTGTGACTGATTTCAATGATTGAATATCCTGATTTACGGAAATACTATGAATTTTTCCGTTTTAACGTACTGTTAAGAAAGATTGAAGGGAAAATTCATTTTTTTAATAAATTAGTAAAGGATACAAATTTCCATCATGCAGATTGCTAAAATTATGCTGTTCATACTCAGGTACTAAACAGTATGAAAATAATGAATGGAGTTAAAGCATCGAACGTACTTTATGATAAAGAAGATGAGAAAGGCATTTTTTATTTCCACTTAAGTGGATGAAGATTGAAAAAGTGACTCCGATATCCCCACTTATTTCTATTTTGATCAGTACACGATATCGTCCCACTGCATTTAGTTAAATGATCTCTAGGATCCCATCCAGGTAGCCGTAATGGAACAAAAGATCCTAACCCCATGCAGCTTTCTTCTCACTGAACGAAAGCGAAACATGACCACTTCTTCGTTCTTCGTCTTATTATGCGTGGCAACACAGCGCGTTCAGTAGCAATCGTGAAGCATGTCCACGTCACAATCCGGTTCTTCAAAACCTCAAAATTACTGTATTTTTACAACAATACCTTCATACAGATTACTAGACAGTTAGATATCATGTATATACTCGAAGTCAAAAAGCCTCTCTCTCGCACCCGTGTAATTATTTTATATTTGTACTACATACTTAGCTGTAGGTTGTTTTAAGGATGCAACTAATGACTGTCAGTATGAGTTTGTAGAGATCGTTGAGTTTCATTAAAGTTATTAACAGATGATATTTTTCATTTTCGGAATTGAAAATTATATTTAAGAACTGCTCTGGATCCGTGCTTACTTTGAGCTTTCGGTCAGTAAGTAATGATGTTGTTTAGGAGTCCGAATATACTCCATTTACTTTTCTGTAGTCGACCAAATGGTACTGGATTCCCATTTAATAAGTGTATTTCAAAGTTTGAGTTGATAATTGAGTTAACTTCAACCTGAGTTAAAAAGGTGCTTATTGACAACTTCACGTATCTGGAAGACTAAATACATTATCAGTTGTAATAGACTAACTGGATTTTCAACACTGCACAACACATGTAGTCTTTGTGAATTTCATATTTGCTTGTTAACAACTGACGTAGTCAGCGTAGCAATGGAATATGTTTTTATTTATTTAAACACATAAATATTGGTACAAGGAAGCACCAGATATATATGCGCCTCACAAATCTCATTCGATTTGTGTGAGGGCTGTGATACTGCCCAGGTGCCCAAACTGAAGTAGGTGGTTTTCTTAGGGGGCCACACCCCGAACCTTTGACCTGAATGTCTGATCCACAAGGCAGTGGAGCATCGTGAGGAGATGCAGTCCCATGTTAGCCGGTGACCAACGATTGGTTCATACGCCATTCGTTCTTTTGGGATACTGAAGCCCATATGCACCATTGGTTTGGAATCAGGGTTTTCCAACTCCCCTAGGTGGATTCTCCACATCCACCAACCCGGTTAAAGCGTCGGACATTCGCTTTTCGTCTTCTCACTTTTGTGAACAACACCCCCGACACGAAAAGGCAGTGAGTAGGACGTTGAGACCCGAAAGAAGGTGAACTATGCTTGTGAAGGTTGAAGCCAGAGGAAACTGGTAGAGGACCGTAGCGATTCTGACGTGCAAATCGATCGTATAACGTGAGTATAGGGGCGAAAGACTAATCGAACTATCTAGTAGCTGGTTCTCTCCGAAGTTTCCCTCAGGATAGCTGGCATTCTGAGAAATAAACAGTTTTATCCGGTAAAGCGAATGATTAATGGAATATGTCTCACTTTATAATTGTAGTATATGGTGCATGAAAGTAGCTGATACCAAAAGTCTGTTATTATTATTTTTTGTTGATATTTTTGATGTAAATTAAACAGAAATATCATCCTTATATGTGGAAGTTTATCTTAGTATTTGTGTTTCTGTTAAAATAAAAGTAATTCACTGTATTCTAGTATCATTTTCAAAGGTCTCTTCATTTATGATTTCAATTTTCCCAAATGTTACCGTTCTCATTTCCTAACAATCAATCCAAGTGACATAGCAATCATTACCAAAGTTTGATTTCGAATAAATTAAGCATTGGGTGGATTGTTATAAATAAATTATATATTTGTAACATCCCAATAAGTAGAAAAATTAGATTTTCTAACATTTCGTGACCCAGTGTAAGCCATTTGTCCAGAGAATAAATAACCAAATGAAAATCAATCTAAGTTTAAATAGTACAACGGAACAACAAAAATATTTATTTACAAATCAAGTGACAGTTCATTTTACTTTTTTGATTGCTGTGTAATAATTATTAGAATTAATGTTACATTATGAAAGGATTTCAGATATTCTTCAACCACTGAGATCGAAACGACACGTTTATTTTTAGATTTAAAACTTTCGCCATATTGATAATCTTTCAATTGGTCTACCTCATGTTATTTTTGTTTCTAAATTTAGCCAATTCTACATCATGCTGTTCGATTGGGTGACTTTAATGCTTTCAAATTACTCTTGGAATATGGTTTAAATCCTCTTGTATGTACTGGTATTTGTCAACAAAATGACACAGAATTCATCTGTGAAGACATCATACAATTTGCATTTCGTTTTACATCTAATCCAAATAATCAGAAATCTATATTACTATTGTTTCAAACATTTTTACGTTAGTGAGATTCATTATGATTGTTTGTTATACTGCATGTTTTTTTCATATTGGAGTTTGTGATTTCAATGATTTAATTAACTAAAATGTTCGAATTTGAGTAATTTGTCCATACTTGATCAGTGATTGGAGATAGACACAAATGAATAGACAACATCCAGTAAACGGATTTAATAGTCCAATTCATTTTATCACTTACGTTTCCAGTTCTTATGTACTTAGTATCAATATACTCTTATTGTTATTGTCTCTATGTGGTTCTGAATAAATAAAGCCGTTCGACTTTGCACCCGAGGTCCCGTGGTCACAGTTATAGCATATAAGGCTGTGTTTACGAAAACTCGTAATGTAGTGGCGATAACATCCAAAGTTAGAAGAACAAGTCACCAGTACTAAAAATAAAAATGATCACAATATAATGTATGATCCTTTATCTTTACCCATCATAACTACTTCCACATAAACTAGAATTATTAATTCACTGATTAGAGGTAATCGGCAGGAAACATATATATTTTCAGTTTCATGCTGGTTGAAACTTGTCAGTACAGCATACTTGAACTGTTAAGGAAAATGATTGTTTTGCAATATTGAAATTCGTAAAAATATCATTTTAATTCGACCAGTCGCCTAGAACCTAGTAATATTTTGTTTTCTGTTTATTTTAACATAAACATTGGTTCAAGGAGACACCAAATACATATGCGCCACACAAATCATTCAATTTGTTTGAAGGCTTGGATACTGTCCGGTCCCCAAAACCGAAGAACATGGTTTTCTTAACGAACCACTCCCTGTAACTTTGACCTAGAGGTCTGATCCACTAGGCAGTGCAGCATCGTGAGGAGATGCAGTCCCATGGTAGCCGGTGACCAACGATTCTGGTGCCCCTTGTACCAATATTTATGTGTGTAAATAAATAAATAAATAAACAAAAATACGTTTATTTAAGAACTAGGTATCAATAGTAACGACGTTTACTGATACATTATATTGTAGGGAACAATTATTGAAGCAAATTGAAATTGCTCTCAATATAAAGTAGTTTATTAAAAATGTAATGCGTAAGACATAGTTGTCTATATTCACTAATTAAAACATGAATTATTTCCACTGAACATACCATTAATTTTTTTTACACAGTTGTACAGTTTTTGATGAGTAGTTGTTTAATGTGTCATTGACCAACTAGTTGTTTCTTTTAAACCTCATGATGTAATTAGTTGTCCACTATACCTTTTAACTGTTAGGTCTCAGGTTCGAATCATACTTTAATTATCTATGATTTGATTGACCGGCTAGTTTGTCTATCTTTCAAGACAAAAATATAAGTTCAACTATTAAAATTACAATCTACACAAACCCCCATTCTGCAAAAAAGGATTCAATCCATTACAATCTGGCTTATGTTTAATTAGTTGAGTTGTATTTATTTCATAAATACTTTAGTGTTTACTTATATATTTTTAAGTACTTCTACTTAAGTTTACAATAGGGTATGTGCAAATTGATTATTTGGCGTCTTTTTTAACGGTTTTCTTTTTCACAGTCTACATTTCAAATTATCTTTTCCTTTTGCATCATTTTAGACAAACTAATTACTAGTAAGTCTCAATTTGATTGATAGTAGTTATTTTTCTCAAAAATATTTCTTTTGTGTGATTTGTTAACATTGGAATTACGGCATATTATTAATACTAATAGTTGAATTCATGAGTCGATCTAAGCTAGACGACCACTGAAAACCTGAAAGCACTAGGCGGTTGTTTCGTCCTAGTGTGAGACTCCTCAACAGTGTGCACTCACAATTGAAGTTAAACATTAATACCATTGGATATCGGTCCAGTTGTTTAAAGGTTAAGCGTTTGCGCACGAGAACAAAGGTTCTGCGTTTGATTCCCGCATGTGGGATCGTGGATGCGCACTTCTGAGGAGTCTCACACTAAGACAGAACGGCTGTCCAATGCTTCCAGGTTTTTAATGGTGTTTCTGGTTTAGGTCGACTCATGAATTCAACTATTAAAATTACTACAATCTCCACAAACCCCCATTCTGAACATTAATAATAGACCATTTGTTATTTCAGAGTAATAATTGTTTTCAATTATCGATAATAACCGAAGAAATTGTCGGTCAATAGAACAAGCTTTAAGTGAGGGAATTTCGAAGAAATTCTAACACATCAATTCTTTTTTAAATCTATATACTTATAATAGTGTCTAGGACGATAGACAACTCCCCCATTAGGCCATACAACATACGGGACAATACTAATGTAGCGACGTATATGTATTTTGTCACATGATATTGGTACAAGAAGGACGAAAGTATCAAGTTGGATATTAAGGTAATGTAAGTGCCAGTTATGTTGTTTGCACTTTATTCTTTTAGTAATGAAATCCAAACAACTTGACAGGTGTAAATTGTATAGTCCTAGGGGTTCTTCCAAAGATTCTTAGATAAAGAAACATTGTAACTCCGAGCACATCACAACATACAACTACTTTTTGCTGACATCAGTTTATATCCGTTCACGATGGTAACACTTAACCGTGGTTGTTTTTTAAATGAAGTGGTCAGGGTTAGATTTTGTGGCGACACAATCGAGGTATATTTTCTGGAACTTTAGTCGATTTCGGTTCTCTTATGCCAGAAAGCTCTATCGGAAAGAATGGTTTGGAAAAAGTTGAACATACAAAACACACATCTTACCTCAACCCATAAATCTCCACCATCTACAATAAGATCATATAAATACGGAAACGATACATCAAGAACTACTCTTGAAGAAGCCATGCTTGTCTAGCCTCAAGTATTTGCCCCTTGGACTCTGCGGTTACTCTCAGGTCATCGAAGTCACTATCAGCTTAATTTATTTTTCAAGTGCCTTGAGAACGATTATCTTTCTACGTTGTGGACAACTAGGAAGTAAAAACTTCCTACACACCTCTAACAATACCTGATATGGTGATATTAAACTTCAGAATGAGTGATTTACACAAAGTTCTAATTGAAATAATCATTTGGTCAGTGGTAGTTACTGGTTACAAGATGAATTTCTAGAATTCTAGTGAAAAACCGTCACGGAAGTAGTCTAATTATTTCAAGGAGCAAGACAATCACTCAACACTATAATACTGGTCAATATCCTCTCTATATCATGTATTGACGAATTATAATCGTGAATTGTTGCAATACAAATCAGTGATGGCATAATTTATGATAAGATATATCATTCTTATTAGTAACAAAAATATATATTTTATAGTCTACATCATGAGCTGACCTTAGATAACATTGAAAACCAGGAAGTGATAGACAGCTACTTCGTCTTAGTGGGAGACTTTAATTGCCTTATCGATGACTTCATCCAAATCAGCACCTCCAGGTCTTACAGTGGAGCACTGATTCTTCAAACCACTGACTCTACATTTAATGGTTTCCGTTCCTAATTATGATCTGTTCACGATACAAACTACAAAGTATAACCATCTCCACAAACCCCCTGTATTAAAAATATATATATGACAAAAAAAGTACTACAATATGAAATCAATTTTATTGAGTTAATTAGGTTTTGCTCGTTTCTCACTACTATATATATATATAAACTTTGACTCTTTCTGTATGCATCCTGTTATATTTTGTTTCATTAGACCTCGTGGAAGCTTGTCGCAGAGGTGATGATAAGTCGATTGAACAATTATTAACATCGTCATCATCAGGAAGTTTACGTATTCATTGTACAGTTAAGAGGTTTGCTAGTAGACAATTTCATTTAGTGGTGAATTCGTCAAATTCCTCTCATGATTCATCTACCGATCATGTTAATGATAGTACTAAACCTATTCATCAACCATTAACTAGTCTAATATCGAATCGTTTGAAAAGTTTCAAATTCAATCGACGATTATCATGGATTACAGGATCTAATCGAGATAATGAAAAGATGGAGAAGAAGGAGAAGCAGGAGGGACAGCAACAACAGGATCGACCTCAAACTATGTTGGAATCATTATCATTAAAAGAAATTTTACGCTGGAGTTCTGATGGAATTTCTGAATCATATAATTTACAATCCATGAATAATGATCTATGGGAATGGGCAAGGAGTCAAGTTAAATCTCTGTTGGTTATGTGAGTGAACTGAAGCGTTGTTTTTTTTTCGAAAAAATTCCTATGGTATTTGTTTTTGGAAGTTCTACTCAGTGCTTTCTCGTGGTACGGTTATTGTTTACGAAATTGAGATGACGAAAATCGAGTGTTGGGCGCTGTAACCAGGTTGGTGGGTGCAGAAGGGTCACCCGGGGGAGCTGGAAAGCCACAATTCCAAACCAATAGTGCACATGGGCTTCAGGATCCTGAGGGAACAAATGGAGTATGAACTTATTGTTGGTCACCGGCTACCATGGGACTGCATCTCCTCAAGATGCTACACTGCCTTGTAGACTAGACCTTCAGGTCAAAGACTCGGGGTGTGGCCCCCTAAGAAAACCACCTGCTCCAGTTTTAGCACCTGGGCAGTATCCCAGCCTTCACACAAATCTGTGGTAACTACTACTGGCCTCATTATTGTTATATGGCGCATATGTATTTGGTGCCTCCTTATACCAATGTTTATGTGTTCAAATAATAAATAAATAAATTTGTGAAATTATTCTTTAATGTGTTATATTAATACAAAGTTGTAGGTTGACTCGTCTGCAGTCGATTAAACTGGTTATTTTATTGATTAATAAAATGCACTTAAATTGAATGTATTAAATTATCACAAGTTTAATATCTACTTCACTTCGATTTAGTTAATCAAGTTGTTTGGTACTAGCTCTCATACAAGCAGAATAATTCAAAGTCTTGAGTACATAAATCTGTATTTGGTCAATGAGTTACATACAGAAAAAGTATCGACAGTCATTTTGGAAGTATTGTATTTCTTCTGAACTGAATGATATAGTCATTAAGCTTTGATTGTCTTTTCGGACAACATCATTAGTACATATTTCTGAGAAAAAAAGTGAGCTCATAGAATTTGGCTATCACAGTCGATTAATAGTTTGTTCTGATAACCTAGAATTTTATGGGTTATTTTTCTTGTATGGCTGTTTTTTATATGTTCTTTTTCATTGTGATGTCCTGATTTCTGACCCTGTAGTGGTTTATTCTTTAACTGATGAGAAAGGACAATATTCATTTAGCACAGAGGATACAACATCTCTAAAATCCTTACCATAAGCCAAGAAATATTGTCCGTCTTAAGGCGGTCTGCTTGAATATCTGGGATACCTATTCCTTCCATCTAGATATTACAACAAGTTATCTGTTTTTGTTTGTTTTAACACGTCTTAATGCCTATTAATCGCACAACCTATTCAAGAGCATTTATGAAAAGTCTAAGACCTTACGTTGTACAAGTTACAAAAAAGTACAACCAGCGGCATCGTGGTGGCTAGCAATATTCATTGAAAAGAATCAACATTATTCAAATGTCGATTTCTGAACTGCTAACGTCTAACTGGTAATTACTCAATATTTGTCGCCAGGATCGACCAAGAAATAAGAAAAGGAAACTTAGTGAAATACTCTGTGCTGAGAATTCCATATTGTCCCTCACTTAGTAAATCAACAGCTAACAATATTTCCCTTATCACACTTGTAATTTTCCCTGGTAATTAGGTTAAAGCATCCTAAATGCATCTGTTACTTATTATTCTGTGAATCATCTATGTTGAGAGATTCAGACTACCTGGTTGGAGTTCTCTCTATAACCTTTGATCAGTGATTGGAGACGTTGAATAAGTTTGGAGTCAATCACAATGACTCAAATAAATTCATTCTTTACTTTACTCTAGACTTTGAGTCCCATTATTCTTTCATGCATACCCTTCCATTATTTCCTTTCAAATGTTTAATCTTTCTGATTATCAATATCACCCCGTTATTTCTGTTCCTTTACTATTCGTCTTGTTATTTTCTTGCCATCATGTTAATATGGTGCAGCATTTTTGACCGACAAACATATCTACAAGTCTCTACGTTCGTTATTGACTAACTAACTGACTGACTAGATATTATGTAAAACTAGTGGGGACAGTTGAGTTTACCCATTCATTTATTCGGTTCTTTTTTTCCCAAGCGAGTCACACTTTTCATCTTCATACTGATTCGATTATAGATGTGTACAAAATAATTACATACGATGTCTTAACAAATTATTACAAGTTGGTTTTGAAGTTATCCCAGTGAATTCTTCTTTATCGTCAACCTTCTCAGCAACTGAAGAAAGTGTAGAACTGTTAAATCACAACCAAGAAATCAATCATGATTCAAAATTTAATGATGGATTGAGAATTTTAGTTGAAGATATTAGTTCTATTGGAAAACAACAATTATGGATTGAATCCGTTTGCTCCAATCAAGAAAGTGCTATTCATACTGCTGTACGACTAAATAGAGAAGAAGCAGTCAAGTCAATAATTCAGGTGATTTATGTGATTAAAGCAACAGTTTTGTAAAATTACATATTCTTTAGATAAAAATCAATAATATTAATATAGAGGAGGCTTGTAGAGATTGTTGAGCCTCAGTCGTTTGTATCATTGAAATAATCTTAGTCAAACAGTAACTGAACACCAAAAAGCATCAAACAAATATCTCGTTCTAGGATGGGACTACTGAAGAATTTACATTGGTGAGACTACTGAGTATCTAATACAGGACCTTCAGGCCTCGCAGCATTTAGCGTTTTATATTTCAAACGTTAATCAATTCAAAATATTCTTTAACCATTTTCCAAATGTTAGTGGTAGTGGGTAATAGCTTCACGCCCTACATGGTCTCAATTTTATTAAGAAGCTGTGATTTAGTGGAGTTGAACCATATCAGAACTGAGATTGTTACCGACCAGTTGCATTGAAAGATAGTTGCAGAATATCTCAAATTAATTGTGGTTAGGCTTGTAAATCAATAGATTTTAGGTCTGTAGTCTAAAGGTTAAACCCTCGCTGAAAGAAATGATGATCTCAGATTTGACTCTTGGTAGAGTTATGATTGAACACTGCTGAGGAGTCTCATACTGGGACGAAACAGTTGTCTAGTGCTTCTTAGTTTTCAGTGATTGTCTGATTGAGTATGTACCGTAACATCTATATTCTTAAGTTTTTTTCTTAACAGTTTGTGGGGATTAGTTAAAATTTGATAATAATTTGCACATCATTTACAAACATCGATGTAAAATCAATTAGTAAAACTTGGAAACTGCTTCATCTCGAGTTTAAGATTTTTTAGTAGTAGACTGTTGAGCACCCTAGACGGAAATATTTCGTGAAATCAACGTTCGATAGAAATTTACTAGATTTCTGGAGAAACAACGAACTACTCTTGCTTTCTATACCTAAACCAACCTTGACGGTAAAGTTTCTTTGCGAGTTTCTCGTTCTTTGCCGTCTTCTCAAGGCTCAAATGCTGGTAATTTCTAGGTGTCTAGGAAGTCGCTATCAAGTGTTCAATTGCCAGACTCACTAGAGACATTTAGGGCTTAAAATAAAATGTAACTCCCAAATGTCCTGGTACGTTCGAGGGTAGGGAGAGTCTGCTCCCCTCGAAATGCTCTCATATGGCCACGCGTTTATAGCCTGTACCAGGGAAGTTCTACTCACTGCCATCTCGCAGTAGGGGTGTTTCCTTCGAAATTCAGAGTATGAAAAGCGAATGTGTGGCACCTTAGCCGAGTTAGTGGACATGGAGGGTCCACCTAGGGGAGTTTTGAAACCCTAACTCCAAAGCAAAGGTGCACATGGGCTCAAGTACCCTGAGGGAACATTTATTTTAATTATTTATTTAAACACAAATATTGGTACAAGCAAGTACCAGATATATATCCGCCGCACAAATCTCATTTGATTTGTGTGAGGGATGTGATACTACCCAGGTGGCCAAACTGAAGCAGGTGGGTTTCTTGGGTGGCCACACCCGGAGCCTTTGACCTAAAGGTCTGATCCACAAGGCAGTGGAGCATCTTGAGGATATGCAGTCCCATAGTAGCCGTTGACCAACGATTGATTCATACGTCATTTGTTCCCTCAGGATCCAACTCCCCTAGTTGAACTTTCCGTGTTCACTAACCCGGGTAAAGCACTGAACACTCGCTTTTCGTCTTCTCAATTTCGTAAAGAACACCCGTGGTGTGAGAAGGTAGTGAGTAGGTCTTCCCTGGCAGGAGCTATATACGCGTGGCCATGTGAGAGCGTTTGGAGAGGGAGAGAGGACTCTTCCCACTCTCGGCCGTAGCAGGGCATTTTGGGGCCCTGAGGGAACAAATGGCGTATGAACCAATCGTTGGTCACCGTCTACCTGCTTCTGTCTGGACACCCGGGCAGTATCACAGCCCACATACAAATAAAATAAGAATTGTGTGGAGCGTATGTGCTTGTTGCCCCTTTGTACCAACATTTATGTGTTCAAATAAATAAATAAATAAGTAAAATGGCCTGTATCATTAAATTTTTTTCTAAAAATATGCTTTTTAAAACAATATTCTGTCTAAAAATTTCGATTTACCTTCATTTTACAATAGATCAGTCAGCCAGTCAGTCAGCTACAACGTAGAATCTAGCACATATATGTATCGGTTCAAGTTGCCATACCTCGTTAGCACAACAACATAAACACCGAATTCATAGAAATAGTTAATTTAGTGGTGGTAATATTATAAAAGAAAGGTTGTATATAAGGATATATTATAGGAAGGAAGGCAGATTTGAAGCAATTTTAATCTCAAGGTTTAAGGGAAGATAAAGAGTGTATACTCTACGTCATTGTGATCGATTCTGAGCCATGTCACACAGAGTCTCCAATCATTGGTTATAACAGACCCAAACCAAGTAATCTGCATCTACCAACATGGCTCAGACTAGAAGTTAGTGACTTCAAGCACTGATGGCACGTTTTGGTTTGACCGCCCTTAACTCTCTTCCAACCATCGCCAATACTAATCAGCATAGCGCGTCGTGGTAATCTGTGTTCAGGCATACGTAACACATGGCCGAACCATCTCAGTCGATGAAGATTCACGACCACACCAACTGATTTACCATCATTCTCTAATACTCTGTGTCTAACCTCATTTTTACTTACTCGGTGATCCCAGCAGATGCGAGCAATATCTATTTACAATAGATAGAGGCACATAGTAACTTTATAACATTTTGTATTACTGATTATTAAACAATTTTTCCGCAAGATTAACTAGTCTCCCTTTTTTTTTCCAATTTATAACTACTTCATTTGTTAATTCTATACAATCTACTTTCTCTCGTTTTTCTTTTATCATTAGTGGGAACCATATTCATTAGCTGTTACATGTCATAGTAACAATGATTTATCAATTGGTATATTACCAATACATATTGCTTGTGCTTTAAATCGTTTAAATTGTTTACAATTAATATTAACAATGAATACATCCACATTGTATTTGAATAATGATCATTATAATATTGAAAACATTGAATCTAAACTTGATTCAAATCATTGTAATCTATTTTCTTGTCGAATAAATAAATCACCAGGTTTATATAAACATTATTATTGGTATGTTAATTTAGATTTGATTATTTGTTTTAGAAATTTTTGTATTTTAATATTTTAAGTAACATTCTCTTTTTTTATCATTTATTGGTCCACTAGGTTGCTTGGTACCTGTGTGGTTGCACCACAGGATTGAGCTGTACTATTCGAATTGTAGTGTTGAAGCTCATATATATTGTCTGATTCTCCTATGGGGCGGGATTGAGCTATTCTGTTCGGGTTAAGCTTGGGTAGTGTCTGGTTCTCTTGGTAAATGGGATTGAGCTGTACTGTTTTGGTTGTAACGTGAAAGTCCGGATGGTGTCTGGTTCTCCTGAAAACCGATGAGAAATTACCCTGACCAACAAGGGTATATTATATAACTGTGAAGCCCTCAAATGCCCTGGTACGGCCGAGACTGGGGAGAGTCCGCTCTACCTCTCGAAATGCTCTCACATGGCCACGCGTATATAGCCTCTGTCAGGGAAGTTCTACTCACTGCCTTCTCGCTGCACTACTGTTGTTCGGGCACCTGGGCAGTTTCACTGCCCTCACACATATCAAATAGGATTCGTGTGGCGCATATATATCTGGTGTCCCTTTATACCAATATTTATGTGTTTAAATAAATAAATAAAAATTATCGTTTAATTAATTTGCAGACGTTTTAGTTACAGGTATAATATATGAAAAATATCTTTACATTAAATTATCTTTGGTATACCTTCCACATTACAATTGATTAGTCTCTGTTACCATATATTCATTCTGTTCGGATGCCTTGATATCCATCGTTATGTCACAAATAATCGGTATATTTATTATGTTATTAGTAGTGGAATCCAGGATGCATGGGATTCATAAACTGGATATAACTTGTATCTTAGTGTCGATGCTTACACCAAGATGAACTTAGTACATTCCAGTGAACTTTTGGAGAAAGCTTAATTCATTTAAAGCAAAAGGTTCTGTTTATTAAATAAAATACTAGTTCTGAATTTACATTTTGTCGGGTACTATCAAAACTGAATTGTAGTTAAGATGTACTCATCAAAAGTTCTGGACTGTAGATTAGGTTCTCAATGTGTTTTCAGAATGTCAAAAAAACAAATGTCACTCCCTAGAACATATTTTAATTCATTAGGTAGTTGAAATTAGTTATCAGGAAATTCTAGCTCTATGTTTTGTGCTAGTTTAAACTTATCAGAAAGGCATACTTGGAACTTCGAGAGGAGTGACACTCCTTCTTGGATTCTAACCTGCGTCATTCAGTTTTGTAGAGTTTCATACTGAATACCTCCTACCATCTAACATCTCAACACAGTACACGCCATTTCGAGTCGCTTAAATTAATGGCTACTTTGCAACCTGTTCGATAAAACTCAATTGTGATACTAAAGGAGTAAGCAAATGTAGCATCAGTCACTACTTTGCCATCAGTCACTTTCGAATGTTTTCATTCATACAACTACAAAATGGTTTTAAACCAATTAGGACTAGTTAATCTTTATTATAGTATTTATGCTTACCAAGCAGTTGTCCCTTGGGCACTGCGGTCACGCTCTCAGGTCATTAAGACCACTTCTAACCCAGTTTCCTTTACAGGTATCTCTAGAAGAACCCTTCCATGGTGTGGGCAACCGGGAAGTGATAACTGCTCTCATACCTCTAACAGCATTCAGGACCACTGTATTCATAATCAATCTCCACAATGCTTACCAAACAATAAATCAGTAGTTATTTTTTGTAGATAACTCTTACGTACACCATATTGTTTTAGCCTAAATTTAAGCTCTCTTTATTACCATTACTGTTATGACTGATTTTCCAACTCCAGAATTCACACAGAGATAGTATCCTACCTTATTTATCATACTTTTAATTAACTTTTTACATTAAGTGTATGTGCACGTTAATTAACTTGATTCCTCAAATGTGTTGTGGTTTTGTATTTTTTTTCTTTTTTTTTTAATATTTTCAGTATTGATCAATTGGATAGTTATAATATGACTGGCTTTCTTTTAGCTGTAATACATGGTCATGTGGATATTGTACGTCAGTTATTAAAATATACAGTGAAAGCTAAAAAATTAATGAATTCTACAACAACAGAATTGAATAATTTCAACATTGACATCAATCTTGATCATTTTTATCAACATCATTCAACTGTTCCTGATAATAATACTAGTACTATTAATACTACTGATAAGTTTACTTGCTCTAACCAACTAAATGTTTTGGGCAATCAACATTCGTCATTAACTGATACCTATATAGATCATACTGTGTACTATGATGTATGTCCAATTGATATTTATCGAAAAATTTCAGCTTGTTGGTATTTTTTTACTTCCATTGATAATAATAATTCTACTTCATTGAATTATAATCGACGATCATCGATTATTATTAATCCTCGATGTCATCAAAGTTTAGATGACCATGCGATTTGTGGATATTTTAATGCATTACAATTGTCTGTAATGACTGGGTAGGTTCAACTGTTTACATTTATTAATACATTCACATTTATTTCTCTCTTCTACTTTTTGTCTCTATAATTTTAATCACGGAAAGATTTTAGCTAAACAATTATTGAAAACCAATCAACATTAAAGAGGTGTTTCTTCAAAAGATCTTCTATGGTACTAATAATCGTATACTCACTAGTGGCTATTGTCGAAAGATAACTCTCGAAGTTCTAGTAAAGAGCTCTCACCCGACCGTTGCTGCTACCTTGACGTGGTGGTCGGGCTTGCCTATCGTGATGAAGCAATCGAGCTATGCTGGCTGGAACAATCGTTCCTCGAGGTCCTACCATGCCAGACAGGTCGATTGAAGAGCGGTGAGACTAAAAGCAGCAAACCCAAGGTCCGAAGGCGAAGTCGTACTGCTGACTGTACAGAGGTGTGAAAGCAGTAAGGTGTTTCCTTCAGACAACCAGCATGACAGCGATGCTGCCTTCCCACAAGGAGGGGTGGGGTTAGAAAAGGTCGACCCTAAAAATGCACACCTCGCCTTATCCCACGGATATCCGTCTCCGGCGGTAAGGTTTTTTTTGAAGAACGGAGCTAACACAAAAACTACCCACAAAAAGGTCGTGTGTGACCGACCTCAAGCAGTTGTCCCTTGGGCACTGCGGTCACGCTCTCCGGTCATTAAGACCACTTCTAACCCAATTTCCTTTTCAGGTACCTCTAGAAGAATCCTTCCACGGTGTGGGCAACCGGGAAGTGATAACTGCCCTCATACCTCTAACAACACTCAAGACCACTGTATTCATAATCAATCTCCTTCTTCAATTCCTACTACCTTGACTTTCAACACTAAACTTCCTCTCTCGGTTTCCTCCTCAAGTGTCACCATGGCCAACGATTCTAGTGCGCGAAACGCTGTCCCAGGTCTACTAAAACCTCGCTCCAAACTACACATTGGAGCCTTCAACGTACGTACTTTAAGTCAAATCGGTCAACAGGCCTCCTTAGCTAAAACCTTAGAGTCGCGTACCATTGATGTATGCTGTGTCTCCGAAACACGCATACAGGATCCTAGTGTGGTCATTCACCTGACCTCACCTCGCCAAAATGGACAGCCAACGAAATACACCCTCCGTGTATCTGGCGACCCGTTGGCTAGTTCTCGTGGACTTGCAGGTGTAGGTATAGCACTAAGTACAAGGGCAGAACAGGCACTACTAGAATGGATCCCCGTTGACAGTCGCCTGTGTGCTGTCCGGCTAAATGGCTCCGTAAGAACTCGGAAGGATAGGGACACACGTCGTTGCCTTTTCGTCGTTTCTGCCTACGCTCCCACTGACTGCAGCCATGATGAGGTGAAAGATGACTTTTATAGAAAGCTCTCTGAGCTTCTTCAGAAAGCTAAGCGCTCAGACATAGTAGTCGTAGCGGGTGACTTTAATGCCCAGGTAGGCAGCTTGAATCAAACAGAAAGACATCTAGGTGGGTGTTTTAGTATTCCGGCTCAACGAACCGATAATGGTGATCGTCTGTTGCAACTATGCTCAGACAATCGTTTATTTTTGGCAAGCACTAATTTTAAACATAAGGAGAGACATCGTCTAACATGGCGACCACCTGCACCAAACCAACGATGGACTCAAATAGACCATATTGTCATCAGTCATCGTTGGAGAGGCTCAATAGAAGATTGTCGCTCGTATTGGAATACTTGTTTAGACTCTGATCACGCTTTAATACGAGCACGCATTTGTCTGCGCCTCAATGGACGCAGGAAAAGTAAACTAAGAAGACCCGTTAGGATTGAACTGGAGGACGAGAAAGCCAAATGTGAATTCCAGAGACAACTGAGTTCACATCTAGGCAGTTCTGTAAACGAGACTGACCCAGATGCTGCTTGGAAAGGCATACGAACAGCTGTGGAGACAGCAGTAACATCTATTAGTCATTTAAACCATAGGGCTCCAAAAAACCAGTGGATTTCTTCTAGGTCTATTTCACTGATGGATTCGCGTAAACTCATACCATCTGGCACTGAACATGACGAAGAGCGTAAAGAAATTAGATCTAGGTTAACTAAAAGTCTAAGGAACGATCGTGAGCAGTGGTGGGCAACGAAAGCAAAAGAGATGGAAAAGGCAGCGGCTGTAGGCAACACCAGGCAACTATTCAGACTAATAAAAGAAACTGGAATTAAGAAGTCAAGTGTAAGTGAGACGATCTCGGAAAAAGATGGAACCCTTATCTGCTCTCTACCCAAACGTTTAGAACGATGGGCGGAACACTTTAAGGAGCAGTTTAGCTGGCCTTCAGCTACTGCACAACTACCCACTATTCCTAGAAAACCTGAATGGAACATTGAAGTAGGCCCCCCGACCCTACTTGAAGTTCAAAAGGCTATAGGTAATCTGAAACGAGGAAGAGCAGCTGGTCCTGATGGATTGGCTCCAGAGGTCTTTAAATATGGTGGTCCAATTTTAGCGATTAGGTTGACTAATATTCTGGCTAAAATCTGGGAGACGGATGTAATCCCATCCGACTGGTCACAATCACTGATTGTCCCAATATATAAAAAGGGGTCAAAATCATCCTGCGATAACCATAGAGGGATTAGTCTGACTAACATAGTATCTAAAATACTAGCCTCAATAATTATCAGGCGCCTAACTAAAACTCGTGAACTGCAAACACGAGAAAATCAGGCTGGCTTCAGACCTGGTCGTGGCTGTATCGACCACATATTCACCATTCGTCAAGTTTTAGAGCACAGACATGCTTATCGGCGTCCGACAATGATAGTTTTTCTTGACTTGAAAGCAGCATTTGACTCTGTAGACCGAGAGGTTCTGTGGCAGTGTCTGTCATTGAAAGGTGTACCTGAGAAGTACATAAACCTTGTGAAGGCTCTTTACTCGAACACTATCAGTCGAGTGAGAGCTTATGGCGAACTGTCATATGATTTTACAACCTCAAGTGGTGTCCGTCAAGGCTGTCCACTATCCCCATTTTTGTTTAACTTCATTATAGACCTGTTGCTGGAAATAACACTCTCTTCGACTGAGTTTACAGGAATTGATCTCCTACCAGGGGGACCACTAAGCGACTTAGAATACGCAGATGACATAGTCCTGTTTGGTGAAGACGCTGACAAAATGCAGAGTCTTCTGTTGGAACTGAGTAATAATGCCAGGATGTTTGGGATGCGTTTCTCCCCATCCAAATGTAAATTGTTACTCCAGGACTGGCCTGCGTCAACACTCGAACTAAGGATAGGGAGTGAAGTAGTCGAACGCGTTGACAACTTCACTTATCTTGGAAGTCTGATCAGCCCTAATGGGTTGGTGTCTGACGAAATCTCAGCACGGATTCAAAAAGCTCGTTTGGCTTTTGCCAACTTACGTCACCTATGGCGAAGACGAGATATCCGTCTATCAATTAAGGGACGAGTATACTGCGCAGCAGTTCGCTCTGTTCTACTTTACGGCTGCGAAACATGGCCATTAAGAGTAGAAGATACTCGTAGGTTACTAGTATTTGACCACAGATGCCTTAGAAATATTGCTCGCATCTGCTGGGATCACCGAGTAAGTAATAGTGAGGTTAGACGCAGGGTATTAGGTAACGATGGTAAATCAGTTGATGAGGTGATAAATCTTCATCGACTGAGATGGTTGGGCCATGTGTTACGTATGCCTGAACACCGATTACCACGACGCGCTATGATGACTAGTATTGGGGACGGTTGGAAGAGAGTTAGGGGCGGCCAAACCAAAACATGGCATCAGTGTTTGAAGTCACTAACTTCTAGCCTGAGCCATGTTGGCAGATGCAGACTACCTGGTTGGGGTCCGCGTGACTATCGTAATAAATGGTTGGAGACTCTAGGTGACATGGCTCAGAATCGATCACAATGGCGTAGGTGTATACACTCTTTATCTTCCCTTAAACCTTGAGATTAAAATTGCTTCATATCTCTCTTCCTTCCTGTACTATATCCTTCTATACAATCTTTCTTTATATACTACCATCACTAAATTAATTGCTTCTATGAATCCGGTGTTCATCTTGTTGTGCTAAAGAGGTATGGCAACTTGGACCGATGCATATATGTGCCTGGTCCTACGTTGTAGCTGACTGACTGACTGAAAGAGCTCTCAGCAACGGAGTTTAGCTGTGTCCGATGTGAAGCAATTATGTACTTATGGGATTGGAATATATTTGCGAAATTCTGCGAGCTAATCACAGTTTAAATTAGTAACCATTGTCTTCAACCCAGTTGACTGGAGTTTAAGCGCTATCCGTGTGATTTTAAGTTGTCTTCAAATAAATAAATAAAAAACAGAACAAACTTACAGCAACATCTAGTATTGTGATATTAAAATGCTTATCTTGTTTCCCGCTCTATGTTTGTGGTTTCAAATCGTTGCCTCAAAGAGTCAGTTTGAACCTATCAATACGACCAATCCCTACAGTCCATGGTTTGATAGGTTGATGCCACTTCTTCGTTTGACCTCTCCTACCTTTCTATAGATCTACTCCTACACAGATGAACACAGCATGTGAAGGTAAGTTGTGGTTGGGGATTTGTCATACGTATCCTAATCATCCCAATCAATGAAGATTCACTAACTTGTCAACTGATTTTCCATCTTTACCTAACTTCAGAATTGCTCACTCAGTGATCTTAACATACTCAAATAAGACATATTTAATACATGCTGATGGCCTGTTCATGTCTTTTAGTTTCAAAGCTTACGTATCCTAGCCACAAAGTGAGATAAAGAGTTAATAAACACTTTATCCATTTTTTGATAGGTAGATATCACGTAGATATCAGTTCTATCCCAGGCAGCATAGTTTGTTGAAATTGAATCTGTAAGACTAAATTAGTCAAATGAAGTCCTCATTTTATTTCATAACATCAGTCAGTCAGTCACAACGTAGAACTTCGTACGTACGTACATCATAACATACATTTTAATGAATAATATTAACTTTATTTATTATTTATTTAACCACATAAATATTGGTACAAGGAAGCACCAGATACATATGCGTCGCACAAATCTCATTTGATTTGTGTGAGGGCTGTGATACTGCCCAGGTGCCCAAACCGAAGAAGGTAGTTTTCTCAGGAGGCCACACCCGGAGCCTTTCACCTAAAGGTCTAATCCACAAGGCAGTGGAGCATCGTGAGGATATGCAGTCCCATGGTAGCCGTTGACCAACGATTGATTCATACGTCATTTGTTCCCTCAGGATCCTGAAGCTCATGTGCACCATTGTTTTGGAATCAGGGTTTTCCAACTCTCCTAGGTGAACTTTCCGTGTCCACCAACCCGATTAAATGGCTGGACATTCGCTTTTCGTCCTCTCAACTTGGTAAACAACACCGGTGCCACGAGAATGCAGTGAGTAGGTCTTCCCTGGCAGAAGCTATATACTCGTGGCCATGTGAGAGGATTTGGAGAGGGAGAGTGGACTCTTCCCACTCTCGGCCGTATCAGGGCATTTGGGGGCATAATATTAGCTAATTTTAATCAAATCAAATTAGTTGTAATCTATAATACATTTTATTTATTTTGCAATTTTATGAAAAGAAATATTGATACAGTTTCAATTCTGGTAGATTATCTCAGTCAAGAAGTGAATACATTCTGTACATCTTGTATGCATGGTCAGTGTTATATTCCTCAAGATAATTCTACGTTATCTACGTTGTCGTTGTCGAATCCCACCTGTTACAGTTCTCATTTAACTGATGAAATAGTGTCATCTAATTTAAACTCTACAAATCTACAATCAATTATTACAACTCCACTTGGTTTAACATGTTGTCTAGCGGAAACTGATGAAAATGTATGTTAGTTTGAATTAATAGCGCATCTTTTTGCGTGTTTATTTTGGTCTCCACATTTTTTAAAGTTATAATAATGAATTTACAGTTTAGAAGATGAATCAGTACTTTATAGGTTGTATTTGTCTTTAATCGATCCTAGTTTGTATGTCATTTATACTAGGGATCACTGAATAGTTGTTTTTATCTTTAAATTGGATTAATTATCATTTCACATTCATGACGATATCAGGTATAGAACACATAGCCTTTGGGTCTTGGAACTAACACTTAACTGTTAGAATCGGTGTCAAGCAGTACAATCGATTTACGAAATAGCACGACGTTCTTTCAATGCCACTGATGATAGTTATTTCACTTTTGACATATTTGAACGCTACCAGTCATCACTTCTCAGAGACCGCCGGAAATAAGTCACTGGTTATGAAGTCATTGGGACTCGCTGTTAAAGAGTCACGAACTAGGTCAAAACAGCTGTTCACTGCTCCCCAGTTTTTAGTGATGCCTTAAATAATTTCTGTAGAAGATGGTCTCATAGTGTCGTGGATTGATTGTCTTATATACTGAAGAGAATTATGAATGATAACTTTTGAGGACTATTTATGGACCAATATGATAAGCATATTTTCTATTGTTAAGTAAATTAACTATTCATATTCATGTTTTTTTATTGTAAGTTTTATTTTAACCCATAGTCTGTTATTATATGATGTACCGTTCTTGAGTTATCTTCACTCTATTAATTACTGTTCCTCCTATTCACAGCCACATTTCACTGAATCTTGTACAAATGTTATTTTCTATTTTATGGTACAATGTGGTCCGTTTGTTCGGTATATAAACCCAGTATACTTGAGAATAATGATTCATATTGCAGAGGCTGTTATTAGTGTTTTGAACTTAAGTGGCTGGGCTAAGCAGAAAGTAGGACTGATAAGTACTCAAGACTGCTCGTCACGGTTTTTTGTGTATCATTGCTCTGATCGATAATTCACTGTTCTCTAATTGGCGGCATCGTCACGTTATATATTAAACAGGTCACGCAGGAACAAGTTATAGCAATTGGCGTCCACAGGATATAACGGATTGAAGTTAGGTATTGACACTTTTAGATGACGATTCACTGATCTAGAAGTTGAACGTTTACGTGCGAGACCGAAGATTTTGGGGTTCTACTTCCTTTAGTGATGGACGAAACAACAGTTGGGTGCTTCCAGATTTTCAGTGGCGGTTTAACTTGTATCGATCCATGGTTTTGATGAAATATAACAGTCATCTCTAATCCACTACTTGATCGGTGGTTAAAATCCTCCACTTCTTTTAGTTTGATTTAGGTGACCCATATGAATGAATACGTATTTGATGAGTGTGTGAGTGTGTTATACAACCTTTTTTCTATGCTTAAATTTTTTTGCATTTATTCCTTATTTATATTATTTAGAAAGCTATTGAAATAGCTTCAATTCTATTGAATATTGGTGCAGTTGATTTGAACAATCAATTATTTGTATACATGATGAAAAAATCATTTTATAAGTTTGCCGGTTTGCTGTTTATACATGAGATACTACTTAAATCTACTGAAATAAACAAGCCTATTGAAAAAGATTCTACAGTTATTATAAGACATTTAAATTTATCTAACATGAAATCTCTTCAATCTTCAATAATATCAAATTCATTCTGGTATTTAAATTCTATCATACCACAATGGATTAAACTTCTAGAAGATCTATCGAAATTCAACTATGTCAGTTCATTGAAATCGTCATCATCATCAATGTCAACATCAGTAAAGCAGGAATCTACTATGAATGAAAATAATGATAATCGTGAATTATATAAATATATTAGTCAACTATTTTTATCACTTCTACGACCTACTTTCACTATGAATTTTTTCAATAATATATCTAATCAGTTGATTACACGTATTACAATGTCAAATTGTGGTTTAAAAACACTTCCATGGTGTTTATTTAATTGTGTTAAAAATTTAAAGGTAATAGTTTTGAATTTTGGTATGTTAAAACAGTAGAGTAAGTGTCAATCAGTCAGTCAGCTAAAACGTAGGACCAGGCACATGTATGCATCGGTCCAAGTTACCATACCTCGTTAGCACAACAAGATGAACACCGGATTCATAGATATAGTTAATTTAGTGGTGGTAGTATATAAAAGATAGGTTGTATATAAGGATATAGTATAGTAAGGAAGACAGATATGAAGCAATTTTAATCTCAATGTTTAAGGAAAGATAAAGAGTGTATACGCCTGCGCCATTGTGATCGATTTTGAGCCATATCACACAGTCTCCAAACATTGGTTACGATAGTCACACGGACCTCAACCAAGTAATCTGCATCTACCAACATAGCTCACACCAGAAGTTAGTGACTTCAAGCTCTGATGCCACGTTTTTGTTTGACCGCCCTTAACTCTCTTCCAACCATCCCCAATATTAGTCAGCATAGTGCGTTGTAGTAATCTGTGTTCAGGCATACGTAACAAGTGGCCTAACCGTCTCAATCGATGAGGATTCACAACCTCATCAACTGATTCACCATCATTCTCTAATACTCTGTGTCTAACCTCATTTTTACTTACTCGGTGATCCCAGCAGATGCGAGCAATATTTCTAAAACATCTGTGGTCAAATACTAATAACTCACGAGTATCTTCTACTCTTAATGGCCGTGTTTCACAGCTGCAAAGCAAAACAGAACGAACTGCTGCGCAGTATACTCGTCACTTAATTGATAGACGGATATCTCGTCTTCGCCATAGGTCATGTAAGTTGGCAAAGGTCAAACGAGCTTTTTGAATCCGTGCTGAGATTTCGTAAGACACCAACCCATTAGGGCTGATCAGACTTCAAAGATAAGTGAAGTTGTCGACTCATTTGACTACTTCATTATTTGATTTTATTTAGACAATCATTAAAAGTTATTAATCGTTAGACAACTGTTCTCATCCATCCAGATCTCGAACCTGGGACTTCAAGCCCTAATGTGGACACAGTATCTTTAAAATACTATATGGAAATTGGTGAGACTACTTGGTCGTTGTTCAGAATTATTTACTAATAAGCAACATAGAACCTTGCATTTTGTAATTGCGATCTCTATAGTTAAAAGACTCAACTTTAAATTAATTACTGGATTGCATGCTTGAATTCCTGATCCTTTAAATTTGATTTTGAGCAGTGGAAATAATAAGTAGCTTTAGCACAACTCAAACAAATGATGTGTAACTCAAAGCCGAGTACAAATACTTCTATTTCATTATAGATTTATATTCAGTTAATTTACTTAATAAAATATTATAAACGGTGTAATTGTACATTACTGAGGACTTACGATGGCCCTTGAACTGATTTTTAGTAAGTAAAAGTATGGCTAATATAGGTGAATAAGGTATTACATAAAAGCTCATGAAAGGTTAGGTCAGAAGTTAGGGTTAAACTATTGTGAAACTACTCGTTCCAATAAATGATCAAAATTCTTATAAACTAATTCGAAATGCTTGTTTAATTAGTTATGCCTGTGTGTTAACACATACTATTACACTACTTTTCATACGTTCACCTTCATGATTGGCGATGATAAAGAGTTTAACTGATGAACTGGTCTAGATTTTTGATCAACTTTTAATTGGTGCTTGAATAAGTCTGCTGTGTAAGAGGTAGGTTTACATCAACCATCAAATCAGTCTCATATCTCTCAGCCACATTCAGTTTTTATATTTAACTGCTCCGAAAATTTCAATATTGTATCATTTCTTTTCGAACTGTATTTGTATTCTCATCATTTTTGATATTATACTTACTTTTACTTGGATTGTTAGTCTTACAGTGATATGTTATGATGGCTACCATAACAGGTGATGTTTATTGATGTAGAAGTGGGTTGGAGAGTAGCAAGGGATGGTTTAATCAAGAGGTAGGATCAGTCCCTAAAGCCATCGACCTTTGGTCTGAGCCATGTTGTTAGATGCATATAACCTGGTCGGGGTCTGCGCGGTAATCTCGATCACTAGTTGGAGATGTTGGGTGACATAGTCTCTGTGGCATAGGTGCACTCGCTCTTTGTATTACTCTAGATCCTCTGTTCCAGTATTCCTTTATACATACCCTTTCATTATCTCCTCTCTCCATATTCACTGTTTATTCCTTCACACTATCGTTGCAACCACATCATTTCGATTCCATTCACCATTAACCGTGTTAATTTCTTCTTGTTTTACTATTGTGGTATGATGAACTGAGCCGATATAGCTATGTACAATAGGTTCTACGTTGATTTTGATTGAATGGCATATCTCGCTCCACTAACAGGAATTCCAGTAAATTTTGTCAATACTCCGCACATTGTTGCCAGGTTTTGTACATTGATTGTAACTGAATAATTGATTAAATATGGTTTTTAAATCACGAACTGATCTTAGTTCAATCACTATTGAAGACCCAGAAACTCTGATAGGCCATTTCGTTCTAGTAAAGACCTATTCAGTAACACATAACCGCGACCCTTTATACGGGAGTCGAAACTAGGACTTTCGGTCTAACACATAGGAACGCTTAACCTGTAGACCACTGAGTTGGAATTCTACGTTTCTAATGCTCAAATTTAATCAATTCACAATATTGCGTGTTTATACTTTAGTTATTGTTTTACGAATAGTTTTTTCTCCCTTTCTTTCGAAAATCCTTTTCAAAGGAATTAGATTTAAGTAAAAATCATATTCGAAATTTACCTACACAATTACCGAATGTTCCAATGGCATATCGCTCATGTCAATTCGTCTCTACTTGTTGGACATCTAGTTTGATCTATTTAGATTTATCAGAGAATTATCTGGACTATTTACCATCATGGTTATTTGTCAATATGTATGAATATGAACAAGGCATCATATCGTCCTCTTGTAAAGGAAAACTAAACAACAACGTCATTGATTCCCATCCTCTTCGTCGATGTTATTCAGAGACCTCAATCAATACCACTACTTCTTCATTATATCATACAACAGTGATGAATGATTCTTTTGCACCAAATTTGTTACATTTATTATTATCAAAAAATCAATTACGTGTACTACCATCGGAAATATGGACAGGCTCATTATGGTGTAAATTGGAATCTCTTGATTTAAGTTGGAATAAAATTACTTACTTACCAATGCCGAATTTATTAAAAGTACAATTTGAACATTCGCGACAAATGTATAAGCAATCATTATATATGAAAGTTAGTTATAATTGTTTCATAATAATGTATTTTATAATCCAAAGGGATTTTTCAAGATTTATTCAATATTTTGATTTTTATATATCATCAGAAGGGGCTTTGTGGAGATTTCAGTATTTTCATAGTTGAAATCATGAGTCAATTGAAGCTAGAACACCATGGAAAACTTGTAAGCAATGGACGGCCATTTCGTTCTTTTGTAGGATTCCTCAGCCGTGCACATCCACGATCCCGCCTAGCTAGATTCGAACCTACGACCTACCAGTCTCGCGTTACTGCTTATAGTTGAAATCAGTAGAAGAATGGATTTCATCACTATTTTGTTCCAGTTTGGTTTGTGAACAAGGTGATTTCAAGTGTTAGTAAAGGTCTATCAGGGTGGTTTATTATTTCCTGGTTGTCTCAGGTTGTCTATACAACACCTTAGCCAATTCCCTCTTCAGTTATCTCAAGAAGAAATATCATATCACATATGCATATCGCATATGCAAGGCCCAAGAAATAACTGTTTGAGGCCAGTCACAGGGATTCTCTTCTACTATTTCCGATGGTTTAGCTCCCTACTATTTAGGCCTTGGTACTGCCAACGGAAATCCATGTGGTAAAATAAGGTGTACTGTTTTTGAGGTCGATCTTTCCTAAACTCCCCTTTCGTTGTGCGAAGGAGACATCGTTACAAATGCTGGTTGTCTGAGGGAAACTCCAATAAGTTTTTCTGTATAACTTGACCTTCTAAACTTTAATACTGTTAGTATATATATATATATATATATATATATATATATATATACGTTGATTAAAGTTGAAGAACCGGGAATACTAATCGGTGCTTAATATAGATGAGGAGAAAACGTTCATTTCAGTATAACCAGACAGCAACCAAAAATGATCGACAAGAAAATTGCACAATAAATGAACTGTTACTCACAAGTAATATAGTTGGAATATACAGATCACATGATCTTCTGTTTAGGCTGATGCTCTATTTCCTTTCAACTTAACACCTCTGATAACTACAAAGTGCTAAAATGGCAGGAAATGAGCATGCATAATCTTGAAATAATTTCAGTCTAGCCGTTCTAGATTCCTCCGTGTTACACTTTCGATGTTTTATTGTGATTGACAGTCAATCCTATTGAGAAGCTTTGATATGTTATTTGCTTCTAGTTATGATATCTGTTAACTGTATACTCAAACAAAATAGACTAAGTTTGTCTTACTGAATATTGACCTACTTTAGTTGAATAACGAAATCTTTTATTAAAATAGTACTTTCAATTTTCTACATCATGTATGTTATTATCTGGTAAATGCACTCAGCTTTGTGCGCTATGCTATTTACAGGGTAGTGGTCCACATGATTATCAGAATCAATGGTTAGAGACGCTTGACGACACAAAACTGAATCAGTCACAATGACGCAGATACATTCACTTTTCTCTTCTCCTAAATCTTGATTTTTTTAAATTATCGTACATAGTTTGTTTTGCGAATTCATATTTGATTCTGGAATTATATCGTCTATTCTCAATGTTATTAGATATGGATTCATGTACTTGTTTCAAAAGTTATACTCTAAGTACTAAAGGATAATGATACTATTAGGTCGTTGTAACCAATTTAGATGAAACAAAGTTCAAACATACAGTTTAATAATTCATTTTTGTATTGTTTGTTTGAATCTTCCCATTGATGCTCAGGATTGCAATGGATCAGCCTCTTATTGGCATTTGTGCATCCTATGTGGATTGCCTCTATATTGTCTTAATAAATAAAATAGGACGAAACGCTTGTCCTGGATTCGATTGCTAGCCACTATTCATCTTTGCTTATGCCTTTTAATAGGTAAAAGTTGTAACATCCATTGTTTCACAATTAATCTTAGTGAACAATATGTAGCAAATTTTAAATCCGGTTTAGATAATTATTTTTTTGTTAATCAATTAGTATTACTAGCTTGTAGCCTTGCGCATAATTCTGTACTTGTTAGAGATGAGTTATACAAATGAATATATTCTATTGTATTGATTCATAGTTGTTCAGTTGTATTGTATGCAGCCCAGACCGTTGCTGCAATCCCTACCATTGCTGCTACCTTGACGTGGTGGTCGGGCTTGACTATCGTGATGAACCAATCGAGCTATACTGGCTCGAACAATCGTTCCTCGAGGTCCTACCATGCCAGACAGATCGGTTGAAGAGAGGTAAGACTAAAAGCAGCAAACCGAAGGCAAAGTCGTATTGCTTATTGTACAGAGGTGTGACAGCAGTAAGGTGTTTCCTTCAGAAAGCCAGCATAACAGCGATGCTGCCTTCCCACAAAGACGGGTGGGGTTAGAAAAGGTCGACCCGAAAAATGCCCACCTCACTTTAGCCCACGGATTTCCGTCTCCGACGGTAAGGTCCTTTAAAGAACGAAGCTAACACAAAAACTACAAAAACTAGGTCGTGTGTGACCGACCTCAAGCAGTTGTCCCTTGGGAACAGCGGTCACGCTCTCAGGTCATTAAGACCACTTCTAACCCAATTTCTTTTTCAGGTACTTCTAGAAAAACCCTTCCACAGTGTGGGCAACCGGGAAGTGATAACTGCCTTCATACCTCTAACAGCATTCAAGATCACTGTATTCATAATCAATCTCCTCAATTCCCGACGATTGTATAAAACGTTGCCATTTCATGCCTAATATGAAATATTCAGTTAAAGATGAATTAATATGGAATGTGTTCTTTCAAGACATTGTATTTCCCAGTAATCTAGAACAAAAGAATCATCAATATCATATTATACTTCACTTGATTGTAATTGACTTTTAAAATTTTATTTGTCTTTCTTCTATCTGGTTATATTATTATATAATTTTTATTAAATTAATAGACACAATGCCTAAAAGCAACTGACAAAATCAATTACTGTACTCTATTTCCAAATAGTACTGAAGGAGTTACATTTAATTTTAATTCAGAAAGTGTTTCATACCTACCGACTGATCAACTGATAACTACAATAACAAATCATTATCAACCTGTAGAAAATTATATTACTTCTAATATTAACAATTATAATGACAATCTATTTGAAAGAAAACTTGTTGACTGTTTATATCAATATGGTATGTGGATAAATTTGTTAATTGATAAGAAAGTTTTAATTTTTTATGAGGGTAAGAAGTAGTTTTTTTTTCGAGATTGGACTCTCCGAGCTGGAGAGGTTTAATTTTGAAACTTGCTGTTATGTTTTTTTAAAAACATTATCAGTATATGTGTCGGCTTACTTCTATCTATCTTGGCGAGGCCTTGTGATGTGTGCACTTTGCCCCAGAATGCCCTGGTACGGCCGAGAGTGAGAAGGGGGCGACCCTCCCTTTCGAAATGCTCTTAAATGGTCACCCGTATACAGCCTCTGCCAGGGAAGTCCTACTCACTGCCTTCTCGTGGCACCGGTGTTGTTTACCAAGTTGAGAGGACGAAAAGCGAATGTCCAGCCATTTAATCGGGTTGGTGGACACGGAAAGTTCACCTAGGAGAGTTGGAAAACCCTGATTCCAAAACAATGGTGCACATGAGCTTCAGGATCCTGAGGAAACAAATGACGTATGAATCAATCGTTGGTCAACGGCTACCATGGGACTGCATATCCTCACGATGCTCTACTGCCTTGTGGATCAGACCTTTAGGTCAAAGGCTCCGGGTGTGGCCTCCTGAGAAAACCACCTTCTTCGGTTTGGGCACCTGGGCAGTATCACAGCCCTTACACAAATCAAATGAGATTTGTGCGACGCATATGTATCTGGTGCTTCCTTGTACCAATATTTATGTGTTTAAATAAAATAAAATAAAAAATCTAGTTTGTGCGTAGAAAGATAATCGGAACCTAATGATTAAACTAAATAATTCAGAAGACCCAATTTCAACAAAATCATACATGAAAGTTACAAATTTTCACCATATTAAAATGAAATATTATGACTGACTTAGAAAAAGATTACTAGGGTTCCAATTTACCTTATAGCACGTGTCACCAATCCTGGTAACCAATAATTTCTCGACGTAATTTAAGAAAAGCTCTCTTGACATTTGTTAACCTAATCCTTATTTTTCATTGATGTGGTGTTTGGCTATCAAACGTCGCGTATATCTTGCAGGGGCTTGCTGTTTACTACGTATGAAACATACTTTTTTCTATGAAAGTACAAGAATTTGATTATAGGTGTTTTCAAAGTATTGGTTTGTACACGTTGAAACCAATAATGTGAGTATTGATAAGGTTAGATGAAGAGTGTTAGGTAAAAATGGTAAAACGTTTGTGGTGATCGTTGAGTTTCATAATTGAAATAATTTCATAATCTACAAATTCTAACACTTATTATGATCATGTACTTATTTGTGTCTAGTTTCTAGAGACGAAAAAGCCATGAGTAATGGAGTTGAACCATGTTTGAAGTGAGACAGGTATCCATTGATGGAATCGGATGATGGTTACGCAAAACTACGAATTGATTGAAGTTAAACTTGTAAACTAATGTTTGCAAACTCGTAAGGATTGTGAATCTTGAGTTTGCTCTCTAGTGGTATCGTTGGTGGGCGCCAATGAGGTGTTTATACTAAAACGAAACAGTTGTCCAACGCTTCTTAATTTTCAATGGCTGTCTAGCCAATGTCTGCTTCTAATCTAAACTATAAAGGATGACAAGTCAATTGATGGTGTACACATCGATTATCTACCTAATTCGATTGGCAATGGTACAAAAAATCTGACTTGAAGCTGAATACACGTTTCTGTATTTTGTTACTGATTCGTGTTAATAAAATTAACCATCACTAATACTAATAATATAGTTTATATGCCAACATATTTGGTGTGCTAGAAAACGGTATTCATTATTGTTAGTGTACAGTTTCTGTCCTATCGATTATCAAGTTATAGCTTCTGAGAGCGCTCTTCAGTCGAATTATCGTTGTTGTAATGGGGTCTTATGAAAAGCATACTATCCCCTCAAATCATGATAAAGTATGGCGAGTAATGGTTAATTACTTTGTATTATTAGAATACTTCAATGAGTTCATTTAAAATCCTTATACTATCTCTTTTCATTTCTGTGCTTTTGCCTATTTGGTAACTCCTAAGGGAAATATATTTGTTCCTGTCAATGTAAATCTTTAAAAAGGATGTTACATTCACTCGAGGTTACAGTTTGTTAACAAGTGCAGTGTTATATGTGAAATGGAGATTTATCACTTAAAATCATTCTCATTGTGAATAGTATTTTTAGTCTTTAGTTACTGACTTTCTGGATTCAGAAGCTCAATAGATAATACATCGGCATTTGAAGCAGATTTTTCTGGGCTTATAGCCTTAATGATGCGAACATTGATACTGAGATGAAGGTATATCTAACTGATAAGCCCTAAATAGGTTGAGATTACGCTTCCTGGATTTCATTGTTAGTTATAATCCATTTATTCTAAACAATACATCATAAGTAATATCTAGTATTAGAGATAGGAGGAAAGTAAGCAGCTTTGTATGACACCGGTCCTGATTTGGAATGGATCTGTCAGCTGTCCTTCATGCACCACTATTCAGTATAGTCCATCGTAGGAATTCTGTATGATGTTGATTATCTTTTCATGTACACCATAATGTCGAAGAAGATTCCATAAGGTTCTCCTATCCACGCTGTCAAACACCTCATAGTCAAAGAAGTTGATTTATAGTGATGGATTCCATCTGTAGCTCTTCTGGGGTTACTACTGGTTCCAAGCCCAAGTAAAGGAGGAGGGTTGGTCATCGGGTAACCAACCCGAAAACAACTTTGTTAGAAATATGCTAACCATAATAATCCATTACGATCGACTAATACGAATAATTAACTATATTTATTAATTTATTCGTTTGTTTATATGTTTCTTTTTAATTACAGAACAACATACAAGTCATCTTACACATCTTTGGTTACATCATAATTGTCTTAAAACATTACAGTTAACTCATTCAATTTCTTCAATCAACAATTATTCAACTCGTATACATTCATCGAAATTATTACATCAAATAAGTCTTGCTCAAATTTGTCCAAATCTTCTATATTTAGATGCTAGTTATAATTCTATTGAGAATTTTTTCGATTTATTTTTATGTCCAGAATCTATCATTTATATTGATTTAAGTTATAATCATATGAAAATCCCTGATGAGCATCATCATCATCATGATTATGATTCTCAATCATCTTCACCATTGGCATATTGTCAGTTTGAAACTTTTTCTAAATCATTTTCGATGAATAGATGCCTTTCTGAGAAGAATAGATCCAAGTAAGTATTTATTTATTTATTTCATTGTTCTAAATTCAATTTGACTTGTATAGCCTGAATGTATTAACTGAAATAAAAATCATAAATTTGTAATTTAACAGACTGAGAGTCCTGGATCTATTTTGCTGATGGAGTTGAAGGTATTTAGTATCACTAAGAGTGGGGACTCTTAATGTAAGTAAGAATCCATTGCTCAATGTTGCATGATGTACGATGGTTTTATCTAATTGTTATCAGTTCATGATATGCTGGAATTCAGGACACTGACCTCAAACCATCAAAGAGTCATCAGCTGCATGTATCTGTCATTCAATGTTAACGTTTAAATTGGGTCTGGAATTCCATAGTTTTGGTTTCAAAAGTCATTATGTTTTCCGCTGAATTACTGAGTCCATATTACTGCTAATTTGTTCAACAGATTTCAATATCATTATTCGTAATGACTTGAATTATGCTATAATCCCAAATTGAACATCAATACTGGGTTGCAGATACATCTAGCCGACAAGTCTCATATAGGACAAAACGTGAGTCCTTCATCTCACCCATCCATCCACAATTCATCGATTCGACGAACAAAAATGTGTGACTGTTGGGGATGTCAAATCCCCAGAACTTACTTGGTAAATGGCTTAATCTTGTAGTTTTATTTTGAAAATTTGAATTTAGCTGTTTTCGCGCCAAAAGCGCTCTTTTTACCTTCACGTCATATTTCCCACCTGTAAACTATCTTAACCGCTATTGGTCCTTTGTTTCTTTGTGTGTGCTATTTACCAATGATGCTCAAGGACAAATTGTTGTTGTATAAATGCGCTTGACTTTTTCCATTATTCGATTGCTTGTACTCGGCTGCTTACGGAATACATATATATTCCCCTACTTGCCTTGGACTTCTTCATCTAGTTAGCGGGGCCTGGGACAACAGATTAGAATAGCTTATCGTGTCATTGTGTCATTTGGTTTTCGTTCGTTACCGCGGAATCGATTTAGTTTCAGGCATAACAATTGGCGACGGGGACAAAAGTGAAAAATGACGCTCCCTTCTGACCGCTTACAGTTGCTCTTTGACCGACATTTGGAGTTCATGGTCAAACTACGTACACAGTTTCTTGATCATCAATGCTTCACATATGCGTCAGAAGTGGATGTATTAATCTCTGAATTGCACACAGAGCTAGCAAATGATCGCAGCCCCCATGATTCCTCAACAAGCCGCAACCTAAACGAAACTGCAGTATCACAAGACATGCCCGGTTGTCCATCACTATCCGTTTCAGCAACATGCTCGGTAGTGGATTCAAACTCCACTATCCTGGAATTAGCAGGTCCTATCAATGACGCTTTCAGCTCTCATCGACACGATGCTATGTTAAAAGCTCATGAAGTGGTCGCACCAATCACCTACGAAGTGCCAGACATCATATCGAGCAGCACACCGAGCGAATCGCATTCTGCAATAGAAATTTTTACCGAATCTAATGCCAAAGATTCCCAAGCTTGTCCAGGAAATTTGTTACATGCATCAAATCCGGAACCTAGCGCAGTTTTGCTGGACACTGTTTTTCATAGTGATCCACAACCTGCCAGTGATGTTTGCAATAAGTCTAATGACTACATTTCTGCAGAATCAAATTCTGACCTCACATCAAGTGTCGATCCTCACCATCCAGTCAATCTTAGCAGGTTCCCTATTGAATGCCAGAAACATGTTATAAATAGAATCGCATTAGTAGAAAATTGGGTATATGAGGATCCAACACTATTTCGTGGGGGAGGAGGAGCTCGGATTTCTTAAAAAGGGGAGGTGTTGGGGATGTCAAATCCCCAGAACTTACTTGGTAAATGGCTTAATCTTGTAGTTTTATTTTGAAAATTTGAATTTAGCTGTTTTCGCGCCAAAAGCGCTCTTTTTACCTTCACGTCATATTTCCCACCTGTAAACTATCTTAACCGCTATTGGTCCTTTGTTTCTTTGTGTGTGCTATTTACCAATGATGCTCAAGGACAAATTGTTGTTGTATAAATGCGCTTGACTTTTTCCATTATTCGATTGCTTGTACTCGGCTGCTTACGGAATACATATATATTCCCCTACTTGCCTTGGACTTCTTCATCTAGTTAGCGGGGCCTGGGACAACAGATTAGAATAGCTTATCGTGTCATTGTGTCATTTGGTTTTCGTTCGTTACCGCGGAATCGATTTAGTTTCAGGCATAACAGTGACAAAATAGTTATGCCGAGGCAGTACGCACACAGAATGTACATATCTCAACAATGACTAATCAGAATTCATTCTTCAATATATCAACATCAGGTCGATTCCAATAGTTTTTAATGATGATATATGCTCTTTCTTATGTAATGTTTCTGTTATATCGATTGAGTGCGTTCTTACCCAGTTGGTATATATGACGTTATGAGGTCGCCAACTGGAGATCAGTGAATTTATCGATCAGATCCAATGACACACGAAACCCATACGAGCAGTCTAGAGTACTTAGCGGTCCTGCTTCCTGCCTAACCCAGCCAGTTAAGTCCAGAACATCAATAACAGCCTCTGCAATATGAATCATTATTCACAAACATACTGGGTTTATATACCAATCAAACAGACCCCATCGTACCATAAAATAGAAAGATTCAGTCAAATGTGGCTATGAATAGGGGGGGACAGTAATCAATAGACTGGATATAACTCAGGAATGGTTAATCGTATAATAATAGTCTATAGATCAAAATAAAGCTCATAATAAGAGGGACACGAATATGGATACTTTAGTTACTTAACAATTATAAAATAGGAAATATGCGTATCATATTGATCTATAAATAGTCCTCAAAGTTACTGTTATAAACAATAGAGGATGCTGATTATAACTCTTGGGGGTTTCTAGTTATAACAGTCCTTTTACTTCTCACACGTATGTGGGATGCTAATTTACCTTAGACGAATATCTACACTAGATTCCTACCTAGTGTCTATTCTACAGGAATTCAACACAACTCAGATCAAGAACACGAGATTAGCCTGACTATAACGTTAATATATTTCCACACCAAAATCCGACACAAAGAACAGTCAATCAATAAGTGTCCTAATTGGGCGGCCTGTTTAAACATCTGGGCTACCTGTTTCCCGTCATCTATATATTTCAACAAGTTATCTAATATTTTTTTTTTAATACATAATTATGACTATTAAGCACACAAACTATTCCGGTGCGTTTCTGAAAACTGTACAACCTTTCGCTGTAAAAGTTACAAAAGGCCTAATCAGAGATGTCGTGTTTGCTGGGAACATGTAGCAAAAGGAATATACACTATTCATATGTCGATTGACTGAACTGCTGACATCCAACTGGCGATCACTGAATGTTTATCATCAGGAGCAACGAAGAAATAAGAAACGTAAACATGTTGAAATACTTTATGCTGAGAATTCGATTTTGTACCAAATAATATAATATTGAATAAAGCTAATAATAATAATAATAAATAAATAAATCAACAAGGAACTGTTCATACATAATAAGGATAGGGAAATATATATAACATATATAACACCCGTCATCCTGTCTAATGTTTGACTCATCAAGACAACCAATCATTATCATTCTCGCCCACACATCAGTTACCATTCATAATTCTCCACGGGATACAACAATTACCATTTGTCAGAAGGGGTTTTGTGGTGGTCTAGCTTCAATTGACTCATGATCTCAACTCTATAAATTACCATTTGTATTGTATATAAAATATCTTTTCTTTTGTTTTAACTTATTTCAATACATAAATATTATTATTATTTTTCCATATATTTAGCTCTACATCATATTCATTACGTAATTGGAATTTAAATACATTCTCAATGTATAATTATTACTCAAAATTGGAGCATCTCAATTTAAGAGGCAATCAATTTCATATATTCCCTTATTGTTGTTATACTAATACATTAATCGATAAACTTAATCAAACGAAGGTATTTTACAAAAAAATCCCAACATTTTAATTCATTTAGTATTGTTTGTTTGAATCTTCCCATTGATGTTTAGGACTGCAACTAGTCAGTCTCTAATAACGCGATAGCGTTTGAAGCGAAAGGTACTGGGTTCGAGTTCTGGAGTGAACATCAACTCTAAGATGCAGGTACATCCAGCTGACGAGTTCCAAGTAGTACGAAACGCGTGTCTTGAATTCCACTTCTAGCCACTATCCATCTTTGCTTACAATACTTTTTAATATTTCATTATTACATCAGTGTTTCATTTGTTTGTTTGTTGATAAAACGTATTTTATTATCTCCCAAAATGATGGTTCTGTTACTTTTTTTAAAAAAAAAAACAAGAATGGTTCATTGTTTTAATAGAAATGAACATTGGAGTGAAACAAATTTGTACATAAATTACGGCCCCAAATGTCCTGGTACGGCCGAGAGTGAGGAGGGCCCACATTCACGAAATGCTCTCACACGGCCACGCGTATACAGCCTCTGTCAAGAAAGTCATACTCACTGCATTCTCGTGGTATTACTGTTCTTTACGAAATCGAGAGGATGAAAAGCGAGTGTTCGGCGCTTCAACCGGGTCGGTGGACATGGCGAGTCCAGCTAGAGAAGTTGGAAAACCCTCATTTCAAACCAATAGTGCACATGGGCTCCAGTATCCTGAGGGAACGAATGGCGTATGAACCAACTGTTGGTCACCGGCTACCATGGGACTGCATCTCCTTACGATGCTCCACTGCCTTGTGGACTAGACCTTTAGGTGAAAGGCTCCGGGTGTGTTCCCCTGGGAAGACCACCTGTTTCAGTTTTGGCACCTGGACAGTATCACAGCCCTCACACAAATCGAATGAGATTTGTGTGGTTCATATTTATCTGGTGCCCCTTTGTACCAATATTTGTGTTTAAATGAATAAATAATGAAACATAAATTACAATAAATATGACTTTGAGATACATTAGTAAAGACAATATTTTGAGTTCAAAAACAGCCAATCAAATAACGATAAAGGTCAATAGAGGTGGGAAATATAAAATGAGAAAAAGTTACCACAGAGTTCGTCATATATCAAAACTATCAGATAATTACAATGGCGTTACGCAATGGCGTTTGAAGCGAGGGTACTGGGTTCGAATCCCAGAGTGAACATCAACTCTGATATGCAGGTACATCCAGCTGACGAGTCCCAAATAGGACGAAACGCGCGTCCTGGATTCCACTGCTAGCCACTATCCATCTCTGCTAACCATGCTTGTGAATTAAGGTATATCGAGGCAATACGCACAGTATGCACATATGCCAATTAGAGACTGACCAGTTGCAGTCCTAACAAATCGATGGGAAGATTCAAACAAACAATACTAAGTTGAATTTAAAAATAAGATAGTTTCAAGTTTGTCTAATACATAAGTTTCTGCTTCTCACTAGAACTCCAGGAAATACCTCAAGGAGCTAGTAACTAGTGAGCTTATGATCATTATCAGAAGGGGGGTTTTGTGGGGATTTTAGTAATCTTTAGACTGTGGTCTAGCTTCAATTGACTCATGCTCTCAACTATATAAAATTACTAAAATCTCCACAAAACTCCCTTCTGATAATATGTAAGTTATTTGTTATTCATAAATAACTGACTAGTTGATATGGTGTGTACGTACACTCTGTTGTATTACTTAATAATATCCTTTATATTTTCAATAGTATTATCATAAAAATCATTAAGACTATTAGTGTTATCATTAAATTGTATTCATTCCTTTAGAGATTCAATGAATTTCAACTGATCAAATCACTTTCATTTGGTATACAGTCATCATATGAAGTAAATTTGGCATCATCTTATTTAATGTCAACTGAAAAAGAAATTTTGCTATTATTTTCAAAATTGAAATCATTAGACTTAGGTGAAAATCCTTATTTAAAATGTATCTGTCCTAGTCTGTTACATTCAATGAATTTACAATACCTTTCATTGGATTGTTGTATAACGTTGTGCGAGGTAAAGCTGTTATTTGTTTGTTGGTGGGTGTTTTTTGTTCTTATTTGTACTTATTTGGCAGAATTCCAAATGATCGAATTGAATTCATTTTATGTTTGAAGATATTTAATAGTTATCTCTCGACTATCTATCATACTACACCTTTGTAGTGTTGCTTTGATTCCATTGTAATGTAATATTATTAAACTATGTGTTATGTCTTGTGACCGTTAATAAATATCACGTGTCAAGTCATCAGTCAGATTCCTGATTTTAATTTGTTTTTTTTTTGCATTTACTATTAACTTTGTAGCTAAGTGTCTCTGACTTGGCCAATTACCCACCCGACTAGCACTTTTAACCTTAAGTTAACTACTAAAGTCGAATTGTTCCACTAATCGCAAGCTTCTCTCTATGATCTGCCTTTGAGTCTAAAAGTCAGTAACAAACCTGTCCTATATTAATATCTTGAACAGATGTAGTTTATATACAGACATATCGGACGGTATCAAACCATAAAAAAGTCAAAACTGATTGTGAAAAGGACAAACTGTGAATAGTAGACTTGGAAAATATTAAGAATAATGAATCGTATAACGTTAGTTAGCAGGTCACCTGAAAGCAGTTCTGGAAATTGCCATTCCTTCAATTTTCCTGTTGACTTATGTACTGACTTTTTTTAAAAGATCCATCATACTATTTATTTTTTAAATTTTAGCTACCGGGTGATTTATTTCGTCTGCCAAATCTACAAAGTATTTTATTAAATAAAACACCATTTATCAAACATTTAGCAACACTGATCGATCCTACTTTAAAAGTAAACCAAGTTGTTGGAATACAAGGCAATAACAATAATGATAATGATATTAATGATTATCCAAATTTGAATGAAAAAATCTACACACGACGTATACTTTCATGTTTGAAATCAGTAACAGATCAGTATGTATCTATGTGTGTGTGTGTTCTAGTGTTCTGCTTCATTTCGATTATTTATCATATATATTAAGTTGTGATTTTTTTTATCTTATTAAGTTGTCAGAAGTAATTCTTGTGGAGATTTTAGTAATTTTATAGTTGAATTCATGAGTGTATTGAAGCTAGACCACCATGGAAAACCTGGAAGCACTAGACGGTTGCTCAATTTCGTGGATTGGTTGAAGTTAGACATTAACCAAATCTCTTGGGGCGGGATCGTTGATGCACACTGCTGAGGAGTCTCACAATAGGACGAAATGATCATCCAGTGCTTCCAGGTTCACTATGTTGGTCTAGCTTCAATTAACTCATGAATTCAATTATAAAATTATTAAGTTGTATTTCTAGTAATCTAGGTATATTTGTGAAGATAAGTTTTGTATTTGACCCTGATCCTAATAATGAAGTGACAACAGACATAATTATAACTCTTATATATTTATTGTTTACTGAGCCACGAAGTATTGAAAAACGAAACCTGACCTGTGATTGAAAAGAATAATTGTTGGGGAGATCCATACAATTCCTTGAAAAAAGCCAATATGGGCCCTGAAAACTCTGGGAAACATTTTTCTCCAATCAGCATTGAATAGAGGTTTCTTGGAAACTTCCAGAAAGTCAAGAGTCGAGTGTCACATTTCTGATTGGATGATTACCTATCCTGCTACTATATTCAGTAAGGTTCCAGAACTTTCCAGAAGCCCTATGCCATCTGAAATGCTATAGATATCCTAAATTTTCGATACATAAAATAACCTTGGAGTAAAGCGTTCTCCCCATATTTCGCGCCTTTTCTTTCGTGTTCAAGTTGTCGTGCAGAGTTGACCTGAGGTTATTAGAAGAGCTTAGGAACGAATTTTAGGGTTCAGTAAGAAGATTTGTCAATAATTAGTTAGGAAGAAGTTCGATGTTTGTGTATATAGTTTTAATCACTATACAATTACAATGAGAAGCTATTAAATTGTGTGTGCTGATTAGTCCGCCCGCCAACAGATCAGATTTTCAAATAAGGTTGTTGCGACCACCATGTAGAAACATGAATGAAAGTCTGGAGTAGAAAATTTCCTGTTCAACTGACCATCCATGATCTAAAATGTTGATTTCTTGTTCAGCCGCTTTTCAAGTTTCATCTGAAATTGTTTTTTTTTTTTACCCAAATAATGGTTTGATGTTAGCTTAACATTGATTTAGAAAATTCAAGCATTACTAAATAGACATTTCACTGTTTTGTTTAAAACAATGCGAAACAAAGTGCTCTCAGGTTTTTGCCAAAGATTAGGGTTTCAGGTCTTGTGAAGGAGTTTATTTAGAACTCAGCTGCACTTACTTACACATTATGTGTTAGTGTGAAATTTAAGCTGCGACCATTCTCCATTTGAAAATTTTCAAAGCAGGCTGAAAAACTTATTCTAGTTTTATTTAGTTTTTCAAATGAGACATCAGCAATGGATAAGATCTTGACCGTAGCTGCCATATTAACTTGTTGGTCAAATCAGTCTAGTCATATTGGCTATAACACTTATTTTTTTAGGTCCTATCATATCAGGCAGGCCATTTAGAGAGCGGTATAAGCAAAAATCAACGAACTCAAGGTCCAAAGACAAATTTGTTCTGCCAATTGTGCAAAAGTTTGATACAAGTCAAGTGTTTTCTCCAGAAAACCAATATCAATGATTTTGCATTACCACAACAGAAGGAAAGGTTGGACCGAAAAGTAATACACCCCAATTCGCCTCATTCATTTCTTTCTTCCGCAGTAAAGTCTTATAAATTCGCAGCTAATACATCGAGAAGTGCTCATAAACGGCCATGTACGATCGTCCTTATACAGATCTTTTTGGGGTCTGCATTCGTGGATTATGGGCCTTCGAGAAGTAGTGTTTGTCCGTAGTATGAGCAACTGAAGATTGACAACTCACACACTATTGGCAAAACTCTAGATCACCTCGTGTTAAGATACAAACTTGGAATTAAATTTAATTCATTATGCCAGTTGCTTAATTATTCTCTCTAGGTTTCTTCGTACGAATAATAGATCTATTCACATACTGCTTTACGATAGTAAGTGAATCGGGTGTGTATGTATTAAGTTAGTCTAATTACTAATAAAACTTATAAATAAATAAATAATATATTTGTAATATCCCAATGAGTAGAAAAATTAGATTTTCTGACGTTTCGTGACTCAGTGTAAGCCACTTCTTCAGAGAATACATACACACAAAATTACATACATGTCGCTTATAAATCACCTTGACCGAAATGAAATGACGTGACAGTGATTTATTCAGACCTGTTTTTGATTGATCACCTAATATTCTTGGATTGTTCGGTTGTACTATTTAAACTTGGATTAATGTTAATTTGGTTATTTATTCTCTGAAGAAGTGGCTTACACTGAGTCACGAAACGTCAGAAAATCTAATTTTTCTACTCATTGGGATATTACAAATATATTATTTATTTATAACAATCTACCCAATGCTCAATTTATTCAAAATTATCAAATCAAGACTTGGTAATGATACCTAATAAAACTTATGTTCATATTGTACTAACAACTGTACAGTCGTGGTTTGTTTGCTAATTCATTCAACTTTCAACTAATTGGTTGTAAGTTTGAATCCTTCTATGCAAACAGTCGAGTAATTGCCATTTAGTGCCACGTCAAGTTTAATTTTAAGTTGAGTACATAAACCTGTATTTGTGATAAATGACTTATTTATTAATCCATTTTAGTAGTAATTTTATCAGTTCTGTGACCATCATCATCATGATTTTTTATGGTTTTAATTGAACTGAATTTCATTGATTTTATTCTCTTACACTTTCGATTGATTTAATTTTGAAAAGATCCTATCCGTATACTCGATTTCGTGTAATGGTTGTCGGTCCATCAGGAGTGGGTAAAACTACATTAGTTCGTTTGTTACAAGCATCTAAAACTGAGAAATCTTCCTATCAAACTAATTTCAATGGAAATGTAAGTTTCTGTATGATTTTGTTTTTTTTCCTGTTTTTTGCCACTATTTTACATATATGGTTGACAGTAAATCATTGGACTTCAGTTTCATGCAATTGATACTCGTCAACATAGTGTATCTGTAATCTTGAAAGAGCGAATGTTCTCTGTATGATTCGAACCTCACCTCGCCCAGCTTTACAATCTGAAATGCTGCCTCTAAGTCATTTTGGTTCTCAACTGACCTCTCATCAAACTAAGCCATTCACACTGTCTAATTTGGATGCATGACCACATTACAACATGATTGACAGGATTCTTTCAGTTCTTAGGGCTAAACAAACGTACCCATTTGTTATTAATCCGATATCATCTAATTTGCGTCTCATATTATTAGTATCTGGTCAAATAAACGCATAATTTATTCACTAATTATACTACTTAGATGAAGGCAAAGTTTGTGTGTAACTTTGTAAATGTTTAAGGTATATATTTTCAAGGTGTATGTTGGTTTTGTGAGATTTATTCAGATTTTGCTGAATGGTTCTTGATTTATTATCTACATATGATTTTGTCATACACTTCTAGAAAATTCCAGAGATCAAGGAACAAAGATCCTAACCACCAGAATATGCACACAATGTAGATTCAGGAAAAATGTATCCTCTATTTCATTATCATTCCAATGATCTCATTAACCAAATACACGTTTATGTATTCAACTCTGTTTTACACTGTTTGTGTAATGCTCAATTATTGTATTATTAAGTTATCAAGAAAATCATCAGCTAAAAGGTCGATTGGTTAGTCAGTCAGTTATCAATTTAGAATATGATACAGATACTTACCATGTTACTGCATAAACTCTTGATTGTATTGATTGTATTAACTAGTAGTCCCCAAATGCCCTGGTACGGTCGAGAATGGGGAGAGTCCACGCTCCTTATCCAGATGTTTTCACATGGCCATGCGTATATAGCCTCTTTCAGGGAAGTCCTACCCACTACCTTCTCGTGGCCGGGGTGTTGCTTACGAAATTGAGAGGACTAAAAGCAAATGTTCGGCGCTTGATCCGGGTTGGTGGAAACGGAAAGTTCACCTAGGAGAGTTGCGAAACATTGACTCCAAACCATTGGTGCACATGGGCTTCAGGATCCTCAGCGAACAAATGGCATATGAATCAATCGTTGGTCACGGTTACCATGGGACGGTATCTCTTTACGATGCTTCACCTCCTTGTGGATCAGATCTTTAGGTTGAAGGCTCAGGGTGTGGTCCCTTAAGAATACCACCTGCTTCAGTTTAGGCACCCGGACAGTATCACAGCCCTCACACAAATCGAATGAGATCTGTACGGCTCATATATATTTGGTGCTTCCTTGTACCAATATTTATGTGTTTAAATAAATAATAACTAGTAAATATTCTTGGCCCATTAGTCAACCAAATAGTTAGGAGTTTTACAATTTAGTATTGCTTTAAATGATTAGTTATACTGGTGTATGGCCCATTCCTCTCGTCCAACTGTACTGAGTAATTCTGCCTGCAAACAATGACTGAAGCCAAATTCATCACTTCCAAAAACTTGATTCTAATCTCTTGTGATCTTTACTGATTAGCCACCCTGTTTTTCTTTTTTGCTTAAACTCTTTAAATGATTCTACATCAATAGAATCACTATTCTTGATGAACACTTTGTAAAGTAGTTATAAATGGGTCTAGATTGTTTGTGGAGTCGAAATGCGAGTTCTTCTTGTCAAATAGTATAGTGAATTAAAGTGAACCTTAAATCAGTCAGGAATAAATTATTATCTTTGCAGTTGGTATCAATTTGAATTTGGTCAAATTTTATAGAAAAAATATTGTCAGTCATATATATGTATATATCAACTGTTTAGTTGGACGAAATGTTTGAAGAGTGACTTGATTTATATGTTGTAAGCGTTACAGATTGACGTTTAACTAAAATATACTAGTTTGTTTACTAGTGACTTCCTTCAAGATGCTCTGTGAATTCTAATATGTAGTAATAACTCGTGGATTCCATGCATGTTGTGAGTGAGATATTTGTTACGAGTGACATTTGATGATCGATGATCTTTATCGCAAACAGAATAGATTTGAAATCGTTCAGTTGGTTTAGCCTTTCGTCGTAGAGATCTATAAGTTCATTTTTATAATCCTCAGTTGTATTGTTAGCGTATATTGTTTAGGAATCCCATTCTATGGTAAGACAGCTGTTCATTGCCTTCACAACTTTCTAGTGGTACATAAACTAAGATTATTGTCTATGATAAGTACTATGTACATGTATCATTTGTGATTTATTTTCTACGGTGAAGAGATTATTTAATAGTTCAAGTACATAACACTTCCAACTGTTGATTTTGCTTTTCAAATTACCTCCCTCATACTAAAACTTATGAATCACAGGCGAATTATACGGTGTTGTATATATATACAGTGTGGACAGGAATATATTATGGAAACATCTTCGACACTATGGAGTTCCTGAGAAGATTATCAACATTATCCAAAACTCATACGATGGACTACAGTGCAAAGTCGTGCATGGAGGACAGCTGGCAGATGCATTTCCAGTAAGGACCGGAGTCAGACAAGACTGTCTACTCTCCCCATTCCTTTTCCTTCTAGTGATTGACTGGATTATCAAGAATTCGACATGTGAAAGGAAATACAGAATACAATGGACTTCTCAGAATCAATAAGATGATTTGGACTTCGCAGATGACCTAGCCCTCCTCTCTCATACACACAAACAAATACGGACGAAGACAACAAATGTAGCAGCAGCATCTGCATCAATAGGTCTCAACATACACAAAAAGGAAAAGCAAGATTCTCAAATACAACACGGAGATCACCAACCCAATCACACTTGATGGCGAAACTCTGACAGAGGTGGAAACATTCACGTACCTAGGAAGCATCATTGATAAACAAGGAGGATCGGATGCAGATGTAAAGGCGAGGATTGGCAAAGCAAGGGCAGCATTTCTACAATTGAAGAACTTATGGAACTCAAAACAACTGTCAACTAACTTCAAAGTGAGAATCTTCAATACGAACGTCAAGACAGTCCTACTGTATGGAGCTGAAACGTAGAGAACTACTACGGCCATCATCAGGAAGGTACAAGTATTTATAAACAGTTGTCTACGCAAAATACTCAACATCCACTGGTCGAATACTATCAGCAACAGCGTTTTATGGGAGAGGACAAACCAGCTTCCAGCTGAAGAGGAAATTAGGAAAAGACGTTGGAAGTGGATCGGACATACATTGAGGAAATCACCAATGTGCATCACGACTCAATCCCTAACTTGGAATCCGGAAGGGAAGCGGAAAAGAGGAAGGCCAAAGAATACACTACGTTGGTAATTGGAAGCAGACATCAAAAGGATGAATAACAAGTGGAAAGGACTGGAAAGTATTGGTTGGGACATAGTTGGATGGAGAATACTGGTGAGCGGCCTATGCTCCTCGACGAGGGGTAACAGGCGTAAGTAGGGAAGTATATATATACAATTATTGCTAACTTACATCTGATTCTTGATTGTTCTCGAATTTTAACTTAGCTTTATCACCAACCATTTAAAGTGATTTTGCTTATTTGTTGTAGCCATTTGAAACTGATGTGCATACATCATCATCATCATCATTGCGATCTAATGAAACTGATAATATACCAGATCATCTTTTACCTTCAGTTCAAATTACAAATTTAACAATAAGTCGTCATAATAACAGTAAACCTAATGAATCTATTAACGCAGTAAGTACTAAGGAAAAAATGTTACTTGTGTACTGCATTTATGTATTCTCTTATAATTGTATAATTGAATGAATATTTATAGTCTTAGTGTTACTCATTGAAGAGTTAAATCAATTTCTGTTTATGAAAATTGGATATTGACTATTCATGGAATCCATGACGTAAATTTCGTTCTATTTAGAACTTGTTAGATGGATATACCAATTACAATGGATTGATCACTGGATGCTGATCAATGTCATGTATGTCAGGTTCTTAGTACAGATCGAATCCTATTCCAATTTCCCCCAGTGTTGATGTTAACATTAAGATTAAAAACTCAGTAACTTTCACTTCAAACCTTCAGTGTTTAATTCACTAAACTACCTAAGTTCAGATAACTACTTACTTGTACAGTATTTGTGTAGAAATTATTTCTTAGGATTTTTTCTTTTCATATTGTTGATATTTGGTTCTGAATAAAAGGAGATGCACGTTCTGTATACCACTAGCTAGCCACTATCCAAATTTAGTAGTAATCTTGTAATACATACCGAGGAAAGAGTTGGTTGGAGAATCCTGGTTAGTGGCTTATGCCCCTCCACAAGGGATAATAGACGTAATTTATTTATATGGTTGATAAGTTAATTTAAATTACACTTCCACATATTCCATTCATTCTTACATCAGCACTGATCATAATAACGACGTGTTTTATAACCCGCTAGCTAAATACTAGTTTGTAGACGTGGATTTCGAGCTATATATTTATGTGTTTGGGAGTTGGTGATACATACACCCGGTTGTCCTAACCAATTGAATGGACACAGATTCATTTAGTCAATACCGCTTCATACATGCCTATGTCTAGGTCAGCTTAGAAGCATCTGAACATGAAGTAGTTGTAAGCATAATAATTATTAAGTTTTAAGAATATAGATTCCCACGAATTCTTCGTCTTCTTTCACACTGTTTTGATCAAGTATTTAGGATTGTACATTAATAATTGAATTGAACCAAATAGCACAATAGTATTCAGGCACTGAAGATTATCAATTAAGTGCTGTATCCAAAGACAAAATACCGAAATCGGTATCATCAAAAGATCTCAGATGACTTTTAAGAAATCAATATAAGATAGCACAATTGAGAGAATAATTTAAATGATCACTTAAAGCTTGTAGGTATCAATGCCAAGATTAGACTTGATAGTTTAAAATAAATTCAGCATCGGGTAGAACAAGTGACTAACATTAAGTCACAAAATGTAAGAAATACAATTTTCCGAGATGATAGAGTAAGTTTGTAGTTCAGGTGGATGATTTATGTAAAGTTTTGTTCTCTGAGCTGGATGATTTAGTCGTGTAGCTTTCATTGTTCTTCTGAAAAACATCATCGCCTTCAGTTTGTGCCGATGATGTTATTATACACAAAATGAACTTGGAATTTTAATATTCAAATAGAATTCAAAGAAAAACTCATATGTTTTGATGTTACCAGCCAAAAACTGTATGTTTTCAAATGGAATGAACACTGTTGTGTTATTTAACATGATCAGGATGAGAGAACACGAAAAGTTTGTATGAAACTGTATTGCCAAGAATGAATAGTAATAATAGCATTGGTATTAATAATCTTTGCAACTTTTTCGTGTCTAGATCGACACGAATAGAGACGTATGATGGGTGATGTTTGTGAGTAGACGTATGTTCTAATTACCTTTAACAGATTACACCCACTTACATTTCATTTACCAGGTTATCTTGCTTCATTTGTAGTATTTTAGGTCTTTTCCGGTATTTGATAAGTAATACCAATGTTTATGGTGATCTAATCATAAGAATTATGTTTCAATCTGGGCAAATAAAAGTGTCAAATTAGGTGTGTGTGTGTAATAATAATAACAGATTACAAGAGTTAAATGGAGATAAAGACTAAATACACTTTTTGTTATGTATCATGTCGTATCGTTAATACTAATTCATGTATAATGAAAATAATGCTAATATGTTTGTCATATGAACGTTTGACACTAAATTCACAAGCTCTTCATAGCCCCTTAAAAATCTCGTGCACTTGAGCCCCAAACAAATTTTAACATGTGAGAAGTATAAAATAAGCTTAGCCTCCAAGTGTAGTTAATGTACTGAAAACTTGGATATTTCGAACGTTACGCGCGACGTTGATATCCAGAAACATACTATAATTAATAAAGAAAAGTCGGTAATTATCTAAACATGATGTAACAGATAAACCATCGTTGTTATAGAACTCTCTATGAAGTTTAAATTGAACGCTAACCGCTTAGAGTATTTTCAGTCTTTTTCCATCTTTTGAAGAATGCCTGAGGACTACCAACCCAGTCTAAAATGGGCAGCTTGATTACAGAGAGATATAATAGAGTTTAACAAATGAAATAGGAAATTATTCTTACGTCTTTGTGTACTCTTGACAATTTGCTTACAATCAAATAAACTTAAAATGAAATCAGATTATTTTGTTGGTTGTTTCATCGATCTCGATATATATATGACCGGAAATCACAGTGGGTGATGATTACTTAGTGTTAATTAGGTAGATCATATTTTTGAAAAGATTTCTAAAGTTTCAGCTCTATACTCCATAAATTGTTTCTTCATAGGCGCTGAAAAATCACTGCTACGATATACCTTTCTCTCTCTCTCTCTCTCTCTATATATATATATATATATATATATATATATATTACTTACGCCTGTTACTCCTCGTCGAGGAGCGTAGGCCGCTCACCAGCATTCTCCATCCAACTCTGTCCTGGGCAATCCTTTCCAGTTCTTTCCAGTTGTTATTCATCCTTTTCATACCCGCTTCAATCTCTCGGCGTAATGTTCTTTTGTCTTCCTCTTTTCCGCTTCCCTTCCGGATTCCAAGTTAGAGATTGCCTTGTAATGCACATTAGTGATTTCCTTAATGTATGTCCGATCCACTTCCAACGTCTTTTCCTAATTTCCTCTTCAGCTGGAAGTTGGTTTGTCCTCTCCCATAAAGCACCGTTGCTGATAGTATCCGGCCAGTGAATGTTGAGTATCTTGCGTAAACAAGTGTTTACAAATACTTGCGCCATCTTGACGATGGATGTAGTAGTTCTCCATGTTTCAGCTCCATACAGTAGAACTGTCTTGACGTGGCTACTCCGTGGGCTACTGCCGGTCACAAGCCCGGGTAAAGAAGGAGGGTTGGGCATGGGGTTAGCTACCACATCCCGTAGAAGACTAACTCGCTAAAAAATGCTAACCAGAAAAAAATTATTCAATATATATATATATATATATATATATATATATATGTCGTTTACGTCGCTTTTCTTTCCATCTCTTTCTGTAATTTAACAGAATGTTTCAAGTGGAATTACTAATAATAATACTGATACTAATCGTAATTTCTGTGAGGCATTATCATTCAGTATTTGGGATTTGGAAAAAAGTGTGAACACCACCATATCATCTGTTAATACTACTGCTAATAATAATGATAATTTTGAAAGTAGTATGTCTGATATGTCTTCTGAATTAGTTTTTCCATCCGAAGTTATAATTAATACTCAATTGGGCATACATTGTCAATTAACGATATATTTAGTTCTGTGGAATACAGTCGATGGTGTATTAGGATTGAATCGAATTACTCCATGGTTGATGAAAATCAAGGTAATATTTCTTTCCTTATACCTATCTAACTTTGTAACTGTGCATTTGTGTATTTGTATATATTTCGGTCTTCAAGATGAATCTTTTGTCTGAGTATTATTTATGTTCTGTATCTGTACACGATGCCCAAAGATTTATGCCTTACAGTTAGATAGGTCTGCATTGATTAGATAATGAGTGACTTACAAGTTAATTTCCTGCAATCGACTATGAAATTTTACCACATTTATTTTGTGACCATATTCTATTTATAAACATTCTATGATGTCATAACTCAGTTATGTAGCGGTCTTGTTTTTAATGTGGAGGTTTAAGTCAATAATACAGTCTCATAATAGCAATCATTTGACTCAGTCAGTTAGCTACAACGTAGGACCAGGCACATATATGCATCATTTCAAGTTGCCATACCTCATTAGCACAACAAGATGAACACCGAATTCATGGAAGTAGTCAATTTAGTGGTGGTAATATATGAAAGATAGGTTGTATATAAGGATATAGTACAGGAAGAAAGATAGATATGAAGCAATTTTAATCTCAAGGTTTAAGGGAAGATAAAGAGTGTATACACCTACGCCATTGTGGTCGATTCTGAGCCATGTCATATTAATACGTTCATCTGTCGTTAAACATTCTACGTATTGATTTTAACAACCGAAAATTCACTTATCATTCGTTAAATACTTTTTTCTACAACAATCGTTTATTAACTACCTCTATATTGCGTAATGATGTTTTTCCACTGAGTTCTTAAACGTAATTAAGACATAAGATTCTGTTTTTAATATTTTACATCAACGATCATACTAAGTTTAAAGTTTGAAACTCGGAAAAATTGAGACTTTTGAGAAAATGATTTTTCTTAGTGTAAACGTAGCACCAATACTGGGAAATTACAAACTTCGAAATATGAAGTGTCCGAGCACAATGTCAATCATGTTTAATAGATTAGCATAATCCAAACGAAAATAGTTTCTTTCAATTAACTAGTAGATAATAAATCTTAGTAGCTAAAAATAAAATACTCTAGACCACTGAGCCGGCATCGAAACATTTAGCAACAGTGATGGATCCCACTTTAAAAGTAAACCAAGTTGTTGGAATACAAGGCAATAATAATAATAATAATAATAATAATAATAATAATAATGATATTAATGATTATCCAAATTTGAATGAAAAAATCTACACACGACGTACACTTTCATGTTTGAAATCAGTAACAGATCAGTATGTATCTATGAGTGTGTGTGTGCTAGTATTGTTTGTGTTTTGTTTCATTTTGATTATTTATCATATATACTGTGTTGTGATTTTCTATCTTATTAAGTTGTCAGAAAGGATTTTTATGGAAATTTTAGTAATTTTATAGTTGAATTCATGAGTCAATTGAAGCTAGACCATCATGGAAACTCTGGAAGCACTGTATGGCTGCTCAATTTCGTGAATTGGTTGAAGTTAGACATTAACGCTGTTGGATACTGGCCGGCTCAGTAGTCTATCAGTTAAGTGCTCGTGTGCGAGACTGATAGGTCTTGGGTTCGAATCTCTCAGGGCGGAATAGTGGGGACGTACTGCTGAGGAGTCCCACAATAGGACCAGGTTTTCGATGGTGGTCTAGCTTCAATTGACTCATGATCTCAACTATATATAAAATTACTAAAATCTCCACAAAACCCCCTTCTGATAATTATCATATATTTATATCAGAAGTGATGTTTTTGGACATTTTAGTAATTTCCTGTTTGAAATTATGAGTCAGTTGAAGCTAGACCATCATGGAAAACCTGAAAGCACTGGTAAGTTGTTTCGTCCTATTGTGAGACTCCTCAGTGGCAGTGCGTATCCATGTCAATTAATTCATGATCTCAACTATTAAAATTATTATAATATCCACAAAACCCCTTCTGATATATATATATATATATATATATATATATATATTTCTATAAATTTCATATGAAAACTTATCTTTATTCTTATTTAATCCATATTATTTCTTTTCTTTTATATATATCAATATACATTTAAGTCAATTAATCCAAATTGTCCAATTATATTAATTGGTACTTACTTATCAAATATCAGTAGTATAAATAAAAAAACAAAAAATATCAAAAGTCATTTCAATTTAATGAAAAATATTATTCATAATAGATTTTATAAAAATTCCGATTTAAATGCTTATGGATTACCATATATATATAATTATATGTTTATAAATTTATCCAATATAAATGATAATAAATATGAAAGAATACAAAAGAAGATATCTAAATTAATTACATTATTGTATAATGCTGCTTATCATTTTAATATAACAAGTAGGTTTGTTTGTATGCTTTTTGTCTATTGAAATTTATTTATTTTATTTATTCAAACACATAAATATGGGTACAAAGGGTCTGTGATACTGCCCGGGTGCCCAAACTGAAACAGGTGGTCTTCTTAAGGGGCCACACCCGAAGCCTTTGACCTAAAGGCTTAATCGACAAGGCAGTGGAGCATCGTGTAGAGATGCAGTCCCATGGTAGCCGGTGATCAACGATCGATTCATACTCCATTTGTTCCTTCAGGATACTGGAGCTCATGTAAACCATTGATTTGGAATGAGGGTTTTCCAACTCCCCTAGATAGACTCACCGTGTTCACCAACCCGGTTAAGGCGCTGAACATTCGCCTTTCATCCTCTCACTTTCGTAAACAACATTAATGCCGTGAGAAGGCAGTGAATAGAATTTCGCTGACAAAGTCTATATACGTGTGGCCATGTGAGAGCATTTGGAGAGGGAGAGTGGACTCTCACCACTCTCAGCCGTCCCGGGGCATTTGGGGTTTTGTTTTTATTATTATTTGTTTTTATCCACTTCTATTTTTACTTTACAATTTTTATTATTTCAATAATTAAAACTATAAACTGAATGATATTAAATAGTGCATTGGTAAGCTCGAGAATGGGGAGAGTCAGCTGTACCTCTGTAAATGTTCTTATATGACCACGGGTATAGAGTAACTGCTAGGGAAGTCCTATTTATTGTCTTTTCGTGGCAGGGGTGTTATTTGCGAAACTGAGAGGGGGAGATAGAAAAAAAAACGAATGTCTGGCGCTTTAATCAGGTGGGTGGGTACACAAAAGACATCTAGGGGAGATGGAAAACCATAATTCAAACCAATTGTGCACGTGGGCTCCAGGATCTTTAGGGAACCTATTGTTAGTCACTGGCTACTGTGGGATTATATCACCTAACTCTTATCCACTGCCTTGTGGATTAGATCTCTAGCTCAGAGGTTCGGGGAGTAGTTCATTAAGAAAACCACCTTTATGTTCTTAATTGAGATCATTACACATTACTTGCTTACTTACTTACGCCTGTTACCCCTCGTCGAATAGCATAGGCCGCTCACCAGCATTCTTCATCCAACTCTGTCCTGAGCCTTCCTTTCCAGTTCTTCCCAGTTGTTATTCATCATTTTCACACATAGTGAAATTTATATTCAGTTCTTACAAAACACAAAGCAAACTACTTTAAAACTTCATAGTTGAACTATGAATTTTTATGGATTTAGGTGATTGGAACATCAGTAACTTAATCATGGCCACCTTCTACCTTACAGTTGACTTGTGTAAGAATAAGTTCAAAGTAAAACAGAAACAAATTAACTTAAACATGATATGAGTCCATAAAATTTTTCAACTATTGATTTGTATCATGTTTTTAGATATTGATTATGATTGACTAATTCAATCCATCTTTCATTTATCATTTATTTATTTATTTATTTTCAATAAAATCAATAATAGATCGTACAGCTGATATTATGTTACCGAATATATCAATCATTCCAAGTTTATCTCAATCATTTTTACAATTATCAATACCGAAATTATATCATTTAGCTGATAGTATAACACAACAATTAACTATTGAAATATTCAATAATCAATTGATACCAATTATAGAAGTTAATAGATTTATGTAAGTTTTTTTTGTTTTGTTTCGTTTTCTGAAACAATAATTATTTAAAATTGTTTATTTGAATCTGTTGTAGAGATATCATCTCACTGAAGACAATTGATGAACGGTCGCTCAAAATCGTGGATTGGTTGAAGTTAGACATTAACACCGTTGGATGCCAGCTCAGTGGTCTATCGGTTAAGGGCTTGGGTTCTGGGTTCGAATCTCGCTCGCGAGAGGGAGTTCATGGATGCGCACTGTTGAGGAGTCCCATAATAGGACGAAACGGCCGTCCAGTGCTTCCAGGTTTTCGATGGTGGTCTAGCTTCAATTGACTTATGATTTCAACTGTGAAAAATATTTGAATCTTCTCATTGATGTTTAGGACTGCAACTGGTCAGTCTCTAATTGGCATATGTGCATACTGTGTGTATTACCTCAATATAGCCTTATTTCGCAAGCATGGTAAGCAGAGATAGATAGTAGCTAGGAGTAGAATCCAGGGCGCATGTTACGTCCTATTTGGGACTCATCAGCTAGATGCACCTGCATCTCACACTTATTGATGTTCACTCTGGGACTCGAACCTAGTACTTTTCGCTTCAGACGCCATCGTGTTATCCACGCGGCCACTGAGTCCTGATAGCCACTTGTATTTGTTTATTTCACTATTTATTGACTTAAAAGTCTATTTATTTAATGAATAAATTATATAAGTCATTCTATGTGAAAATTATATTTGAAATAGTCTCAGCGATTGAAATTTAAATAATTCCAATGTTTCATCCAGCTAACTTGTTTGGACTCCTTCAGGGTAATAATCGAAATCAAAATCATCAAAGAAATATATATCGTTTTTTAACAATCAAATCAGATCAAATCTATACTGTACTCATCCAATCATATTTGGATGTCGAATTTGTGTAGCAGGACAATATGAGTCAGTTAAATGAGAATCAAGTGAAAAGTTCACGATGTGAAATAAAAGAAGACTAGATGAAGTGTGTGTGTGTGTATGTGTATGTGTAGATGGGCGAATAAGAACAGACTAAACAGAAAGGATGATATTCAGCTAGCAACCATTTGGCAAATATTCATCAACAAGTAATTGGATTCTTTCTTTTCTATATTTCAACTTGTTTAATTCACATGAATCATTATTTTGACTGAAATCAATATAAGTTATGTTTAGCATTACAATAATGTACTTGATGGATTGAAAAAAGAAGGAAAGGATCAAATTACTTGTTGATGAATATTTGCAATATGGTTGCTAGCTGAATACCATCCTTTCTGTTTAGGCTGTTCTGATTCGCCCATATATACAGCCCTCCTGCTGTCGATCTTTCTTTATGAGTGTTGAAGCCTTTCTGAATTATTTTGGTCCCTTCAAAATTAATCCTGTGTCCCCTTTCTAACACATATAACGCTATTGCAGACTTATTTCAATCGCTGAGATTATTTCAAATATAATTTTCACATATGATGTGTTATGTCGGCCTCCAGAGAACTCCAACAGAGCCTCCAGAGGCTCAAAAAGAGCTCCAACCAATCAGAGCACGACAGAACATTCTGGAGTTCCAACGTGGTACGCTATCATTGGTCAGTAGCAATTTATGTCGTTAAGTGGATTGGCTGAATTAGGATGTTGATTTAACTTAAGCAAACATCTATAAATACCTACGATTTTCTGTACAAAGATGAACCTTGCAATAAAGCATCTTCTCCGTTACTCGTGTCTTATTACTGGTCTTCAAGTCGCTGAGTAGTGCTAATCCTGGGGTTATCCGAATAGCTTAGGATCTGAATATAGCGTTCAACCTAAACGATATACATGATGACTTCTCTATACTCAGCGCCCAATTTTTGTCAACGTATTCATTCTTACCTTGATGAATATTCGTATAGATTAAATTCGATATGTAATAATATACATTTGTGTAAATTTAAATAAATAGTTTCATGGAGTTTCCATGCCAACTACTTGGAAGGTTTTTTGAAGTGAAAATCAGATTTTGAAATAATCTCAGTAATTGAAATTTAAATATTAATAGTGTTTAACCCTTCAAAATTGATAATCTTTATTTTAATTATTCCCTTGAAAATGTTCAGAGATCAGTTTACCGTACGTAATTTTGAATACGATCTCTATAACAAGAACACATTAGGTACATATATTTGTCCTAGATCAGAGTTTAAATGTTAAGAAAAGACATTAATTTTTATAGCTTACACTATGGACTGCTCTTAGTTTTATAATGATTGAAAATTAAGACACGTTGAACTACAATTTTGTTCTGTAAGGTAACTTTCGAGTAGTACATATCTACCATTCCATCAGAAATTGAATCCATGGCCATCGAATCTCTCGCTACGAGCACTTAACCTCTAGATCATTAAATCCGAAACTACTAGTTTACCTATTAAGCTTAAGTCAGTAAACAATACTGCTTAACCGTCTTTCATTGTCATTAATCATTAACTGCCTTACACTCGGTATAGTTGAAATCCATCGATCATAGCTTCTCATTAGAACTCGGCGTACCATCTCTTGAAATAAATCTCTATTGCATACATGATTATTGAACAATCTAGGAAGCTTGTGACAGTTTTCTTTTTTTTATAGTTTATATTGAGAAATAATCTTAGATATCTTATAACCGTTTGATCCCTCGTAGAATGCGTCATTTCATTTATTTGTGTAACCATCTTGAAACACCGTTTTCGGTGGCTTGGACGTGTCGTCTCAGAGAATTCCACGTCGTGCATTATTTGCTGACTCTGGGACTGGTTGGAAAAAGCGGAGAGGTGGTCCGTGTATGACATGATGTCGTGGTATGAAAGAAAGCTGCAAAGGGCTAGCTCCTGTTGGTCCTTCACAACTTCCTGGCTGGGGTCCAAGAGATGGTGTAACACAGTGGCTAGAGACGTTATCAGATATGGCTCAGAATAGAAGGCGGTGGCGATCCTGCTGCAACCTTCTTTTACTTTCTTCATAAAGAATGGCTATAACTTTCTTAACTGAGAAAGTTCTTCTGGTTGTACATTTCAGTTCCCCCCATCACTACTCTTCTCTTTTTTTCTTTCTTTTATATATACTCATCTTCTCCCTTTCTTCTCCTATTCTCACTATTTTGTGTGGCGCATATGTATCCGGTGCCCTTTGTACCAATATGTATGTGATTAAATAAATAAATAATAATTGATCCCTCGTATATAGGATTATTGATTGAAGTCTATTCAATTTCTGATAAATCAAAACCTTACTCACTTATTTATCCCTTTGTTCTTTTTTTTCTTTACCTCCATTAGATTCGAGTTGAATAAATGTCTTTCTAATTTGCTGCCTCATCCGATAAGAGTTTGTTTTTCATCAAATAATAATAATAACAATGGCAGTGCTCCTGTTGACTTATTGTCCACATCGTCGTTGTCGTCCTCGTCGTCACCATCATCAGCATCATCTTCATCATTATACGTAACTTCTTGTATACATGGATTTTATACTTATGCTGATATCAAAAGTATATTATTATTTCTCAATCATATTGGTACCATTCTTTATTTTAGTCATCATAAATTATTAAAAAATTATGTCTTTTTATCACCTCAATGGTTATTGAATACATTATTAAAATTAATGATGAATATACATAATAAACAATTAAGCGATATGTTTAAGAATTGTCATACATTAAAAAGAACAAAATGGATGAATACCGACAATGTTCAACGCCGAAATTGTGATGACTTCATGAGATCATCATCAGATATAAGTCAGTTACAGGATCAAGTAAACGATGATGATGATAAGGATAGTAATCATAGTAAACATATTCCTAATATTGTAGATAATAATAATTCATTTTATTGGAAACGTAATTCAGGTATGTTCATATCAAAACATTTATTTATTTGAAGTTATTTTTGCTTTAAAATATACCACTATTCTACAATAAGTAGTGCATTGGCATAACTAGCATGAAATTGACATCGTTAAATGTAATTACATTTATTGAATACATTACTTCTGGTCTATTCTTGGTGTGCTAATATTAAATGTTATTGTTGGAGTGATCTTGGAAATTTTTTGCAATAGACATAACAAGCTGAGGAAATATTGAGAATCATTTTATCCAATCAACGTTTGATGAGACGTTTTGTTAGGAATATCACGAAAATGAAAAGTCACAGTTAGAGGTTCTGATTGGCTGATTACCACACTGCTACTACTATGTTTAGTAGTATTCTAGAATTTTCAGGAAAATTCAATATAAATCCTATATTTTCTGTACATAAATGAACCTTTGGAGTAAAGTGCTTCTTCACATAGTTTACGCCTTTTCTCTCGTTTTCAAGTCGCTGTGTAGATTTAGCTTGAGGGTTACAAGACTAGCTTAGGATCCGAATATCGCGTTCAATTAACAACACTTATCAGTTATAACAGTAAATAATGCATATTTACCTACGTTGTTTATAGTTGACTGAAATTTTAATCCATCGTTTATTGTATTTTTAGAATCACTGAAAATGAATTTAGTGTAAGATTAGCTAATCATTGTTATTAATCTTAAAATGAAATGGTTGCAACCTACCCCAATCTATAATCAGTCAGAAATAAACAGCGTTAAAATTGGCAAGAATATGCGTTAGCTCAAATTGCCGTTTCATATTATCACGACAAAATGAAATCAATCTGATGAATATTAAAAGGATTAAAATAATGTACAGACAATGATAATGAGAATAAGCTTAGAATGAAAGAAAAGGAAAGGTTTGTTCGAAGAAATACTGAAATTTAAGATCTAAAGAAAGATATATAGTGAATGCATTTGAATCATTATGATTGATTCCTAACCATGTTTCCCGACGTATTCAACTGATAATTGTATTTACTACCATTTGAATTCAAACTATTCCCTAATTTTCTTCCCGTTTGCTTCTAAGCCAAAAACTTACTTGTTGATATAGGTTGTGATTAGACATAACCTAACGCATACCTTAAATAACTCAGGGAATGAAGATATACACTCTGAGAAATCGATTTACCATCTTTGTCTTATCTCATCATAGTTTGTTTAGTTATACCAGTCTCTTAGCATATGTGCGGATTGCCTCGATATGGCTTTAATTCACAAGCATTATAAGCAAAGATGGTTGGTGGCTAGCAGTGAAATCCAAGACATGCGTTTCCTCCTATTTATATAAGTGAACTCGTCAGCTGGATGTACTTGCATCCCAGAGTTTCACTCCGGGACTCGAACTCAGTGCCATCCGCTTCAAATGCCATCAGCTTATCCATTTAGCGACTAAATCCTGATAATCACTTGCTTTTGCGATGGGGAGACTGATCGGTTTCAGTTCTAAACATCAATAGCAAGGTTCAAGCAAACAATATCAAATGAATTTAAGTTTCACCTCACTGTATAAGCAAGCGCCTATCATAAATCAGTAGCTAAGTGGATTATTATTTTTTATTTATTTGAACACATAATTATTGTTACAAAGGGGCATCGAATACATATGCGCCGCACAAATCTCACTTCATTTGCGTTAGAGTTGTGATATTGCCCAGGTGCCCAAACTGAAGTAGGTGGTTTTCTTAGGGGGCCACACCCCGAGCATTTGACCTGAAGGTATGATCCACAAGGCAGTGGAGCATCGTGAGGAGATACAGTCCGATGGTATCCGGTGACTAATGATTAGTTCATGCGCCATTTGTTCCCTCAGGATACTGGAGCCTATGTGCACCAGGGATTTCCAACTTCCCTAGTTGGAAATTTTATGTCCACCAACCCGGTTAAAGCGTCGGACATTCGCTTTTCGTCCTCTCATTTTTGTAAACAACACCCCCGCCACGAGAAGACTAAGCGGATGACGCGATGTCGTTTGAAGCGAACGATACTGAGTTGCAATCCTAGAATGAGCACCAACTCTAGGATACAGGTGCATCCCATTTTGTAGCTAGTGACGGTAAAGAGTTTAAGTTCCATTGATTTCTTTTCTACCGTTAGGTTCATATATATTGAGGAGTGATTTTTTTCCATCTTCTATTCGTACTTTATATATAGATATATATTCATAAAGTTTTAATGACAGACATTCTATGTTCTATTTTTTACTTATTTATAATCCTTTCATTACATCAAATCATTTCGCAGATTAGTAAAGTCGGCTTGTGGAGATTGTTTGATTTTATAGTTTAAGCTACAAAATGATCTTATCTAGACAACTGTTGAAAAACAGGAAGCTCTGGACAACTGTCTCATTTTAGTATAGAACTCAATAATGCACATCCTTAATCCTCTCAAATATCAAACCCAAAACCTTAAGATCTTACTGTGATGAATTGAAACTAGTGGTCTAAAGATTAAGCGACTATTGCGAGACCTGGAGACGTTGGATTCGACTCCTCATGGAGCAGTCTATTCAGACTTCTCTAAAGGGTTCTATGCTATGATGGAACATGTCTCAGTCAGTCAGTCACAACATAGAACTTCGTACGTACTTACATCAGATCGAGTTGCCATACCACATTAACACAGAGATGTAGTTGTCGATTCAAATCCCATAGTGATAGAAGTAGTAAAAGTATAAGCAATAGTGTGAAAGATTAGGGTTTTGAAGATGTTATTAAAGGAGTATAATCCAATGAAATAAATTTTGAAAGAGAAAAAGGATACGGACATGAAGAATTCAGAAGATTGTCAGTGACTTGATGGATTTGTGCTACGTTTTGGTCTGGCCGCCCCTAACATCTGTCTAGTGTCTCCTGATTTTCAATTGTTATTCGTGTTATGTTAATGAATTCATAAATGAGATGTCTCATTATTCATTTGACTAACTTTACATAATAACGGGCTATTCGCCTCAAATAGTTTAATATCAATGCTTTCATTTGTTCATCTAAAATTTATTGGCCTCTAGAATAACAATGAAGAAGTTACAATGCAACTATCCTTCTTAATGGTTATAAAATAATGCAATAAATAATGTCATCCATAGAATCACTTCTGATAAGAAGGATTGTATTTTGCTCATTCTTAAACAGTTTTATTTATCTGGTCAAATTGGTGTTTAACTAAACTATATTGATAATAACATCTTAACTAAAATCCAATTATTCTATGTTTTCTCTTTTACCCTTCTCTTACAATTTCCATATAGCTCTTATCGATTCGTCTTACTTAACTGATTTAATTAAATATTCCATGAGAACTAGGAAGATAGTCAATGATAATACTAGCCATATCCATATGAACAACCTTCATGATATACCACTAGAAGAAATCTTTCTAGGATTATTTAAACAATTTGGTTTAATGGTTTCCATTATTACTAATGATGATCTTAAATGTCAACATTCTGATAGCTCGAAAATGAGAAAACATAAAAATCAATTATTATTACTGCCATCATTATTAGCTGCGCGTTGTTTTCAACCGGGACGTTTACATTCTTATTTACAACCAGCAGTGATTAGATATGAGGTAAAGTTGGTTGATTTGATTATTTTTTTCCTTTTTTTTTTCTTTACAAAAATCAATTTCCATGACTTATTTTGTTTTAGTATACTGTGCTCTGTAAACATTGAAAAATTTCCATAGTTTGAATCCTGAACTCATCTTAGCTAGAATGCAAATGAAATGATTGAAGTATTGGACATCCGTTTCGTTCCCAGAAGTGTGCACTCATAACTTTGTATCCGAAAATCAAACCTAGGATCTTCGGTTTTACGCATTAATGCCGTCTATGCATTCAATGGTAATCTAGCTAAAGTCATTTCGTGATTAGAATAATGAAACCTCTGCATTTAACCAGTAGACCACTGAGCCGGCATGCGACGGTGTTATAGTCTAACTTCAACCAATCCACAAAATTGAGCAACCATTCACTAATGTCTTTAGTGAGTTGATATTTTTTAACAGACCTGGTTGAACTCCACTGGTCACTGCTTCGCACTAGAACTCCAGGAAATATCTCTTGAAGTCAGTCTCTAGTGAGCATATGATCATTATCAGAAGGGGGTTTTTCGAAGATTTAATAATTTTATATAGTGCTTCCGGGTAATAAATGAATAAATATTTATAGATTGTCTAGCAAAATGATTAAATGCAGTTCATAAATTTCTTAGCAGATTTTATCTTATTTGAGACAAAAAACATTTTCTTTTCTTCTAATACTTTTGTCATTATTATTATTATTATTATTATTATTATTATTATTATTATTAGGAGAACTATCCATCTGTAAAACAAGGTTCATATCTTCGTTCTCAATCACTTGGTGTTTCAACTTATCGACCGAGATATACTGTACACCGCATGCAGTCGAAATTGCGACCTGTAAATAATGTGAATACAGTTGAAAGTTGTAATAATACTAATAAAAATAATAATGAGGAAACGAATCACCCTAGATTGTCGCGGTTTTTAAGTTGGCATGTTCAAACTTCTGTCAGTAAAGAAATTGTTCGATTATATGCTGTTACTTATGTACCATTTGGATTTTGGACAGAATTGTATACAAGATTATTAAATGATATAAGTCTAAATGAGATATGTGGGTAAGTTTCTAATTTATTTAGCGATAATCTATATATGTAAGATGAAGTCTTAATTTAAGTAATCTATTTACCATAGTGGTAATTGTTTCATATGTTGAGCATTTGGATATCAACTATCACACTGTTAATAATAAATATATTTTTCGTTATATCCCAATAAGTAAAAAATTGTATTTCATGACGCTTTTCATAACTTAATGTAAGCCATTTCTCCAATTGTTTGTCTACTCTGAAGAAATCGCTTACACTAAGTGACGAAACGTCAGAAATAGAAATTTCCTTCTCATTGGGATATAAAAAATATATTTATTATAAACTTCTAAGCCAATGCTTAATTAATTTGAAACTGTTATATCGATTGCCCAAGTGATGTGCCCTGTTTATATATATGAGCATGGTAAAATCGTCAAATTAGAGAGCAGTGAATTTATTGATCGGATTAATGATACACGAAAACCGTACAATCGGTCTTGAGTATTTATCAATCCTGCTTTCTGGCTAGCCCAGTCAGTTATGTCCAGAAAATCAATTATAGCCTCTGCCATATGAAACATAATGGGTTTATATACCAAACAAACTGACCACATCTTACCACAAAATAAAAAATAACATTTGTACAAGATTCAGTCAAATGTGGCTGTGAATGTAGGCAGCAGTAATTAATGGACTAGAAATAACTCTAGAATGATAAATCGTACGGTAATAGTCTATAGGTCAAAATAAACCTTATAATAAGAGGGACACGAATATGAATAGTTAAGTTACTTAGCAATCATTCAATAGGAGATATACATATCAAATTGGTCCATAAATAGTCCTCAAAAGTTACCATTCATAAATCGCCACGGAATGTAACAGAAACTACAATGACCAACCTTTTTTACTAATATCTATTGCTCTATTAGTTCTATATTTCATTTGTTCTGTGTATTAATTTTCCCTCGATATATTATTGAAATGAACCTTTCTTACATAGAAAGTATTTCTTTAAAGGAAATAATATACTGAGCTTTCTAGCTTTCCATTCTGATCAAGTTTTTTATCGAATTAATCTTGATTATTATTGTTAGGTCAGCTTACAATAAACTCTATCAGAGCCTCCAGAGAGGTTCATAAAGAGCCCAACCAATCAGCGATTAGTTAGAAGCTATGCTACTAAAATAATGAGGTCCTGATTGGTTGTTTAACATACTGCTACTATGGTATCTCAAGGTCTTTTAATTACTATAAAACCCCTGTTTTTGTACATAAATGAACCTTGTAGTAAAGTGATTCTCTGATACTCGTGTCTTCTCTCTGGTCTTTCAAGTCGCTGAGTAGTGCTAGCCTGGGGTTATCCGAATAGTTAGGATCCGAATAAAGCATTCAACCTACGAGACATAACAATTATTAACATTATATGTTCTTGTTTATACTCTGAATAAAATGTAACTTGTATTAACGTAATCTGTATGGTAGCATAGAAACAATGTTTACTCTCTCAAATCAAGGTAACCCTATCACACAAAAAAACGTCAATATATTTTACTAATATTCAACTTTCTGTAACAAAGGATGTAACGTGTGTAATAAGTGAATATAAAATTAAGTAAGGTTCACAGTCTACTTGGTCACAATAAACTATTAATACGAGAAATCAAATATTAACATCCGTTAACATGTATCCTCTATAGTATGAAACAGGGTATCATACTTGCAAGTAATCTACAGTCATTGATCGATTTTTTTCGCAGTTAAATGCCAACTTACTTGAGATTATTATTCAAGGCTATACGACGATTGCTGTAAAATGATTTCTAAATCACTTGATCAAATAACCTTACCGCAATTTTATCAAGAGAACTCGATAATAACGTTACAAGTTATTTATTACGATGTGATGATTATTGTTTGGTGACAGGTTATTAACATAAACAACTAGACTTAATGATTAGTTATTTTTAATGAATTTAATCAGTGTGAAGTGCTGTTAAAGTTGTGTCCTTACCTAGATAAGAGATATGTCTTCTTAAAGTATCTGAATAGGGAAGTGAATTAATGGGTGTCTTTAAATCCGTTACCTAAATACACGAAGGACAAATGTTTGAAATTGGTCATATATGTGCGTTCTGTAGGTAGTTTTAGATTTATTAGCTCTGTCCCTGTGAGACCCTACGACCGGTGATGTATATATATATGGATCAAGGTGAGGTGTACTATTCTTGTGCTTCTAATCTTATTGTATTCCAGTCAACCTGTGTCGTATGGTACTATCTAAAGGAAAAAATTTCCCAGCCAATATATTCCTCGTCTAAGTCATCACGATATTTATGTTGGACTATCACGTCAAGGTCTAAGTTGTGTTGTTAATGAAAACTCAGGTTGGGAAGACCAATTTATTGTTAAGTGCGAATTTTCGGTGTCTTCATAAATCATGTAAACCATACAATAAATCCTTCATTTTTGCTTCTTTCATTTGTTCTGTACATCCTTCTTCACTCTTCAAACCCGGTTGTTATTCTAATTCCTCCCTGTTTTCTCTTCCGTTTTATTCAAACCAATCTTCTTCTGGTAAACACTCCGCTTTCGATTGGCGTTACATACTACTTATATCTCTTAGCATAAGTAGCACACATCATAGATGTAGTCAGGATTGAAGTGAATACTTATTATTCAGCTTATCTTTCAAAGATTTTATATAATGGTGACTTTTGTTAGATTTCGATATATAATCTAATAATTTTGTTTTATTCTTTGCAATTTTTATGCTGACTTTTAGTTTGATCGGTTTCTTTTTTCAGACGCATCTATAACTTATCAAAATTACCATCTGAATTATTTCAGCAATTATTATGCAACAATGATAACTTCAAAAATGGCTTTCAATATAATTGTTCCAGTGGTAGTTGTAATGAACATGGTCATGTTGACAATTGTCATACATTTATGAATACATCATCACAATGTAGTTTAAAGCCTGAATGGACAGTATGGAAACGTGGTATGCGTCTATCACTTGGTCATGGTCAAATCGGCTTAGCACGTTTACAACAATTGACACGTGCCAATTGTGCATTGTTGAGAGTGTGTTTACCATTGTGTTTATTTAAATATAATGAAGTTTATTTTCTAAGGTGGAATATGTATATATATTTTTTGTTTTCTTCGTTTACATGAAAGACTGATATCAATTAATGAAAAAAGGAAGCTCTGAACAGGTGTCTCATCTTAATATGAGACGCCTTCAACAGTGGGTATCCATAACCCAAGTAAGTAATTTACCTAATAACGACAATGAAATTAAGCGTGTAAAGCAATGGGTACTTACTCAGTGAGAAGGTCTAAAGAAGATGATCGTGCAATATCGTGGATTGATTGATGTTAGATATTGATTCCGTTGGATGCCAGCTCAGTGGTCTAAAGCTTAACTGTTATTTATCATTTATTTATTGATATGAATCCTAGAAATAAACAATCTTTAATCGATGTTAACTAGTGCTGTCAGAATCAATCGTCACTCAGTCTAGTTTTCATGTGTGTGTGTGCAATTTTTTTCCACAATAACTGATACTGCGGTGTGGTCTTCTTATATCCATATAAGTAGTATATGGTGTTGGTCAGACATAAAATGTATTTTGGCAGAAGACCGATGAGCAAAGAACTGAAATGAAGCGCAATCGTTTGGAAAATGCATGAGCAATGGAATTAGAGAAGAAACAGTGAAGATTGAAACAATTGGCTGTTAATTTGCAAATTGACTGTTCATTGTTTGGTTATCAGAATTTACTGAGATAGTCTGTAATCTTTGCTTAAATACATTCGATTGTCCTCAACCAGTGTTCTGTTCACTACAATACTACTATTATGAGAGTCTAACCTGAATCACTCAATGTTGTAATTATATTAGTTCCTAACATGTAACATCGAGTATTATGCAAGGGATCTTGTTGTGTGGATGATAATAATTAAAATAAATGAAATTTCATTGAAATGAATAATTGTTTGAAAGTCGTTTGAATTTCCATCGATTTCCATCCATTTTTTCATTAATTTCAGAGTCAATCTTTCAAACAATCATTTTTGAATCTTGCCAACAATCGACAATCACCATCGTTACGTGCTTTTGTTTCTTCCTGTTCTCCTCGTTCTTCGTCTTTTTCTTCTACTAGAAATACAAATGAATTAATTTCAAAACTTCTTCCCCAATCTTATTATCATGAAGAATGGGATGAACCATGTGCTATAGTTGGTGAAGAAGTTATGAAACAAAATAAAAAATCAATAATCATGAATCAAAATATTTCTAATCGTGAGAAGGACTTTATTTCGTTTAATTTACAACTAAATAATGATTTTGTTTATCGTAGTGGTGTTGTAGAAACAATTAAACATTCATATGAAGGACGTTGTTTACGGTTAATGCATTGGGTAGTTCAAGATGATCAAAAAAAGGAAGAATTTCAATCATTTTCTACGACAATGAAAACAATGACAACAGAATCATCAACGTTAGCAACAACAGCTTGTCAGGAACAAACTGTAATGACAGCATCTGATTTCAGAATACGTTGTAACCATGGTTACCTAACTGATCAAGAACATGGTATGTTAATGTTTTTTTAAAAAAAAATTTATAACCTCATTATCTTTCAAATAAGATTAGTAATATTAACCTATTTCAATCCCACCTAATTAAACTTGACCGTAATCGATTGATCAGAAACGTGTCTCGACATTTTTTCAACAATATATATATATATATATATATATATATATATAACCGCCTGTAGCTCTTCTAGAGGTACTGCCGGTCCCAAGCCCAGATAAAGGAGGAGGGTTGGGCATGGGGTTAGCGACCACATACCGTAGAAAAACTAACTCGCTAAAAACGCTAACCAGAAAAAGTAATTCAAACCATTTAAACTCTGCTCTGGAAGTTGAAGGAATAAGCATATATGAAAAGGATGAATAACAATAGGAAAGGATTGCCCAGGATGAGTTTGATGGAGAATGCTGGTGGGCGGCCTATGCACCTTCACGACGGGTAACAGGCGTAAACTAAAACTATATATATATATATATATTTGCTCACAAGAAAAAGTGAATTATTTCATGTTGATAAAGTTGAAGATCATGGTTTCGACCCCTGGCTGAGTCATAGGGTGACACTGCTGAGTTTTTCCTTACTAGGAAAAAGGTGGTCCTATCTAGTGTCTGAGCAGAGTGAGGGGGGAGAGTCATCTGTGGATTAATAGTAGTTCATGTTCTGGGTGACTGTCAACTCCCTTTGGTTTTAAAAGTTCAACGGTAAGATTGTTTAGTAGATTAGAGTAGGTCAGCCATATCTATAATTAACCAGCTATAATGGTAGATATTTATTTCTTCAAAATTATAAATAGAGGTTTATTGTTTAAAAATGCATGATATACTATGTAGAAATTTTTTATAAATTGAATTCCAGTGAAATTATCCAAGAATCACCGTAGAAGGATAATGAAATTTATTGAAAACTTCTTTATTTTGTTCTTTCGAAGTACTCACGTTTTGTATATGCCTATACTATTTCATTTTCACGAAGTGAATAATCGAATAGTCATATTCCCTATTTTCATTTAGTTTTTCTATCAGTTGATATTATAGTGAATGAAGATGTTGGGGATTTCAAATCCCCAGAACTTACTTGATAAATGGCTCAATTTTGTAATTTTATTTTGAAAATTTGAATTTTTTTGTTTTTACGCCAAAAGCGCTCTTTTCACCTTCAAGTCAAATTTCCCACCTGTAAAATATCTTAAATGCTATTGATCCGTTGTATCTTTGAGTGTACTATTTTATAATGTTGCCCAAGGACAATTTTATGCTGTATATATACGTTTGAGTTTTTCTTCTTATGATTTACTTGTACTCCGCTGCTTACGGAATATATATTCCCCTACTTCGCCTTGAACTTCTTCCTCTTGTTGGGACAACGGATTAGATTAGCCTATCGTGTCACTGTGTCATTGACCTTCGTTCGTTTACCGAGAAAATCGAATCAGCTCAAGCATATTAGAAGAGTTGGATTTGGAAAACCGATTTATTGTTTAGTGCAAAATTAAATTGTCTTAGTAAAATATGAAGACCATACAATAAATACATTATTCTCACATCTTCTATCATTTGTTTCTTAAAAAACTTCATTTCTCCTTCTTTCTTTTATTATTTCGATTATTTTCAGTTTAATCTTCTCAACCTTTTGCTCTCAGGCCTTCCATTTCTAATTGTTGTATATACTACTTATATCTATCAACATAAGTAACATACACTACAATAGTACTTACTTGTTGAAACGTATTGGTGTAGTCTTTTCAACTTTATCACGTTTTTAGAAAAATTCCTTTTTATTGCCATAAATTTGTTTAATCGTTTTTATTATCTAATACATTCCTGAAAATTTTCAACGATCAAGCCTTTCAGCTACGAACATCATTTCATACCACTATTCTCTATATTCAATTCATTCACAATCATCTAAATGGTGAATCTGTGTCCGGAATAAAGTGTATATCCCGTATATTTTCATCAACACGTCAGTAAATTGCCTTGACATTACGCCATAATTACAGTCATTTTAGCCCTCACTTCAACAGTTAATTAACTCAATAAGAAGAGTTTTTTTCTGCAACAAATTATCTCTATGTACAGATTTCAAGATTTCATGGATTCTTTGGAAATGTAGTAAATTTTTTTTATTCGAATAATTCAATTTTATGTTGCGTATTTATTGAACAGATGATGAGTTGTTTTTGTGCCGTCTACATTTAAATAAAAAAAATTCATCTACCGTTTAATTATTTTTTGTTGTGTCTGAAGCCCCGTCAAAATACCACGTGACATTATCCGATCAGGTCACTGACTTAAACGATCTTGGCACTTTGCCAAACCAATGGCACGTTAATAAACACTAGCAGCCTGGTGTCAAATCCGAGTCCTTATTAGTTCTTCTTACCTTGCCCTGTCCATTGAGTCCAAAACACAATTCCAGCTTCTACTGTATGAATCGTATATTTCAGACATACAGGATTTATATACCACCCAACCAAACTGTATGAAACCATAAAATGAAAAATAACAATTATACAGGATCAAGCCAAAAGTTGGCTGTGACTGTGATAGACTGTAACTAACATATTGCGAATAACTTAAGAATAATAAATCGTATAATATTAGTCAGCAGGTCAAATGAAATCTTGTCATAAAAGAAATATAAATGTATGTAATCTAGTTACGCAATAAGGATGTGTACATAATAACAGTCCATAAATAAGCAAAGATGCATAGTAGCTAGCAGTAGAATCCAGGACGCGCGTTTCGTCCTATTTGGGACTTATCAGCTGGATGTACTTGCATTTCAGAGTTGATGTTCACTCTGGGTCTCAAATCCAGTATCTTTCGCTTCAAACGCCATCGCGTTATCCACTTAGTTACTGTGTCCTGATAGCCACTTGCTTGTGCAATGGGGTGAATTTTGAATTAAGGCTATATTGAGGCAATACGCACAGTATGCACTTATGTCAATAAGAGACTGATCAGTTGCAGTTCTAAGCATCAATCGGAAGATTCAAACAAACAATACAAAGTGAGTCCATAAATAGTTCATAACAGTTACCATTCATTTATTCTTCGTTATGATATAACAATTTCCTATATCTCTCTATTTGTAAACTATTTTTCTTTTATTTCTAGATACATTCCAAAACTCATGTCTTATTGAAATTTACTTACCAAATTTAAATATCTACTGGGAATATAAACAAACTGACAAATATCCAACAGTCAATTCTAATCAAGCACAAAACCAGTTGGAAGTTATTAATTCTCTACGAAATCATTCTCAACTTAGACAAAATAATTTAAGTCCAGATCCTCAAGCAATTGCTGAACTATTAACAAAAGTTAGTTAACTAAATTAATTTATTTGTAAAGGTATAGGTAATATGTGGCGCCAATGAGAAGTAGAATGCATGCCTTCAGAGGATTAATAAGATTCAATTAAAGGAAACAGAAAGTCATTTTAAAAAAAAACAGAATTAAAGGAATCATTGAACATGTTAAGGACAACTGATGAAAGATGTACAAATTATGTATTTAATGTATGGTTTTCATATTCTACGAATGCTCTCTGTAATTTTGCACTAAATCATAAATTGGCCAGCATTATCTGATTTCTCGTTCACTACACATTAACCATTTACTGATCAATGAAGTCTGTATGTTTCTTCATATTGTTGTTAATCAATCATGATGAAATAGGTTACTTTCAAATGTACATCTTTTTATTATTCCTTAAAAAAGAGCTTATTTTGGTTGTTTTGTTCTTAGTTTTCCGGATTGAATTGTGATCCTTTCATGTGATAAAATATGTGAACCCCCCCCCCAAAAAAAACGTCTTGGTTTATTACATTTATTGACAATTTTCGTCATTAATTTCCAAATTTTCGCCATCACTGAAATCTTTGATCCACATTTCATTGTGCTTTATCACTCATCAGCCTGGATATATCCCTACATCCTAGTATTGATTTCTGCACAATGAGACTCAGACTCAGTAGTTCTTTCGTACGTAGGCTTTGTTCGTCACACATTTATATAAGTTAAGTTACTACTGAGAACAAGCGAGCATTGGACTTCGGTTTCATTCCAGTATTTCACTCTTCAGAAATGCCCACCCACGACCCAGCGCAATATACAAACTTAACTATTCTCTACGAAATTCCTACAACTAAAATTCTTTCAAATTATAACCTTAATTTTCTGTTTACTTTGTTTTTCGCTACATTCCAGTTAGTCAGTCATATTGACACATTATTAGAAGATTGGTATCCAGATCTAGGAGTGAAATTAAATCAATCTAATGAAGGTATTTATTTAGTTGAACGTATTATCCCATGTTGTGCCTGTCTTGCTACACCAAACCGTTATCTCAATAATTTTTCAAGACAATCTCTTAGTTTTTCCACCGATAACCATCTACAAAATATGATGAAGAATTTCTCTTCTAGTGGTGTCAATAATCAGTTTAAGGAAATGGACAAAAACCGCAATGGAAACAAGTATTGGTATGTTGTAATGTTGTAACTTTTTCTTATTTTTCAATCTTGATATGTTCTACAATTGTCCCATTCAGCTACAAAATATATATACTTCCTTTGCATGTTTGCCTAACTTGCTGAGCGAGTTATAAAACTAAGATCGACGGGAACACTGTAATTTACTAACTGAACAAACTGCACACAAATCATAGTTTTATGTAAGTTTGTCACTACGACCTAGATAATGACTTGTAAGCTGAGATATTGACTGAGTACATAGTCCGCTTTATTCAAAAGCGTGTGTTGTTTATGATCCTTAACCTATTCCCAGACCTTGGGATAGCATGTGACCGTTAACACGTGATGTTTGGATCAACTCAACCTATGGAATTACTGTTTTACTGTTTGGTTTCATTTAGTTAATGTGTCATAAACAGATTTCACTACTAGCCACTGTTCACAGTGTTACCAACAATTGCAATTGCGCAGGCATTATCGATGTATCTGTTCAAAGAGCCCTATGTAGGGCGATAGTAACCAATTCAAATAATCCTGAGTGATAACGTCGATAAAGTATACGCCCTTATAAATAGTGATGGGTAATATATATCGGGTGTTCATTAGTAAATCCATTTGAAGGACCTTGAATAGGACCAAATAAACATTAAGTATTCCACTGCTTTTGCTGCACCCTTGAAGATGTACTCGGGTGTAATTTTTGACTTCTTGAATTCATTCAGTTAATTACAATTCGAACATTTTATACTAGAGTTGTGAGTCATAAATACATAAACTACTTACAAATTAAACTGACTGATAGTGTAAAGGATCGCTTACGAATATGCATGGAGTTCACCATCAAAATGTGCTATAAATTTAATAGCGAGTAAAATTTTTGGTGTTAAATGACTATGTAGGATTACGCAACATCACCTACCATTATCTACTGTTAAATTGATTTATTAGATCATATACCTTAGATAGGGCTTTTCATTGTGAACACTGAGTACCACTGGAGAACCATTGAAAATCAAGTAGAATTAAGTAGTCATTTTTTTTCTCAATTCTGAACTCTACAGAAATAATCATCAGCGTCTTCGGACAGGGATAACCTTAAAATTATCTCATTTTCTATCTGTTTAATGGGCATCTTAGTAGATGAATGGTATAGTGCTGACTGATAGTTTCTTACGTAGAGTAATGTTGTAATGAAAACTACATTTAATTTGTTACGTAATCTTTAGAAAAATCCTATTTGATGACAAAATAGTCATTATTTTTAAATCTTTCCTTTATTTAGTTTAAATCAATTCTCATTACATAATAAGAAATTATCTAAATCTGTTCAATTTTTAAATCATACTGATAATCAATTGAAATCTTCTTATTTGAACTCATCTATATTATCCATTACAAATGATCTATTCACTAGTGATAGTAATAATAATAATACGATCACGGAGAAATATTTGGCACATCATAATATGTCTACGTAAGTATAATCTGTCTTGGGTTTATTCATTCATTTATATCTTTTATGATTGAGTATACTATGTACATACTGTGCGTATTGCCTCGATATAGGCTAAATTCACAAGCTTGGTAAGCAAAGATGGATAATTGTTAACAGTGGAATCAAGGACGCGCGTGGATAACATGATGGCGTTTGAAGCGAAATGTACTGGGTTCAAGTCTCAGAGTGAACATCAACTGTGAGATGCAGGTACATCCAGCTGACGAGTTCCAAATAGGACGAAATGCGCGTCAAACTGGATTCTACTGCTAGCCACTATCCATCTTGGCTTATAATAAATATAATTATTACTCTTTTTCCATAACCATATTTATATCTAGTTTAGAGAACAAAACTTTATCAAAAACATTGAATATCAGAATGTCAAGTTTGACTATAGCTTGTGATTAAAATGTGTTCATATTTAGAAGAAAATTAATCCTAGGTGAATCTCTGTTTATGTGAATTTTTTAAGCAATATGAAATAAAAATTGGAAAGAGATTAGGAAGTATTTGTATTCTGATCCGTTTAACAATACAGTGTTCAATATGGCTCTATCAAACACCACTTAAGAAACAACATAAGTTGTAAACATGGAGTAAAAGATTTCATACTAAACTAACTACCGATGATTTAGAATATTAATTACTAATTCAGTCCTTAATAATGAAATCCGCTAAACATGTTTATTACTCTTTATTCCGTATTTCTCGTTGATGCGACAAACCCAAGGACTATTTATCACTTGCAACCAAATGCCCTGGTATGGCCGAGAGTGAGGAGAGTCCACTCTCCTTCTCCAAATGCTCTCACATGGCCACACTTATACAACCTCTGCCAAGGAATTCCTACTCCCTGCCTTCTCGTGGCATCACTGTTGTTTACGAAATTGAGAGAACGAAAAGCGAATGTTCGTCGCTTTAACCGGGTTGGTGAACACGGTGAGTCCACCTAGGGGAGTTGGAAAACCCTGATTCCAAACCAATGGTGCACATGGGCTCCAGTATCCTGAAGGAACAAATGGAGTATGAATCAATCGTTGGTCACTGGCAACCATGGGACTGCATCTCCTCACGATGCTCCACTGCCTTGTGAATCAGATCTTTCGGTCAAAGGCTCTTGGTGTGGCCCTCTAAGAAGGCCACCTACTTCAGTTTGGGCACCTGGGCAGTATGACAGCCCTTACACAAATCAAATAAGGTTTGTGTGGCGCATATGTATCTGGTGCCCCTTTGTACCAATATTTATGTGTTTAAATAAAATAAAATTTATCACTTAGTTTATATTTAATGCTTTTCTTATATGATGCCTCTTACTCTCTATTTCATTTTTCATTCATTCCAAAATAGTTCTTCGAAATGGTCATGGCCTTTTAAATGGTAGGTAAATGTATTTGTCCATTTTGCAGAATTACATACTATTCTACCAGCAGTGTTTTATATTTATTAATAGAAAACTAAAGTATGAGTGAACTGAATTCTGTATGATGTATTAAATACTTGCATATTTGTAAGTATTAGATTTTCAAAGCTAGAATATACATTTACAACTGATGCGTTAACTCAATCAGACATAGGTCAAATGATATGTGAGAGCTGCTAAAGGGCACATACTACTAGTCAAAATTAAACTTATCTTTCTGAGAAAATAGATGTATCTTGTTTGTTAAAAAGTTGGCTTGATTTTTTAAAATAATGATAGATATTTATTTATGAGTTATGCATATAATTTTTTCATCCCGTTAAGTAATTTATGCTTTTTAGTCACTTTTGTTTTGTTCTCTAATAGTTTGTTAGGCACTCGCGTAAAGGAAGAGTGTATGTTAGTACTTACTTACCCCTGTTGCCTCTCGTGGAGGAGCATAGGCCGCCCACCAGCATTCTCTATCCAACCCTGTCCCGGACAATCCTTTGCAGTTCTTTACAGTTGTCATTCATCATTTTCATATCTGCTTTTATTTCCCGACGTAATGTGTTCTTTGGCCTTCTACTTTTTCGCTTCCCTTCCGGATTCCAAGTTATTGATTGCTTCGTGATGCACATTGGTGATTTCCCCAATGTATGTCCGATCCACTTCTAACGTCTTTTTCTAATTTCTTCTTCACCTGGAAGTTGGTTTGTCTTCTCTCATAAAACGCTCTTGTTGATAGTATCCGGCCAGTGAATGTTGATTATTTTGCTTAAACAACTGTTTATAAATTCTTGTACCTTCTTGACGATGGACGTAGCAGTTCTCCACGTTTCAGCTCCATACAGTAGGACTGTCTTGACGTTCATATTGAAGATTCACATTTTAAAATTAGTTGACGGTTGTTTTGAGCCCCGTTGTATGTCAGTACCAGACTCAAAAAACCACAGAGTGTAGTAATAAAAATAATCACCTTGTTCAGTACCTTAACTTTAATTATGGTAAAGAATTTTTGATACGACATATACTCTATGCCTATAGATTCCTCGTTAATGACGTTCTTCATCTCATCTATATGGGATGAATGAATTTTTTCAATGTGATTGCCTTTAAATTCTTCAAAAAATAGACAAAACTATATAATTATTAACTATAGTGGTAATTACATTACATTTTGAATGATTTAACTACGTGGAAAGTTGTAAGTCGTCATTGTTGCTTAAATCCAGGCGGATCATCAGAAAATTTATTACAGTATTTACGAAGTTTGAAATTGAAAGGCTCTGAAGTTTGAACATAGCACTAGAAATTAGATTATGCATTTAGAAATACTGTAAATGGTGAGTAGTTGCCTTAAGTTCAAAAGGTAAATCGAATAAGTTTTTACTGTCTACAAGGATGATTGATGTGGTTCAATAGCTTAAAGCCTACTAACAATACCATATTTGTACGCCTCTTTGTATGTCAGATTTTGATATTCAACTGAATTGGGACCTATTCCGCACCTTTTGATGTTATATGGTTGTTGGTAGTTGATAGGAAACTCCACCTACCTATGTTTCGTTCTGATTGACATCGATCATCAAGACGTATCCACAATCTTGTAAAAACTGATGCTGTTTGTGGGAATCGAAACTCTATTACTCAGTTTCATATTCTGAAAATTCACTATACAACTATTTGAATGGCTATTGAACTCCAGCGTAACTGAAGTATTTGCAAGTAAATGATCAATGAATAGTAATCATTGTTATGTTAGTTAAGCTCTCTTATTCTGATCAGGTTCTGTCGATCAAGTTACAATGTTGCCTCCAGTCTAAATGACCCAGAAGCTCATGTACAGTATTTTGACGTTAGGTAGTTTCAGGTTGTTCCTTGAATTTTTTAGATACACCATGCTGACGAATTCCAACTAATACGTAACCCTAAGGCTGTGGTTTTCGTGATAAATACCTCCAATCACTTGACATCCCGATATATTCCTCGTGGTGTTTAGCCATTTAGTCTTGTGGGAATCCCGACCGTTGCTGCTACCTTGACGTGGTGGTCGGGCTTGCCTATCGTGATGATCCAATCGAGCTATGCTGGCTGGAACAATCGTTCCTCCAGGTCCTACCATGCCAGACAGATCGGTTGAAGAGCGGTGAGGCTAAAAGCAGCAATCCCGAGGTTCGAAGGCGAAGTCCTACTGCTGACTGTACAGAGGTGTGAAAGCAGTAAGGTGTTTCCTTCAGACAACCAGCATGACAGCGATGCTGCCTTCCCACAAGGAGGGGTGGGGTTAGAAAAGGTCGACCCTAAAAATGCACACCTCGCCTTATCCCACGGATTTCCGTCTCCGGCGGTAAGGACTTTTAAAGAACGGAGCTAACACGTCAAAAATCCCCCACAAAAAGGCCGTGCGTGACTGGCCTCAAGCAGTTATCCCTTGGGCACTGCGGTCACGCTCCCAAGTCGTTAAGACCAACACTAATCCAACTTCTTTTTCAGGTCCCTCAAGAAATACCCTTCCACGGTGTGGGCAGCCGGGAAGTGATACTAGCCCTCATACCTTTAACTGCACACAAGACCAAGTTGGTCGCTTTCAAATCCTTCCTACACCTAATAACTCTGTTATCTCCACGACTAACCCTTCCCACGTCCTTTTATCACCTCGCACCGCTAGGGCAAACGATTCGAGTACACAGAACGTTATTCCTGGTCTCCTGAAACCACGCTCTAAACTACATATAGGAACTTTTAATGTCCGAACATTGTGCCAAATAGGACAACAGGCTTCCTTAGCTAGGACTCTAGAATCTTACACCATCGATGTGTGCTGCGTCTCCGAAACGCGCATACAAGATCCGAGTAGTGTCATTCATTTGACCTCACCTAATCAAAATAAAGTTTCATCTCGATACACGCTTCGTGTATCTGGAAGCCCTAGTGCTGCTTCCCGTGGCCTCGCTGGAGTAGGTATAGCATTAAGTCCTAGGGCAGAACTAACTCTTTTAGACTGGATCCCAGTAGACAGTCGTCTATGCGCTGTCCGACTAAACGGATCAGTAAGGACACGGAAAGATAGGGAAACTCGTCGTCGCCTCTTCGTCGTCTCTGCCTACTTTCCCACTGACTGCAGCTCAGACGATATAAAAGATGAGTTCTACAGGAAAATTGATGTAAGTCCTCCAACCCTCTGTGAGGTTGAAAAAGCTATAGGAAATCTGAAGCGAGGGAGAGCAGCAGGCCCTGACAGGTTGACGCCTGAGATTTTTAAGGATGGTGGTCCAGTACTAGCAGTGAGAATGACTGAGGTCTTAGGCAGCGTTACCGATTAGCGTTACTGATTTGACCTCACCATGTCACAATAAAGAACTAACTCGATTCACACTTCATGTATCTGTAAGCCCGGATGTTTTTTCCCGTAGCTTCGCGGGTTTAGTTATATCATTGAGACATACGGTAGAAATGGCTCTCTCAAAATGGATCCCAGTAGACAGTCGTCTATGCGCTGTCCGACGAAACAGAACAGTAAGGACTCGGAAAGATAGGGAAACTCGTCGTTGCCTCTTCGTCGTCTCTGCCTACTTTCCCACTGACTTCAGCTCAGACGATATAAAAGATGAGTTTTACAGAAAGCTTTCCGATCTTCTCCGAGAAGCTAGGCGTTCTGATGTAGTAATAGTGGCAGGTGACTTTAATGCTCAAGTAGGTAAACTAAGTGAAAGGGAAAGACACCTGAGTCGATCTTACGGTGTCGTTGCTAAAAGAACAGATAATGGTGACCGTCTGTTGAAGAACTGATTGCCACAAGTGGCGTTCGTCAGGGCTGTCCACTCTCCCCATTCTTGTTTAACTTTGTCATTGACATACTTTCATCAACTAAACCTCCAGGAGTTGAACTTTTACCAGGAGGCTCACTTGTTGACTTAGAATACGCCGACGACATAGTTTTACTCGGTGAAGACGCTGACAACATGCAGAGTCTTCTGACCACTATAAGCAACTATGCAGGCATGTTCGGGATGCGATTCTCTCCCTCGAAGTGCAAAATGTTACTTCAGGATTGGGTTGCAGCGACACCTGAACTAATGATAGGGAGTGAAGTAGTTGAGCGTGTAGACCACTTCACTTATCTTGGGAGTCTCATCAGCCCTTGTGGTCTGGTGTGTGACGAAATCTCAGCACGGATACAGAAGGCTCGTCTAGCTTTCGCCAACTTGCGTCATTTATGGCGTTGGCGAGATATCTGTCTAGCAACCAAAGGACGGGTTTACTGTGCAGCAGTTCGCTCCGTCCTACTTTATGGCAGTGAAACATGGCTGAAAAGAGTAGAGGATATTCGTAGGCTACTAGTGTTCGATCATAGGTGTCTTCGACGCATTGCTCGTATATCCTGGGACCACCGGGTAAGTAATGCAGTTGTTAGGAAACGGGTACTAGGTAGGGATGGCAAATCGATTGATGAAGTAGTGAAACGTCATCAGTTGAGATGGCTGGGACACGTGTTACGTATGCCCAACCACCGACTGCCCCGACGTGCAATGCTTTATAGTGTAGGAGTATGTTGGAAGAAAGCTAGGGGTGGCCAGACCAGAACGTGGCACAAATCAATTAAGTCACTGACAAGTGGACTGGGCCATGTTGGTAGGTGTAGACTACCTGGTTGGGATTCGCAAGATGACAGCAACCGATGGTTAGAGACCTTGAATGACATGGCTCAAAATCGTTTGCAATGGTGAAGGTGCATCCACTCTTTGTGTTCTACCAAATTCTAATCTTCTGAATTCCTCATGTCTTTATCTTTTTCTCTTTCCAAATTTATTTCACTGGATTATACTCCTTGAATAACATCTCCAAACCCTAATCTTTCACACTATTGCTTATACTCTTACTACTTCTACCACTATGGGATTTGAATCGACAACTGCATCTCTAAGCTAATGTGGTATGGTAACTCGAACTGTTGTACGTACGTTCGAAGTTCTACGTTGTGACTGACTGACTGACTGACTGACTGACTGACTGACTGACTGACTGACTGACTGACTGACTGAGAAAACCTGTTTGTACTGAAGTTAACTGAACTTGTTTTACAACGTCTATTGTTCTATATTGTTTGTTTACGGAATGTACATTTACGTCTTGGAGTTCTTTTGTTTTAATGAATGTAGATCGTGTGCAAATTTTCAGGCCTAAAAATCATTAATTCTGTTATTAGAAGGGGGCCGTTACATCCTATTATAGGACTACTCAGCAGTGCGCATCCACGATCCCACCTCGCGAGATTCAAACCCAGGGCCTATCAGTCTCGCGCGCGAGCACTCAATGTTTGGTTTAGTCGATTGCAAATTTATATAAGATTTTACGGCCGTCCGGTGCTTCCAGCTTTTCCATGGTGGTCTAGCTTCAATTGACTATTTTAAAAATATTAAAATCTCCACAAAACCCTCTTCTGATAATGATCACATGCTCACTAGTGATTGACTCCATGGGGTATTTCCTGGATTTCTAGTGAGAAGCAGTAACCAGTGGAGTTCAACCAAGTCTGTTGGGAGATATCAACTTACAAAAGACATTGGTGGATGTGTCACTCAATTTCGTGGATCGGTTGAAGTTAAACAGTAAGACCGTTGGATGCCAGCCAGCTCAGCGGTCTAGAAATTAAGTGCTTACGCGCGAAACTGTTAGGTCCTGGGTTTGAATCTCGTGAAGCAGGATCGTGGATGCGCGTTGCTTGGGAGTCCCACAATAGGACGGTGTTCTAGCTTCAATTGACTCAATTCTAGTACTGTTTAGTAATTTTAAAATCTTGTGTTTTTTATAATTCACTGCTTTTTGTGATAACAGGAATCGATATAAAAGAGCACACTCAGCAGATCCATTAAAAATTACTAACGATAGTAAAAATGAAAATGGTAATCAAAATAAATTAACCGATCCATCAACAGCCTATACGTCGTTTGTTTATGGTATCAGTGTTAGTGAATATATTCATTGGTATGTAATGAAGAAATCAAATAAAATATTACAGCCTGGAGGATTATATTGTCCTATACATTCATCTATTCAGTTATGGGCTCCAGATTTAGTAAGTTTCATTGTAAAAACAAATTTAATCCTGTCTGATTTTTTCATTATTTTATATTTACGTAAAGGTTTTTAGCTACTTATATTCTATATAAGTAGAATGAAGTGATGTGTATAAGATTTTTACCGAACGATCAAGCTTTTTGTCACGTGCACAGTATGAAGCCCGAGATAATGTCCTTTAGATACAATTTGTAACCTTTTTAATTTTGAGAAATTTATAACACTTTCCCCGATGACTCACTTTAAAGTAGCATTACCTTTGAACCATCGTGATGGAGTACAGTGAGTTATAAAGTAGTGTCTATTACAATTGTGTCAAGTCACTATACGTCAAAATAGTAAAAACAGATACATATAAATTATATCACTGTTTTAAGCACATGAATTCGTAGTAATATCATATATTTATATATATTCGGAGGACAATTACAAAACGTAAACTAATTTATAAACGTGATCAAATTCTATCTATTTTCCCAGAATCGGTGGTTTGTGGAGATCATTGATTTGTATAGTTTACTTTGCAGACTGATAATAAATGAACAGTTATTAGGAAGCAAAGAAACATTGAAACATTGTCTCACCCCAGTATGGAACTCCTTAACAGAGTCTATACACTACCTCCCTACCGGAGGTGAGCTCTTAACCTTAACACTTCCATGTCTATATACGATGTTTTACATTTCTTATTGCAAATCGCAATAATCCATTTTCATTTACTGATGATATTTGTGCGTAACTATCCTATATTCAACGTGGTTACGCTCCATTGGTTATATATTTTCTTCAAAATTTGGAATTACCCTTGGGAATTAGCCACTGGTAGGCACATGATTTATTATACATATAACAGTAGTTGATTATTATACTGAAGTGTATAATATTAATCTTACTAGTGATCACAGAATGAGTTGTTTTTTTGTTATATTCTCTCTTTTCTATTTTTTTTCCCTTCAAATTAGCAATTTAAAGATATTCCTTCAACACTTTTTATTTCTACTGATCGTGTCCATTTATTGGAATTTCTTGGACGTGGCGCTTTTGGTTCAATATTTAAGGGTTCTATAAATAATTCTCTTCCAATTAAACAACAACAAACAGGACGATTATCAAATAAAATTCCACTTAAAACAACCAACCAAGTAAACTAATGATTATGTGTGTGTATGTCGATTGTAACTCATGAAATAAAAAAAGAGGATTTATTATTGATACTTCGACAGTGGACACTAGATTCTCAGTAATTAGATCACTAGAGATAAACACGAAGCTGAACACTCGATTAATACTTTATTGAATTACGATACTGGATCAGATAATACACTCGACTCAGTGATCTAATCAATGTATATATAAGTTAAAATAAAAGTATTTTTGACAAATATTGTAAAGTAGTCAACAAACTGAGTCAAGCAGAAGTAGTTTTACAAACAAGGTTATCTATTATATTTGATATAACTTGTTATATATCTCTTCGCTTATCTACTGATCATTTTTATCTGAAACATCAAAAAAAAAATTCTGGCTGAATATCTCTAAGGTATCTCATTACCGGACAAGCAACTATTTTTTAATCTCAGGTTTTCATTAGTTCTCTTACTTTAATCGACTTTTGATCTTAATAATATTTCACAATCTTCACAACCTCCGTTATGAATTCTGATAACTTGACATATTATTTTATTTATTTATTTGAACACAAATATTGGTACAAAGGGGCATCAAATATATATGCGCCACACAAATCTCATTCGATTCGTGTGAGGGCTGTGATACTGCCCGTGTGCGCAGACCGAATTAGGCGGTTTTGTTAAGGAACCATTCCTTGCAACTTTGACATAAAGGTCTGATCCACAAGGCAGTGGAGCAACTTAAGGAGATCCAATCCCACGGTGACCAGTGACTAACAATAGGTTCATTCTCCAATTTTTCCCTCAGGATCCTGAAGCCTATGTGCAACATTGGTTTGGATTCAGGGTTTTCCAACTCCCGTAGGTGGACTCGCCGTGTTTACAAACCAGGTTAAAGCGCTAGACATACGCTTTTCGTCCACTCAATTTCGTAAACAACAGTGATGCCACGAGAAGGCAGTGAGTAGGATTTCCTTGACTGAGGTTGTATAGGTGTGGCCATGTGAGAGCATTTCAAGAGAGAGAGCTGGGCCTCTCCACTCTCGGCTATAACAGGGCATTTGGGGCAATCTTCAACACGACGTCTTCGAAACACTCTCGTCATTTTATAATTATCAAGGGAAGAAGAAGAACAGAACAACGAATGTTCATTATCCTTAATACATAAGTTTTCTTTTTTGCTGATTATCATCGAATGTTATATGCCGATGGATTATAACAACACATTAAATTAATTAATAAACATATTTTTTATTTAATCGAGTTCATGTTATTTGGCTCACATTTACGTTCTAAGCAAAGTTGGGTAGTGACTAGCAGAGGAATCCAAAACGCGTATTTCGTCCTATTTAGGACTCTTCAGCCGGATGAACTTTCACACCCAGAGTTGATGTTCATACCAGGACTCTAATCCAGTACTGTTCGCTTCAAACTTCATCGCTTTATCCACTTAGCTGCTAAACATCAATTCTGGGATGCATGTACATCCAGCTAACGATTCCCAAATAAGACGAATCACACGTCCTGGATTCCACTGCTGGCCACCATTCATCTCAGTTTATAATGCTTGTGATTTAAAGCAATTTCGAGGCGATCCTCATAATGTGCACATATAACTGATCCATTGCAGTCCCAAATGTCACTCGCAGATCAAACAATGAATACAAAATAAATGAAATTTACATTGTTTGTGCTGGACAAAGTTCACTTGAATGGAAACTCATATTGGGATAACGAATTTTTGTTTGAACATTTTCTTTATGCTGTCCTTTACATACTATATCATTCTTCTAATTCTGTTGTTTTTTTCTACTGTTCTTCTATTTCATTCTTATTCTTGTCATTTCAATATTCACTTAGCAGTCCTTCCACTTTTGATTGGTATTACATACCACTTGTATCTGTCAACATAAGTAGCATATACCTCAACATCACAGTTGTGCAAACTGAAGTGCTTATTATTTGCTTCTTATTTATTCATTGTATGTATTTTCAAATTTTTCCCATTGATTTAGTTCAACAACAATCACACCAAAGAATTCATTCGTGAAGTAGCCGTAAAACTTTGTTCTCCTATTCATCCAAACTTAAATAGCAGTAGTAGTAATTGTAATCCTATGTTTAATTCTGTCGATTGTGAGCGTATCAATTTATCATCGTCGAAAGAGAAGTGTTCTACTTCGAATCTTTCCGATGCTTTGTTTCTATATCGTCAGGAGCAACGTAGATGGTTGCATAACCCAATTGAAGCCTGTTTAACTGCTTATCAGGTTGGTTGATTGGTTAAATTAATTAGTTGTTTGAATTATCTTAAGATTTAACTAAGTATATAATTTTTCACCAGTATAAAGCCATCCTGGAGACCAAACCTAGGACCTTTAGGTCTTGCTACGCTAATAACCAACCGTTTGATTATTGGGTGGGCATCCAATAAATTTGAAAGACAGTTGTACGATATCGCGAAGTAGCTGAAGAGAAAAATTCTAAACAATTGAATGCCGAGTCGGTGGTCCAAAGGTCTATACAAAATCTGAAACTCTCTTCGTTTGATTTCGAAGATGAAGTCATGCGTGCACATTAATGTCGTCTGTTTTCCATTTAATGTATTGTTGAGAAATAAATACGTTTACTAAGAAATATTCTTTAATGATTTATCTTTCTGTCGTAGCGAAAGATATAAATAAAATGACGTCAATTAATAACGCTATATAGTTGTATAAACTTGGCATGGAATTTTAGATGTAATAAAAGTAGCTGTTAATGATTATATTATCAAGAAGCTTAGATCACTGGTGATTTGTAAGAGTTCCCTCTGAAAACGATGAATATATCAATCTAATAAATTGTTCCTCTGTCCTTCAGATACTTTTCAGCTGTATTACTATGTTGTTAACAGCCTGATTGAAATATTGACTTCAGATTTTCGAAAAATCTGAAGCATGAAGGACTTATGAGAAATGATAATACTTATGTTCAAGATTCTTTAGTATCCTATAGACCAGACGTAAAAATGTGAGTCTGAATTCAATATCAACTTTTTCTATTACTGTATTCGTACGTAATAACATTGGACTCTCTATTCCAGTTTTTGATGTGAAGCAATGGAGACATTGTTTGTTATAATCATGAAAGAATCAACTTAAAAAAATTAGTTTCAAGATGTTTTAAGATTGATTGTCATTTAACATCTGGTCGATTCGCTGAAGTGACAACTAATATAAGAGAGAAGGTTGTTGGTCATAGGTGCACATTTAAGAATTTTACACATTTTCTGTGTTCGATATTAACCACATGCATTTGTTTGGTTCCTTTTAATATCCATCAGACAATTACATTGATCTATAGGCTAATTACTTACATAATTTATTTTATTCATAGTAAGATGAGGAATGACTTATATGATCTCAAATGAACGTTTGATCTTATACTTAACAATGTCAATATTATATGACTATTAGAACCTGAAGAGAATTTATCGAAAAGAATATTCTTTGTTCAAATATTAGTCTTTTAATATGATGAGGATCTTTAAACGACTATCAGATGAATTGGAACAATGAATTAATGGAATTTAAAAATGTTGATCATTGAATACAGTCTGAATGATTTAAATGATAAAGGCTCATTTAAAGACCTTAAAGATCTGATTAAGATCGTCAGGAGAGTTGTTAGTGCACACTACTGGGATGTCCTATAGTGGTATGGGACTGTTGTTTAGTTCTTTCTAATTTCCAATGGTTGTGTAACTTAGACCAATTATTGATGTAAATTATGACACTTTAAGTACTAATAAACAATCCAACAGGTTCAAAGTTGAAATACTTGTCCGGTTCATAACTAAAATAATCTCAGAGATGAAGATGCCAATAATTTTAACGTTTTACAAGGTAAACTAGTCTGAGTTTCTATAACTAATGTATATATATATATATATATATATATATATATATATATATAATGTCTTTTACATATTTGGCGCCCGATTTCTGTCAAACTAATTACTCACGTTCTATTGAATGTTCAAATAAACCTGTCTGAATCACCATAATACCAAAAATGTTCACCAGTGAATATTATTTACGTATGAATATTATTGTTCTCGTTATCCCTAAAAACAATAGATTTATTCTGATAATCATCAACATATGCTCAGTAGTGACTTGCTTCATGAGGTATTTCCAGGAGTTCTAGTGAGAAGTAGTGACCAATGGAGTTCAACCATGTATGTTGTTAGATAATAACTCAATGAAGACATTGATGAATGGTTGCTCAATTTCGTGGATTGGTTAAAGTTAGACATCGACACCGTTGGGTGTCGGCCGGCTTGTTACGTGTTCGCATGTCGGGCTAACCAATATGTAGTGGCGTGCTTCGTTAATCGATCGTCTCGATAACCGTTATTATATCAATGCGAAAGGTGTATAATATCAAAAGACAAAGGGAAGCGGCAACTACATTTTTATTGACAAATAACATAGGCTAGAAGGCAGTGAGCACATGAGCAAATGTTAGCGAGCGAAGTAAAAATGACATGCATGGGAGATGGCTGGAAAATCGACTCGAGAGCGAAGCGAAAATAACGAGTATTGGAGATGACTGGGAAGCAAACTCGCTATGAGCAAGCATTACTCAATATTTATAATCAGACAAAAATGAATGACAGACATGTGATGGATAATATATGAAGTGTGCATGCACATACGCTCATATAAAAAGTAGTCAAGGTTAATAAGCGAATAATTAACAAGATGAAAATATGACTCATGACAGGCGAATTGGCTTGTCCAGTAGCTAGAATAAAGTGCATGGGCTTAACATATAAACTGATACTACAGGCTTAGTGGTCTAGTGGTTAAGTGCTCGCGCGCGAAACTGTTAGATCCTGGGTTCGAATCTAGCGAGGTGGAATCGTAAATGCACACTGCTGAGGAGTCCCATGATTGGAAGAAAAGGCCGTCTAATGCTTCCAGGTTTTCCATAGTTGTCTAGCTTCAATTGATTCATGATCTCAACTATTGAAATAAATTTATTGTCTATTGTCTTTTTTTCTCTCTCTGTAGGAAATTCGAGCTGAATTGAATATTCTGTTACCGATTACAAGAAATTCATTGTATTCCGATCAGTATTCTTTTTCATCATCATCATCATTATTATTATTATATCATAAGAGTAAACATACTAACCGATTATGTAATAGTTATAGTATCCAAGAGAAACGATCTAATCAAAGTTGTTTTAATAAATGTTTACAAAAGAATAAATTAAAAGATTCGAATAGTAATGATAAGGCAAATAATATTAGTAATAATAACTTACTTATATGTTATGGAATTATATATCCTAATCCTATTGGATTTCTAATACCATTAATACCATTAGGCAATTTATCGGATTATTTCACTTCCCTATTAACATCATATCAAGATTTATTAAAGACAACAGTGAATACATTGGAAATATCCTCAGTAACAACCAATTGTATGAATGAATTATTTATTAATCATCCATTACATCCAATCACAATGATGTTAATTATTAATCAGGTAAGATTTCGTTTTATTTTATTATTGGATTATGTTGGTACATGGTTTAAGATTGTTCACTAGATAGGTACATACATCATTTTTGTGCTTGATGTTCAAATCATCAGCAGATTTTGTTCGTTAAAAGATATAATTGCCTTATAACTTGTAACCGAGTCGATGCCTTTTTAATTTATGACGTGTTAAGACCGTCAATCAAAGAGCAGCGAGTTATAGATTGGAACAGTGACACACGGAAACCATACGAGCAGTCTAGATTATGTATCGGTCCTGCTTTCTGCCTAGCCCAGCCAGTTAAGTCCAGAACACCAATAACAGCCTCTGCGGTATAAATCCTTATATTTCAAACATACTGACTTTATATAGCAAACAGACTGACCACATCGTACCATAAAATAGAAAATAACATTTGTACAAAAGTCAGCCAAATGTGGCTGTGAATAAGGGAAGCAGTAATAAATAGACTGGGTATAACTCAAGAATGGTAAATCGTACAATAATAGTCCAAGGGTCGAAATAAAGCTCACATTGAAAGGAACATGAATATGAGTAGTTTGATTATTTAGCAAATATACGATAAACAAATATATGCATAATATTGGTCCATAAATGGATGTCAAAGTTACCATTGATTATTCTTATCGGGATATAACAAAAACTGAATAAAATTTGATCATAAAATGTATTTATATTCTGAAAGCATTGTACACGATAAATATATAACGTGAAGAACAATTTATGAAAATAATACAGCGTTAAACAACCTTTTATTCTTAACATCAGGTGTATTAGAAATCATTCATTTCAAATCATGCTTATTCTATGTGCCCCCAAATGCCCTGGTACAGCTGAGAGTGGGAAAAGTCAGCTCTCCCTCTCCAAATGCTCTCACATAGCCACGCCTATATATCCTCTGCCAGGAAAGTCCTACTCACTGCATTCTCGTGTCACGAGTGTTGTTTACGAAACTGAGAAGACGAAAAGTGAATGTCCAGAGCTCTAACTGGGTTGGTGAACACAGAGAGTTTACCTTGGGGAGTTGAAAAACCCTGATTTTAAACCAATGATGTAAATGGGCTCCAGTATCCTGAGGGAACAAATGACGTATGAATCAATCATTGGTCACCGGCTACCATGGGACTGCATCTCTTTACGATGCTCCACTGCCTTGTTGATCGGATTTTTAGGTCAAATGCTCGGGGTGTGGCCCTCTAAGTAAACCATCTGCTTCAGTTTGGGTACCTGGGTAATAACACATACCTCACACAAATCAAATGAGATTTGTGTGGCGTATATATATGGTGCTCCTTTGTACCAATATTTATGTTTAAATAAATTAATTACTCTATGTAACATCATTCAGTCTAGGAGTTGAAACCTGACAATTAATATTTCCAGCCTAATTCAACTTGATCATTATTATACAAAACTAAACATGTTAACTATTTTATTTTTCTAATTTATACTTATCACGTTCATTTATTATGCTGCACAGATTAAAACAATCAGAATTTTCTAGAAACTCATTAAATGGACAAGTCAAATTACACTCATGAATAACACATCACAATCTTTTTTTCTCGAATTAGGTAGCTAAAGGACTTGCATATCTTCACTCTTTATCTATTGTTCATCGTGATGTAAAATCGGAAAATATATTAATTTGGTCAATACCACCACCTTCTACAATGATGACGATGATGGCGTCATCATCATTGGCATCGAATGATCAAAATCCATCTAAAGTACATATTGTACTAACTGATTATGGTGTTAGTCGATTCATGAGTGTACGTGACGATGATGAAGGTGATAATGGATGCAGAGGATATGTTGGTACACCTGGTTATATGGCCCCTGAAATTTTAGACTATATAGGTGAACAAACATATACTTCAAAGGTTTGTTTAAAGAAAAAGACGTGAAATTTTTTTCAATAATATACATATATTTATACGTTTCCTTTCATTATATTCCATTCACACTTATTATAATATAAGTTTTCATCAAAACATCAGATACACATTTCCAACTTAGTATTTCAAATAAACATATAAAAGATAAAGACTTCCTTATAACAAGTTAGAAATAGGAAGTAAAGTTTAAAATGAAGTACAAACGGATCTAAAAGTCATCTCAAAAGATTAGTCACTCTTCCCAATATACATATTACCTTCTGAAGATCTGTCGCAGATCGAAAACAACACAGTGATAACATCTCAAACTATCTAGCTGGATGACAAGGGTTCAAATCTCACAAAGAGCATTTGTCCCTTTAAGATTACAGATATGCCTCTGGAACCATTACCTTCTAACGTTTCATACCAATTCTCTCTGTGCTTTGTCTATATATGCCCAACCACCACCTACCTGGATTGGCGATGCTGTTTCGTGTAGGAATAGACTGGAAGTAAGCTAGGGGCGGTCAAACTAAAAGATTGTGTCAGTCGATAAAGTTATTGACAATTTGATTGTGCCATATTCATAGGCGTAGACTACCTGGTTAGGGTCCACGTAACGATCGTAACTTCGAATGACATGACTCAAAATCGTTTTGCAGTGGCACAGGTGTACTCATTATTTGCCTCCTTCCGAATTCTGAGCTTTCTAAATTCTGCATAAATTCTGAGATTTACCCTGACAATTTCGTCTCTTTATGCTTGTATAGTATGGGAACTTGAACCGATGTACATACGTACCACGTTCTACGCTGCAACTGACTGACTGAATGCATTGTGATAGTGTGTACTAGCTATATATAAATCCGTTATTAGAATGTGCATTAAATGTATTCATAAAGTAATAACTGCTTTTACAGTCTCTCAATGCCTTTGAATCAGTTAGAAACTTAAGACATTGTTACATATTGTGAATACACCACAAATTGCCTCCAAAATATATCCCTCTCTTCAGATTTTTCCATTTAATTATTACTCAATTGTTTTTGTTTCCCTTTATTTTACTCTATATAGGTTGATATTTATGCTATGGGAATTTTATTATGTGAAATGATTCAATTAGAACAACCGTACAAAAAATTATCATCGTCATTTTATCGTTTAGCTCAACAAGTTATTTCAGGTGTACGTCCTGATATTCCACAGCATGTATGTTTTTCTATTTTAAATTGAATTTTTTTATTATTTCATAAGTAAAATAGAAGTAGATAGTGAGTGATCTGAATTAATCCATCAGTAATATCTTTCAGTCTGACAAGTTCGAATCTCAATGAGTAAAATCAGTTTTCTTCAAGAGTAACGGCTAATTCAAGTTCATGAAGTCATAGACCGTAGAACCAACTGATATGTATTTATAGGTGTAGACTACGTGATCCAAGGTTGACGCGGTTATGGTAACCAATGGTTAAATAAACATTGATAAAAATTGGTTGAAGTGAATGAAATGCATCACCTCTGTGTCTTCTTTTAGATCTTGAATTTTACAAGGATTTTGTACCCTCTATTTCTGTCAGTTTATTCTTTCTAGAATAATATTTTCTATACTCAATAATTTGTAATGTCATTTATACTGTTACTACTTCTACTATCCTGACGTTCATTTCTATGACAACATTTTGATATTCTGGTGTTGGAGAGACTATTATTTATGGGCGACTTTTGAACGAATTTTAAGTGACCTCGAGAAATATTAGCCAATCAGAAGGCAGCCAGTATGGAATAAATATATATCATACAATACCAAGGAATTAAAGTGGATACACGTCTTTTATATGGTCCAAAAACTTGTCAAGGTTAGAAAGATCTTCAAAGGTTTCAAAATCGTAATGCATAAGTTAGAGGAACTCATCCATTTGACCCCTTAATACTCGGTCTCTGGAGCCATGATGAGGTCACAAAAGCTCTCTCAGTCTCGACCACATAGCTTCAATATTGTTTGCATGTACTCCGGTTGTGTAAGTTTGTCATTTTTATTACGTATATATCCCTACAACACTCATACCTCTGAACAGCCGAAGCTTCAATAACGTCTGCGAATATTGCAGCCAATTTTAGTGGGGCTTTTATTATACAGTTCGCGGCAATCATTATAATTTGCCTTAGTCACAATCTGGATCGAGAGAAAAAAGTTCTTATTCTAGCAGACTTCTTCCTCTAACATATATTACATCGAAAGATAACATCATCAGGGTAGCCTGCACAAGGTCTACAGCTCAATTGATTACTGCAATTATAAATAAAGGAACTTCCTATTAGTCCCATCTATTGTAGCCGCTTAATTGTCACGTTTTCTCTAAAATCCTCTGTGAACCGACTGTACATGAGCATCAGGTACTAAAATTGGCGCTTCAACCTTGAAATCCCTCAGACGCTTCTGATTGTCTCGTCCATAAATTATAGTCTCGCCTCAACCACTTAGCATAGACTGTTACCGTTCACATTGTATTTAGTTATTTATATTAATAAGTTCTCTGAAAAACGTGTTATGTTGGATTTAATCAACAGTAAAAATAAACTAGATAAGTTTAACATTTGTTATTTCCTAGCAATTCATCAATTTAAATGGTTACTGTTTCCATTAAAGAAGAACGGAAGCCAATCAGATATTAGCTAGTGTTCAGTTTGCAGTAATATCATTTAATTTAATTAATTTAATAGCTAACAATCATTGAAAGCACTGGATATCTATTTCATTTTAGTACGGGGCTCTTTAGTAATGAACTTTCGAAACCCCACAAAGGATCAAACTAATCGCTCACTACGAAACTTATAGGTCTAGTATTTGTTAGCTTTCAATAATTGTCTAAGATTGATAGTTGAACATTAAATCATTCAGTTCCTTGAAACATCATATTGGTTAATGATCTGAATGACCAAAGTGTGTATACGTTATATACAACATTAGATCTGTTATACTGGATTCATTATTCCTACGCTACTTACAAACATTAAGCTTCAGTTCATATTTTCATTTCGGTTATTTTAAACTAGACAGCATGTATTTTAATTAAACATGTAAAACTGAACTAATATTCCTAATCCGTGTACGTTTTGAACTCGTGATATCAATAGAATATTTTGTAATTTTCAATGCAATCTAGTATTGTCTATAACCTTGCTCGATTATTCGTCAATCCCTAATTATATATCCTTGTTAGACAGCCACTAACATCCAGGAATCAGTAAACCGTCTTTTCATCTTGCTACAGAAATCTTTAGGATTGTGGGTCCCAATCCTCTTGGGAATCCGTCACAAAACCTATAAGTCTCATACTGACTATTTAATCTTGAGATCAGAGAACTTTATTCGTATTCAAAAGATTCTACGTTGAGAACTGTATTTTATTGCTTAAACTTCTGATGTTGACCAAAATAACATGACATTGATATGTTCAGATCTGTTATGATTTTGATTGTACTAAAAAATATTTTACTTCATTTTTTGGTACTATTTAAACTTGTGTTCATTTTATGTCGGTTATTTATTTACATTAAACAAATGATTTACATTAAGTCAAGAAACATCAGAAATACAACTTTCTACCGGTTGAGATATCACGAAGTAATGTTTCTTATATAGTTGAGGTCATAAGTCAATTAAAGCTGGAAGCACTGGACGGCTGTTTCGTCCCACTGTGGGACTCCTCAGCAGTGCGCATCCACGACCTTGCCTCGTGAGATTCGAACCCAGGATTTACCAGTCTCGAGCCATAGCACTTTATCGATAAACCACTGAGCCGGCCGCTATCCAACGGTGTTAATGTCTACCTTCAACCAATCCAAGAAGTTGAGCAACCGTTCACTAATTGTCTTCAGTGAGTTGTTATCTCACAACAGACGTGGTTGAACTCCATTGATTACTGCTTCTCACTAGAACTCCAGGAATTATCTCTTGAAGTCAGTCACTAGTGAGCATGTGATTATAATCAGAAGGGGTTTTGTGGAGATTTCAGTATTCTTCATAGTTGAAATCATGAGTCGTGGATGTGCACTGCTGAGGAGTTCCACAATAGGACGAAACGGCCGTCCAGTGCTTCCAGGTTTTCCATGGTGGTCTAGCTTCAATTAACTCATGATTTCAACTATGAAAAATACTGAAATCTCCACAAATTTCCTTCTGAGTATACTGTTTGACAAATAAGTTACCATTATTAATTGATCTCATCTAGTCTCTCAACTAGACTTCTTTTTTTCTTTTGTCTTTATCATACCTTCAAATAATAGTTTATTAAACGTTGTCCTATTACATTAATCAATTTAATGACATATTGTTGGGCATCAGATTCAAATAGACGACCATCAGCTGAACAAATTGTACATTTAACTAATTCATATCAATTATCTACATCATTATTATCATTATCAAATGAAAGTATTATCAATGATTGTAATGATGATAATATGAAGAAGGAAAAGAAGTCAAATTCATTATCAATTCATTATCAAAATAATTGTTTTAGTCATATTCAATCGGTTCATTCAATTGATTTTTTGAAAGTTGTAACTTGTGCTGTAATAGGTAAGTGATGTGTGATTATTTGAAAAATCGTACTCCTTTTGTTTGTTTGTTTCCAGGCTGATTGTTTAACAAGATTAAAGAAAAGAAAACAGGAGAACTTCTGTTTTCCCATAGGAGAATTTCGCCAAAAGGCAAGATTCCACTCAAGGACTTCTGTTTTCTGTGATATGATTCATTTATTATTATTTTTAAACACTTTCTACATTTGACCAAACTCATAATGCAAATAAGAAGAGTTAAATGAGCAAAATGGCTTAAATGCAAAGTCGATCATAGATGTAATATATCTTTGTATTACTGACTCTGACGACCACCTGTAGGCGGACTTTGAGTTGATGTATAAACAATGTCCTTTAAAAACATGCCTATTATTTGACCCTAAAAGGGTATATGAACTATTTAACGTTTGGAAGTTGCTTGTTTAGACTTGCTCAACCTATCAGGAATATATTAGATTTTTTTCTTAGTGATCTGTTATCTTTCTTTTATTCTTGTTTGTGTATAATCAGTTGGTTTTAATGAATAAGGTAGAAAATATTATTGACACATTGTCACATCTAGGAATCCTAGTAATATTAACTCTGTGAAGGAAAAGAAAAACTTCAGTGGAAAGTACAGTCATTTCATGTTTAATTGATTTGTGTACACTTCAGTGGTATACAAATGAAATGACATATTTGCTGAGATTTTTGACCTTTTTTATGATTTTTTTAACTGTTTTCGTTTTAGAATACTTTCCTTAAATTATGGATATAGTTACTTATACGCATATTTAGTCGGTTATAGACAATGTAATAGTACTTAACGTGAATGCATATCGCTTCAAGTTCGTATAACGTCATATCAGCTGAACGAGTAAGGAAATAAGAAAAAAATTCAAAATAGAGTATGGGAATCATTAACCTTAATTATACTGAACAACTAAACGTAAGGGCCCTCAAATGCCCTTGTACGACCAAGGGTAGGGAGAGTCCACTCTCCCTTCTGAAATGCTGTCATATGGCCACGCGTATTCACCCACTTGCACAGAAGTCCTACTCACTGCCTTCTCATGACATTATTGTTGTTTATAAAATTGAGAGAATGGAAAGGGAATATCCGGTAGGGGCATTAAACGAGTTGGTGGATACACCTAGCGGAGTTGGAAAACCACAATTTCAAACTAATGGTCCACATGGACTCCAGGATCATGAATGAAAAAATGGAGTATGGACCAATTATTGGTCACTGGCTACCATGAGACTGCATCTCCTGACATTACTGCCTTATGGATTAGACATTTAGGTCAGAGGCCTCCTAAGAAGATCACTTGCTTCAGTATGAGCGCGCAGGTAGTATGTCAGCCTTCAGACAAATCATTTGATTTGTGTGGCGCATATATATTCGGTGTCGCGTTGTACTAATGTTTATATCTTTAAATAAATAAATAAATATAAGAAGTATGTTAATAAGTGCTGTTGCCGTATGTACATTATGGAAGGATTGTGTTGATCTTACATTATATCCCAAGTTTTAATATGTTGCTAGCAATTGAATCGTGGGACATATCATCTGAAGTTGTCTGTGTCCCAATGTTAGCATTTTTCTGTTACCTTTTGCTTTAGATACTGAACGCGTTGCTGAAGAATTTATTGAGTCTAGTTAGATACTAGCTTCTTCAGTGTATAAGAATTTTTATTTGTAAGGATTTATATTTCGCATACTAAAAGCTGGTGACTATCCAAACTAATTAATTCAGTGAATTGGGTATTTAAAGAGAAAAGTAATGGTTTTAAGTCCCTGTGTAAACACTAACACTAGCTCACAAGAGAGACGTAGATTTCTTTGCAAAAGTGTCAGGTTAGCTTATGTGACTATGATTTATCATCGTCCAACTACTACCTATCTCTGTTCATGATATTTACTGGTATAGAAGTAGGTTGAGAGAACATTAAAGGTAATCAAATCAACGCTCATTCTCTGTCCATGCAATCAGTGATTGTTGAACTAAGCAATCTTATTGCCTATAGATTGATTACCTTACTAACTTACTGACTGTTTTGGTCAAATTTTATTCTTTTTTCAGACAATAATTACAATTTATGGCTTGGTGGTTATAATCCTATTCATGAATCATTCATATTGAATAATAATAATGATACACAATCTATCAAATTGGGTTTATTAATCATTATTCCTTTGGATAGTTTCTCTACAAAATCATCATTATTATTGGCTTCTTGGCCAAAAATCCATGTATTAAAACAATATTTTAAAAGTTTTATAACCCAATATAACTTATATATTAAATTATCCGATTGGCCAATTCATTTATGTTTATTGAATATGAATGTTGATGAAGAGATGGAAAAAAGATGCAAAAATTCTGATATTTCACCTCAATTAATAACTTGTTTAACATACTTTGGTGAATTAAAAATATATGGGTAAGTATAAATATTACTAAAATATATTTAACTGAGATCATGAACCAATTTAAATTAGACAACCATTGTAAGCTCTGATCATCTATCCCTTCCTTGTATGAGACTCCTCAGCAGTGCACACCCACAAGTCGATAATAGATTTAACCCAGGACTTTCGGTCCTGTACACGAACACTTAATTTTTAGGCTACTGAGCTTGAATCCAATGATGTATATGACTAACGTCAATCAACCCAAGGTACTGCTCAACTGCATTTCAATTGCTTCGATGGGTATCTGGTCACACTCGATGCGGTTGAATTCCACTGGTTAAAACTTGTCATTAGAACTACAAAAATGTCTTATTTGAATTAGTCATTAGTTTTCTTTTAATGTCGTCAGTTGTCGTTACTTAACAGTTATAAAATGCTTTTTAATAATACTTTTCTTAAGTAATTAGTCATGTAAGACATTAGATGTCAATTCAGTTAATTCAGTTCTAATGAGAAGCTGTGGCCAGTGGAGTCCAATCCGTGTTGATTGTGAGACAATTATCCACCTCAGACAATGAATGAAGGGTTGCATAAAATCATGGTTTGATTAAACTTAGACATGGGGAGTGTTGGATGCCGTCTCAATGATCTAGAGATCCGGCGTTTATGCTTGAGACTGAAGGTTCTTGGTTCTAGTCCCACGTATGGGGAGTGTATGCGTACTGCTGATTAGTCCGACACTAGGAAAAGACGTCCTTTCATTGCTTCCAGATTTTCAGTGGTGATCTAGTTTAGATCGACCCATGAATTTAACTGTTGAGAAATTCATTTTTTTCTTGTTAAATTCTGACTATACATTACATCATACCAATCAGCTGATAAAATAAAATACTACTTTTCTAAAACTAATCATTGCTTTTAGTATCCATTATGTTCTTAGTTGAATGCGTGAGTCAATTGAAGCTAGACCACCAAGGAAAACCTGGAAGCACTAGACGACCGTTTCGTCCTATTGTGGAACTCCTCAGCAGTTCGCATCTACGATCTCGCGAGATTCGAACCCAGGACCTACCAGTCTCGCATCAGAGCACTTAACCGATAGACCACTGAGCCGGACGGCATCCAACAATGTTAATGTCCAACTTCAGCCAATCCACGAAGTTGAGCAACCGTTCACCAATTGTCTTCACTGAGTTCTTATCTCACAATAGACGTGGTTTGAACTCCACTGGTCATTGCTTAGGAGTCCCACAATAGGATGAAACAGCCGTCCAGTGCTTCCAGGTTTTCCTTGGTGATCTAGCTTTAATTGGCTCACGCTTTCAACTATGAAAATATTAAATCTCCACAAAACCCCTTCTGATTATAATCCATTATGTGTTACTTTTATATGAAAATTCTTACTATTGTCGTTTATATTTTTGTCTCTCTTTTAGACTAAATAATCAACATTCTTTAAAGTATGTTTGTCTTTCAAAAATACAATTATCGCAATGTTGTTCTACAGTGAATCGAATCTCCACATCAACTACTAATGACAATAATAATCTTTTTCAAGAAATCAATATGATACTTAGTTGTATAAAGTATGATTATAATCAACATGTAATGAATGATCAAGATTATAATTCATCGTTGTCACCACCATTATCATCATCATCATCAGCAACAGCAGCAACAACATTATCTAACAGATGTATTCATTTTATATTATGCTTATCATTTCCAAAAATTTGTATTACAAAGGTTAATATTCACTCTAGTTTAATGTTGAAATTTGATCGACTTATCTTCATAGATATAGATCAACCTGTTCATTCAGGGATTATTCTTCCAGAAATTTGGTAAGTTTTAGCTCTTTTAAGTACGTATATATTTTTTCATAGTTGAAATCATGAGTCAGCAGTTCGCATCCACGATCTCGCCTCGCGAGATTCGAACCCAGGACCTACCAGTCTCGTACCAGAGCACTTAACCGATAGACCAGGTTTTCCTTGGTGGTCTAGCTTCAATGGACTCATGGTTGCAGCTATGAAAATACTGAAGTCTCCACAAAATCCCTTTCTGAATATATATATATATATATATATATATATTTGTGAGAAAAAAGGTAGGAAATTCCTTTGGTGTTAATTATTATAACTTCTGAAGCAATAAATTCTTTTATTGTTCTAGAGATCATTCAAATGAGCTGTGTAATAATGAAAGGAGGAGTTGAATTTTTTTATTTGCCATTGATTAATTCACTTTATAATCTTAGCACTAATAAATAAATAATTGAAACCAGAAGGAGTTTGTGTGGAGATTTCAGTATTTTCATAGTTGAAAGTATGCGTCGATTGAATCTAAACCACCAAGGAAAACCTGGAAGCACTGCACGGCCGTTCCGTCCTGTTGTGGGACTCCTCAGCAGTGCGCATTCGCGATCCCACCTCACGAGATTCCAACCCAGAACCTACCAGTCTCGCATCAGACCACTTAATCGATAGACCACTGAGCCGGACGGCATCCAACAGTGTTAATGTCCAACTTCAGCCAATCCACGAAGTTGAGCAACCGTTCACCAATTGTCTTCACTGAGTTCTTATCTCACAACAGACGTGGTTTGAACTCCACTAGTTACTGCTTCTCACTAGAACTCCAGGAATTATCTCTTGAAGTCAGTCACTAGTGAGCATATGATTGAGACATTAACATCTATTCAAAATCGTTATTTTTTATTCCATGAGGTTACAACTGTTTCAATTAATAGATAGAATTCCTATAATAAATACAATATAGTGTTACTTATTACTTCCTAATTTTGTTTATTCCAAATTTTTCTGGAATTAATTATTTGAGTTCTATTTTCTCTATTTTCTCCTTTTTTTAATGATATTTAGTGGTTCTAATGTTTGGCTTAGTCAAACTGGCGGTAAATTAGTATGTTATGCATGGAATGATTCAAAGTGTGAAATTCACTCCTCCTCCTCCTCCTCTTCATCATCACCATCATTACCATCAAGTTATCTAAAATTTCATTCATCCTGGTTTGTCCCTTCATTGTTCAATTCAGAATCATCTTTAGTAACTCATTTCTTGATTGGAAGTTCAAAACTAATCAGTAATCGTCCAGAGCCTTTGGTGGAAGATGTTGATGCAAGTAAACACGTTTGTGTTTGGACATATTTAGAACCAGGTGAATGTTGATAAACTTATATTATTTAAGTTGAACATTTTTTTCATTCCCTTCTATCATCATTATCATATAATGTGAAAACCTTTTACACCAATCAATCACTGAAGAGTAACGAATATCTAGTCCTAGTCCTTAGAATTAGTTTAGTTAGTGATATTGGTATTATATTAAATGATTCAGCCCCCAAATGCCCTGTTACGGCCGAGAGTGTGGAGGGCCATCCCTTTCTCTCGAAATGCTCTCACACGACCACGCGTATACAGCCTCTGTCAGGGAAGTCCTACTCACTGCCTTCTTGTGGCACCGGTGTTGTTTACGAAATTGAGAGGACGAAAAGCGAATATCCGGCGATCTAACCGGGTTGGTGGACACGGAAAGTTCACCTAGTGGAGCTGAAAAACCCTCATTCCAAACCAATGGTGCATGTGGGCTCCGGGATCCTGAGGGAACAAATGGCGTATTAACCAATCGTCGGTCACCGGCTACCATGGGACTGCATCTCCTCACGATGCTCCACTGCCTTGTGGATTAGGTCTTACGTCAAAGGCTCTGGGTGTGGGCACTCGGTCGTATGAAGGACTTTAAGTTCGACAAGCTTTGGCGAAAAGTTACTGACTCTATAAACAGTTGAAAAGGATTGGTTTATACAGGCATTAGGATCAGTTTGTACTAAATGAGCTAATATCGAGTCCCGTGTGCAGGATTGTGGATGCTCACTGGTAAGGAGTTATCTCGCGCCGTGATGTTCCTCACGATTGGTAAGTCCTATAATAATAGTTTATAGGCCAAAATAAAGCTTATTGCAAGAGGGACACGAACATGAAAATGTTAGTTACTTGGCAATTATGTATAGTATTAGGTCAGGAACAGATTTCGGCAGTTACCACTGATTATTCTCATCGGGATATAACACCTCCTGTTAGATCAATTGTGGAAGTGAAAATCCCTCCATGCATGCATTTGTGATTTCTTCCTTGTGGTTTCTCTGTTTGTATATATTGTTAACTTTTTTGATGCTAATTAAGACTGTCACGTTTACAATCCAATTGCTTTTTGCAATTTTTTAGATAATGGACAATAAATTATTTTCAGAACAGGGGGTTTTTGTGGAGATTAATAGTTGAATTTATGAGTCGATTAAAGCCATACCACTATGGGAAACCTGGAAGCACTGGACGACCTTTTCGTCCTGTCATGGGACTCCTCAGCTGTATGCGTCCTCGGTCCCACTCGTGGAGTCCGAACCCAGGACTTATCAGTCTCGCGCTCGAACGCTTAATCACTAGACCACTGAGCTGTTAATGTCTAACTTCAACCAATTCACGAAATCACGCCACCGTCTAGTGGTTCTACGTTTTTCATGGTAGTCTAGCTTTAATTGACTCATGATCTCAACTATTGAATTCATAAATTATTTGATATGTTTTATAACATAATCCCAGTGAAATTGTTACACATCAATTGGTTATCATATACACAGTTCAAAAGATAATTTGTTTTATTATTTTCCATTATGATCAATTTCGTTGGAAAATATACTTTTCTAAAGCATAAATAGTTTCAACCAAAAAGGTAACCAGATTTTTTCTTATTAATTAGATGGAAAACTTGACTGTTGGTCAGCTTTTTCACAAACTCTATTGAGAAGTATCAATTTAATACAACAATTGGATAATGATATGTTCACAGAGAACCTTTCAACATTCGGTAAGATTAATAATAATAATGTTATGGTTTGAAACCCAATGGTCGTTATCACATGTTAAAGTTACCAATCAAAATTCTAATTGACTTTTCTTCTATTGAGTGTCTATTATTTCTTTTGTATTCTAGTGTCCTATACTTGACAATTACACAGATAACCTACACGGTTATCTTTGATTCGATAAAACATAAGCTCCTGTTGAGTTGTTATAGGCAAACCTTCGTCTTTTCATTGCAGTCAAAGAAAAGTAAGCAGTCTTACTTCAATCAATCTACTAGGCTAAGCGTTTACACGAGATCGAAGGTCCTGGATTCGACTCCTATGTGCGGGATCGTGGATGTGAACTGGTGAAGAGAACTATCTTAGGACTAAATGGTCGTCTAATGCTTCCAGGTTTTAAATGGTAGTCTGACATTGATCAGTTCATGATCTCAATATAACCCAACAAACTCCACAACGCTATTACTGATAATTATAATTATACTAAGGTGATATTCTGTCAAAATTAATATCCAACATAGAGCTGTTGAATAAACCAAACAGAGATTGATAGTAGTATCATTCTTGTTTGAATATTAATAAATAAAAGACTGAAATAATGAAGGTTTGCAGCTCATTGGAATGCTTTTGTTGATGGTGAATAGTTTAATTGTAGAGCTTTCACTGTCTACGATCAGTTCATCAACCCTTACTCCTCATAGAAGTTGTAAATGATATCGGTTAAAGTTGTAACATTTATTGTCAAAAAGTATCACTAGAAATCTGTTTTATCTCCTAAATACTGTCCGACCATAACTCTATCATGACGTTCTGATTTCATAGTGAACTCTTAACCACTGAGCTTCATTGAATTAAAATCTATTCGTCCAGATCCTCAACTTTTTTCTATCGAAATTAATTTGTTCATTAAAATCATACTTGTTATATCCTAGTGAAAACATAAGTACAGGTAATTTCCGGGACCTATTATTGGACTATTACTCTATATATATTCCTGTTGTATAACTATTCAGTAACTAGATTATGTATATCTATATTCATCTTATTATAAGCTTCATTTTGACCTGGTGATTATTATTATACGATTTACTGTTCCTAAATTATACTCAGTTTATTGATTACTGGCTCCCACGTTCACAGCCACATTTAGATTGATCTTGTACAAATATTATTTTCTATTTGATGATGTGATGTGGTCTGTCTGTCTGTCTGGTATATAAACCGAGTATGCGTGAAATAAATGATTCGCATAGCTGAAGCTATAATTGGTGTTCTGGACTCAAGTGAAAGAACTGGGCGGACAAAGGACCAATAAGGACGCTAGACTGCTCATACCAGTTGAACGTCATTGATTGTCACAGTGTTAAGGTCGGAAAAGTCGTAATTCCATTGGTGGATAATTCACGTGATAAAAGCCGGACATAAGATCAATAACAAATAAGCACACGCTCTTTGTTTATTTGCAAGTCACAACAAATTGGCGACGGCCTTGGTCAAGTCATAACAATTCTAATATATCAATGTAAGGTATTATTATCTTCTATTAGTCCCTGTTAATTACATTCCTTTATTCATTTTATTCATTTTTTTTTAATCATTAAAAAATAGTTGGATCAGTGAATGCAATGGAATGGCTTAATTCATCATCAAGTATTCTTTTATTAACAACCCATGGTTACTTGATTCATATTAACTTGATGAATACTAATGTTTGTGGTATTTCGACGACAGTCAGTTTATCAAAAACGCCCATGACAACTACCAATGATACTACGGTGTTGAGAGCAACATCAACAACAACAACAGCAGCAGCACAAACATCCTCGTCTTCTATATCACCATCATCACAATCATTTTGCCAGTTATTTCATTATTATGGATCATTTTCAAATAAAGATTTCTCTTTAATTACTCCATTAACATCATCAATATCTCAGAAAAAAATGACAAATTTTCCAAAACGTATCATCACTATAAGTAAAGGTTATTTAGATCCTTTAAATTGGATCAATCATAGCTTTTCATCATCTTCTTCTTCTCGTTCATTTACTGATTCTACATCTTTTCAAAGTGATTTCATCAAATTGACAATGTCCACTAATAAAAATCATTCGAATATGATTGAATGTTTAAATCAAGAGAAATTTTATTTAGCTAAATTATTTTCTGATCAATTTTTATTTCCATAATAAATTTCTGATAGAGTTTTGTTCTCTGAGCCTGGATGGTTTGGTCGTGGAGCTTTCATTGTCCTTCTGAACGACATCATCAGCACAAACTTCGGGTAGAAGTGAAGTGTTTGAATTTCGCTAATCAACTTCGAGGTGCACAGGACAAGCTGTGAATCACTAGTGCAGAAATTCAAACACTTCACTTCTACCCGAAGTTTGTGCTGATGATGTCGTTCAGAAGGACGATGAAAGCTCCACGACCAAACCATCTAGCTCAGAGAACAAAACTCCATCAAAATCACCCACCTGATCTACAAATCTTGTCCACCATATCATAATAAATTTCTATTGTAATGTGATTGATAATGATAGATTTTATATTCATTTTATTTTTATTTGTTTGTATTTGATGATTTTATCTGTTTCTTGCTAAATAACAAACCAGTTGCTTTACTTACTTACTTACTTACGCCTGTTACTCCCAATGGAGCATAGGCCGCCGACCAACATTCTCTAACCCACTCTGTCCTGGGCCTTCTTTTCTAGTTCTATTTAGTTTTTATCCATAACACTGTCATATTTCTCTCTCTTTTCTTCTTTATTCATTATTAAATTTTGTCTATTTCTTTCTATATATGTTCACATTCATTTGCTGAAGATCTATTCATTACATCATTGTATACTATATACAATACACATATATGAATATATATCTATTCTATATACATACACATGTATTATACTATCTTTCATTGAAACTTATTTCTGTAAAATCATTTCATTCGCATAGACTTTCTTTTGCAATTCCAGGGTTGTTGAAGTTACCTTTAGTAGTAGTAGTGTAGTGAACAAAACACTAGTTGGGGACAATCGAATGTATTTAAGCAAAGATTACAGACTATCTCAGTAAATTCTGATAACCAAACAATGAACAGTCAATTTGCAAATTAACAACCAATTGTTTCAATCTTCACTGTTTCTTCTCTAATTCCATTGCTCATGCATTTTCCAAACGATTGCGCTTCATTTCAGTTCTTTGCTCATCGGTCTTCTGCCAAAATACATTCTATGTCTGACCCACACCATATACTACTTATATAGATATAAGTAGACCACACCACAGTAGTACTGTTGTGAATCAAAACTCAGGTGAGGACAACCAACTACATATCGAGCACACATTACAACGTTACTTGGTAAAGTACAATAACCATACTATGATACTCTATTTGCAAAATGTTCTTCAATTGTCTCAGGCTTTATTGTTCCTGAATTTGCACACAAATTGCTTTTTATTTCTGTTCTTCTCTTCTTGATCTTCTCAATATTCTGCTGTCAGATATTCTATTCCTTACTCACCATATTTACTATTCATGTTGATATAAGTAGCTCACATCACAGTAGTAGTACTTTCTTGTCTTATTTTCTACAATATTTTTGCTTTCTTATATTATTAAAACATACTGTGATATATGTATAAATAGATTATTTCAATATTAGATTATATCACTTGTAATATTGTATTATTTGTTTAACTGTAAATGATATTTCGGTTGAAAACAAAGTATTTTATTAATAATTCAAATGAATACTTTTATATAGTTGAAATCATTAGTCAGTTGAAGCTAGACGACCATGGAAAACCTGGAAGCATTGGACTACCGTTTCATCCTATTGTGGAACTCCTCAACAGTGCGCATCCACGATCCCAGCTCGCGATATTCAACTATATGAAATTATTAAAATCTCCATAAAACCCCCTTCTGATAATGGTCATATGCTCACTAGTGACTGGCTCCATGAGGTATTTCCTGGAGTTCTAGTGAGAAACAGTAACCAGTGAAGTTCAACCAAGTTTGTTGTTAGATAATAACTCAATGAAGACATTGGTGAATGGTTGCTCAATTTCGTGGATTCGTTGAAGTTTGACATTAACACCGTTGGTTGCCGTCCAGCTCAGTGGTCTAGTGGTTAAGCGCTCATGCGCCAGACTGATAGGTCCTGGGTTCGAATCTCACGAGGCGGGATCGTGGATTCGCACTGCCACTGAGGAGTCCCACACTAGGACGAAACGGCCGTCCAGTGCTTCCAGGTTTTCCATTGTGGTCTAGCTTCAATTGTCTCATGATCTCAACTATATATAAAAAATAAGTATATGTATTGAAATCTATAGTGAAAAATAGTGTGTAAAGATAAATACAGCATACATGTTAGTAATATATGTAGTATGTTGTTGTACGAAGTTATAATGTGTATGGTTTATCACTACAAGAAAAATCAGATACTCAACAATAGTAGCACAATTATATAACAATGATATTGATAATAATAGTAGTGATAGTAAAGTTTTTAATAAGGGACATAAAACAAATATCAAGTTTATTGATGAACTGAAATCTATTTGACTGGCTGTGATAGTTATTGACGATAATTGGAATAAACATACACTCATGATAACTGTACAAAAAATGAATTGTAATCAAACTTAAATAATATTGGCTGGAGGATTTGTTGAAAATTTAGTCGAGAAGGATAAGACCTACTGCTGGTTGATCTGCAACGGTTTAGAGGTAAGGTTTTGTCTGTTGAATTTTGGTTTTATTGATTCAGTTCAGGTCTTTTATTTGAGGATTTTTCGACCATTTAGTCTGCCTATAGAGACAGTGTCCCACTTGCCACTTTTCTGGATAATTAAATATTTTTCCGTTCGCTTAGTGGCTTTACATGATACTGTCAATACTTTCCTGACAGCTTTCCTTTTAACAAAGACGAATTTATACGTTTCTAGGTATTTCTCGTGGCACATGCTCGCATGGTATGGTACCAGGTGAAGTTGTTGCATGCTTTTTAACAGTCTATTTTTCGAAATTCAAAAAAGATCGACGAATACTTTAGTTATGGATTCAGCTGAAGTGTCGTGTAAAGGACATGGCCCATTTAGTGAATCTATCTGCTGTAGTAACTATGTGTCGATAAAAAATTGGATGAAGGTGTGTGGACGACGATTCCGGTTCCGCGTGTTGATACCATCACTGTGGTGTCGTAAATTCCTCAGGTGTATTACTTATTTACTCCTGTTACTCCCAATGGAGCATAGGCCGCCGACCAGTATTCTGCAATCCACTCTTCCCTGGGCCTTCCTTTCCAGTTCTATCCAACTTTCGTTAATTCTTCTCATATCTGTCTCCATTTCCCGGCGTAATGTGTTCTTTGGTATTTCTCTTCTCTTTTGACCCTAGGATTCCACATGAGGGCTTGCCTTGTGACACAGTTGACAGGTTTCCTCAATTTGTGTCCGATACACTTTCAGCGCTTCTTCATGATTTCTTCCTCCGCTGAAATCTGGTTTCTTCTCTCCCTCATTAGGTTGTTGCTGATAATGCATAGACATCTGTTAATAAACACCTGTATCATCTGGATGATGCCATTCGTAGTTCTTTACGTCTCCGCCCCATACAGTAGGACTTTCTTGACATTTGTATTGAAAATTTTGATCTTGGCGTTGGTTGCAGACAGTTGTTCTGAGTCCCAAATGTTCTTCAATTATAAATATGCTGTTCTTGTTTTGCCGATCTGCGCCCTCATATTTACATCCGAACCACCGTGTTCATCAATGATGCTGCCTAGATAAGTAAAGGTTTTCACTTTATCCAAAGCTTCTCCGTCAAGTGTAATTTGATTGGTGCATGTTGTATTGTATCAGAGAGTCTTGCTTTTTCCTTTGTTCATATTGAAACCTACTGCTGCTACACTGTTCGTCTTCTCCTGCACTTGTTGTTGCGTGTGTGATAGAAGAGCCAGATCATCTGCGAAGTCTAAATCGTCCAGCTGCTTCCTAGCTTTACATTGTATCCCATGCTTCACTCCAGAAGTTGACGTCTTCATGGCTTAATAGATCACTAGGAGAAAGAGAAAGGGCGAGAGTAAGCAACCTTGCCTGACACCGTTGTTTACTTCAAACGTGTCTGTGAATTGTCTTCCATGGACGATTTTGCAGTTTAATCCATCATAGGAATTCCGCATGATATTTACTATCTTCTCAGGCACGCCGTAGTTTCGAAAAAGCCTCCATAGTGTTGTCCTATCTACGCTTCCTCGTAGTCAAGGAAGTTGGTGTAAAGTGGTGAATTCTATTCAACTGATTGTTTCACAATGATCCGTAAGTTGCGATTCGGTCTGTGCACGATCGATTCTTACGGAATCCAGCCTGTTAGTCTTAAAGTTGGGCATCTACGGAGTCCTTCACTCTGTTTAATAACACCCTTTGAAGACTTTTCCTGGTATTGGGAGAAGATCGATGCCTTTGTAATTCTCGCACCTGATAGAATCCCATTTGTTCGGTATCTTGATCAGGTGACTTTCTTTCCAGTCTGTTGGTACTCGTTCTTCATCCCAAATCTTGCTGAAGAGAATGCGGAGTATCTCTCCAGTTACTGCTACATCTGCTTTCAATGCTTCCATTGGAATATTTTCTGTTCCTGTTTCTTTACCGCTCTTGATTTGTCTGATGGCCATGCTGATCTCTTCAATTTTGATGGACCAACATCGATTGGGAGATCTGTGGGTGCTACTTCAATGTTGCGTGGGTTCTGTTCTATTTAAGAGTTCCTTAAGGTTCTCTACCCACCTGTTACTCTGTTCTTCAATGTTGGTGATTACTCTGCCTTCCTTGCTTTTCACTTGTCGTTCTGGTTTATGATAATTTCCAGTGAGCTTCTGTGTTGTACCATACAATTGACTCATGTTTTCTTCTCTTGCAGCCTTTACCGCTGTCATTTCTAGATCTTCCACATAATAACGTTTGTCGGCCGTGATGTTCCTCATGATTGGTAAGTCCTATAATAATAGTTTATAGGCCAAAATAAAGCTGATTGCAAGAGAGACACGAACATGAAAATGTTAGTTACTTGGCAATTATGTATAGTATTAGGTCAGGAACAGATTTCGGCAGTTACCACTGATTATTCTCATCCGGATATAACACCTCCTGTTAGATCAATTGTGGAAGTGAAAATCCC